CCAGTAAGTGGCGATTGTGTTGCAAGATGTCAAGAGGAGGTCTCTGTCTGGACGCGCAGGTCGTCATTGATGTGTGAGATTGTGCTGTGGGTATGCTTGTGGTGTGTTGGCTTTTCTGTTTGTTTTCCATTTCAGCTCTGTCCGTGTGACCCAGGTTCTCGCAATGGCATCCAAGTCGACGTGTATTGGTCGTGAAGGAAAAAAGGTTTGGATCCCTTTTTTGGCGGGGAGTGTCAATTTAGTTGAAGATTGAACGATCAATTCTTGGTTGTTTGCTTAAAATCAACTTCCCCAATTTTCGCGGAGGCATCAATACGACAGTCATCGTCTCATCGGTCGCTGTTCAGAGAGAAGAGTGAAACATCGTCAGAAGTAATACAATGATTTATTATTGTAATATTTGTTTTCAGACCTTAGTTCGCTTATTCCTTTTATATGTTGGTGTAACAATAAAGAAATATGAAGCGGCAGATCAGTGTTTTGGTTTTTTCGTCCGTTATAACTAAGCGTTTCCGAAATCTTCGAAGAACAGCGTGGGCCCGAGCGTAGCGAGAGCTGGGCATTAACGGTTTATGAGACGTGATTGACAACGTCGACAAACAGCTCAGATGTGTTCACGCGTTTGACCCTCCCCTAACAGAGCTCCCTGACTCCATATGGTGCCACTTCACCTTTGGGTACTGCAAATATCTAGTGGGCAGCATTTATTGATCACCTTCATGTGGAGCGGACCACAACCAGGTACTGCTAAATACAATCTCAGCAACTCAAGACATGGGTTATGATCAAGTTGTCATAGCTGGTGACTTCAATGCCCCATCTCTTAACTTGGTGTCGGGAAATTCCCATGGTAGATTTGATCGAAATCTGCTGCATACCATCAGGAAGGCTGGATTCACTGAAAATGTCAGGATGGATACTAGATGGGGCCCTGAGGGGAAGTCTTCTAGACTGGATTACGTGCTCACTAGTGACCAGCTACTAGTGGAAAACGTTCAGATCACGACTCCCATAGGTAGTAGTGACCACGCGGTCATAGTATTCGACATAGTCCTCCGCGAGCGCTTACAGTGGGACAATACACAGCCCTATCTGTGTTATAACAAAGCCAACTACACCAAAATGCGAAGACTTCTGTCTGAAGCAAATTGGCCTAAAAAATGGACAGAGCTAACAGTAGAAGAACACTGGAGAGTGGTAAAGGAGATCATTCACCAGGCGGTCTCAGACACTGTTCCTTTAGTCACACCAAAAGCTAGGAAGCAACGATCATGGCTAAAAAGGGGGCACAACGCCTTCTGCAGGCGAAGCGAAAAGCCTGGTTTGCGTGGCGACGATCGAAGAGTCAACCCGAACATGAAGTGTACCTTGAACTCAGGAATCGATGTAACATACGAGTCCGGAGCGATAGAAGGACATTTCAGGGAGACCTCGCCAATAAGCTTCTCGTGAACCCCAAAAGCCTATACAGGTTTATGTCCGAAAGAAAACCGACCAACCAGGGAGCATGCAATCTAGTGGGTTCTGATGGGAAATCTCTTACTAGTCTTGAAATGGCAGAGACATTCAGCCTAGCCTTTCACAGGCAACTAAACAGTAACGAGGATATTACCCCCACAGAACATCCAGATTACATCGCAAAACCAGTGCGCGAAAACCTGCTGGGTACATTTCAAATTACCCCGGCTATGGTACTTGCAAAATTGGGAAGGTTGGCTTCGGGAAAGTCTTCAGGTTGTGATGACATCAGACCATCTGTCCTGAAGCAGTGTTCAGAAAGTCTCTGCCAACCCCTAAGTGATCTGTTCCAACACTCCCTTGATGTAGGGAAACTTCCATGTGAATGGAAACGAGCAATCCTATCCCCTATCTTCAAGGGTGGTGACCGGCAGAATGCGACCAGTTACAGACCAGTTGCTCTACTTCCAGTGGTATCGAAGATATTGGAAAGTCTCATTGACGACCACATGAGAAAATACTTCGATGGGACTAACCTTCTTCACGAAGCACAGCACGGTTTCAGGAGGGGAAGATCCTGCGTGACGAATCTTCTACTAGCTTGGAACGATTGGACACTATCCTGGGACGAAAAGGTACCAGCCCACGTGATCTTTCTCGACTTTGCGAAAGCATTCGACACAGTTCACCATGGTCTGCTCCTTCACAAAATAAGCAAGGCGGGTGTTTCTGGAGCACTTCTCGCATGGCTGAAAGATTACTTAGGCGAGAGAGAATTCTGCACCAAAGTCAACCGCATCCGATCATCCTGGCACACCTCGGCATCAGGGGTTCCTCAGGGTTCTATCCTAGGGCCGTTGATGTTTTTGATTTTTATCAAAGACCTGCCCTCCCAACTAAACTGCTCTGCGCTTCTTTACGCTGACGACGTAAAGATTTGGAGAGCAATAAACTCATCGGAAGACTCAGACAGATTGCAGGCTGACCTGCAAACTCTGGGAAACTGGGCTCTAGCTAACGGAATGCCTTTCAACCTAAAGAAGTGCAAAGTAGTGCAACTTCATTCCGGCAGGTCACAGAGTGTAAATTACACCCTTGGTGGCCAGAACTTGAGTTGTGTTCCATCAGAGCGCGATCTAGGTCTTATTCTAACAGAAAAGCTAGACACCAGTGGAAATTACTCGAGGGACGTCGCCAAAGCCTACGCAACTTTACACTTTATGCATAGGCAGCTGGGAGCTCTCACTCCCGAACTGTTCTTAAGGTTATATAAGGCATATGTGAGGCCACACCTTGAGGTGCATAATATCATTGCACCTCCGCTACTCAAAAGGGATGCTAACATTCTAGAAAGTGTCCAGAGACGAGCGACAAAATGGGTGATCGGCCTCCGCAAAAAATCATATGAGGAACGACTAAAGAAATTAGGTCTTTTCACACTTAGTTACCGTAGGCACAGGGGAGACCTCATCACCGTCTACCAGATCCTAAATGACCAGGCCCACCCAAATAAAAGCATCCTGCCATTAAGTGACTATAGGCTTCCACGAGGTAACCCGCTAAGGATAGCACACCAGAGACCAAAGACTCGAGTGCGATCACATTTCTTTTCGCTTCGTGTTTGCCGTCTCTGGAACGCTTTACCGGCGGCCGTGACTACAGCGCCTTCTCTGGAGATTTTTAAGCGGAAGCTAGACAATCATGCAGAAATGCAAGGTTTGTGTCTCAATGGCTTATCCTCATAAAACTTAAAACCACACTGTCAATGGATAAGCGTACAAACTAAATCCCCACGACCTATTCTGCCTTCTCTCACTCTATCTTTTCCTTAGGTCACCTTTATTATTCCACTTATCTCAACCTATATTATCTACACTACAACCTATTATTATTATTACTATTCTGCTTTTATGACTGTACCAAATGACCAACGGGAGTTAGGTCAAACTCCATTCACGGCAGCAATACAGTCCTAACATACTGCATACTACAAACCACATCTCGACCAATCCCCGCACCACTCCTCTTGGAGTCTACCAGAGCTAAAGCAGTCGAGTGGCGGGACTTACTACGCAGAAGCTCACCGAAGATCTGGAACCTCTACCTCACAATCAAGAAGCGAGCTCAAAGAAATCACTGGTTTATACTAGCTCGTAATCAGGATATTGGATATTGGATGATCTGTTTAGGCGTTCATTATTATCTTTTTCAAGATAAAGATCTAAGCCCTCATAAATATCATGGAAATCTCGAGCCGTCAAATTGCATATTGCTGTCCCTGCAGAATTGGGTGATTCACCTTAGTGACCACCACCATATCTACTGATCAGCTAGCGCCACCCTCCCTCCTTTAATGGTGCAGTGAAGAAGCCTGTATTTGCAATTGGTAAGCCATTGTTGAACAGAGTGTCACAGACGACACCGCAGTTTGTAAAGAAGAAGGGAGTTACAGTTTCAGAGCCCAGTTCTGACTCCACAAGCTTTCAAGATATTACTCGTCAAAGTAAAGGTAAAAAACCTGTAAGGATTAATGAGGAAGAACCCAAATTAATATCAGTAAAAAGTTTGAGCATTATGGATTAGATTAAATAAAGTATATTTATATTTCAATAGTTTACACACAATGATAAGTGTTGTTATTGGTAATATTTCATGCAAAATCACCAAAAACAAAATTTATCATTCTGTGTAAACCGTTGAAATATAATTATACTTTATTTAGGAACCCAAATTCTCTACTGCTGTCATTAAATAGTTTGAAAATGATGAAGTTGGTCATACGAACGGCGGTAGAGTGGATATTTATGGCAATCGTTATTGTATTTGGCTGATCATGATGAAATGAGAGGAATGTCTACTTCTACTGAGTTGAACAAAGAATCTGTACAACTTGAACGTGAAGTGGAATTAAAGGCTATTGCGGATGCAGAACGTATGTATACTCATGAAACCATCAGTGTAAATGATCCGCATGTAGTCCACCTATCGACAGATGATAAAGCTGAACTGTAGCTAATAATAAAAGATATCAGTGGTGGTAATCTTGCGGTTAGATAAACTTCTAAATGTCGAACAACATCAGCTTCTGGTGCACCGCTAAGTTCATCAACTTGTGTCACTCAGTCGGCGTCGCTGTTGTCATCCACAATGAAAGGGATGTCCATGAACTCATGTGTCTTATGCTGTTTCTATGCAAGTATCGGTTAGTTTGGAAAGACGAAAGTTAATGGCGAATCCAAAGGATACAGCACGGTTAGTAATGATGCGAGTAGATAGTATGGATCAGTGAGAAGACGAAGAGTCGAGCAGCACGATATATTTCAGATTGTACCCTGAAGTTATTTATATCTTAAAACGAATCGTTTTTTAACAAACGTTGAGTACGATGTTCCCATCTAACGAAAATCTCTACAATCGTATTGTCTCACGCTTCACAATTTTACCTCTCCAAATCACTTTCACTAATGCTGCATTTTTCCAGTAAACATACTAAACTAAAATTTGTCAAAAAAGATCATGTGATAAGACGCAAGAAGGGACCGCCAAGTAATGAAGTTGTAAGAAGCTCACAACAAAGATAGTGGTCAGTGGAAGGCGCCTGTCTCAAGTTTCTAGGTCATGCACCAAACCAATAACACCGGAAAGGATCCTGGTTTTTACCTCCTATAAGCGCTGTGATATATATGGTACGTAGGCCTATTTTGTTTATAAGAAATTTAATGTGTCAAATTTGGGTGTAGAATAACCGTAGAAAGCTGTGTGTCTAAGCCTGACACCAAGTATATCCAGCTTTTCTTCCCAGGATAACTTGGAAATCTTACGTTTAACTTTTTCCTTATTGGTATGGACCTCATTTGATGGCTTTTGATTTGATTTTATTTATACCGAGGATTTAAATCATATATGCGTATGTAAATATGTGCGCCTTTTTAACATCAGTTGTTTAATTACGGTGTTCTTCATCTTTTAGTACGTGCAGTCAGTGAGACACAATCACAGATAGATTGTCTAAAAATTGAATTTTCAGTAATTTTTCAGCTTGTTGACGAAATATGTGACCCTTACAGTACTTCTATGTCCTAGTCCTTACTGCATGAATCTGGTCTCACAATTCAGGTTGTTTACCTGAACTTTAATAGTGTGGAACTTAAATCTGAACACAAACTCACAATTATTTGGGAATTTATAAGCTGAGTTATGTGAAAATATAGGGTGGACTAAAAGGGAAAACTGTCTGTCATGTTCGTTACTGTTAAGCCGAAAGATGAATGAATTTCAACATGGAACTTTGCATGAAAGTGTAATAATTCAAACCGCTACATTCCACGTTGCACATAAAGGTAAACAAAAGGGAGAAAGAGACTTAAAAGGACTGTATTGGACATATTCAAGGGAGAAGGGATAGTGAAGTGGAAAAAACGCTTCACAACCTCGTCGATAGACTTTCCCAACAAACCTAATACTTTACGCCTACCCTCAATATTACACACCATGCTATACTACTTAACACGGAGTCTAAGACGCAAACATTTGTTGGCAAATACTGCTAGGCTTTCCATAACTTCCACTTTTATTGGCTGTGTATCCCAGCAATAAAGGAGGACAGAGCGGACTGCTGTGCAGCAGGCGCATCCTTTGATATCACATCTATGTCAGAGATGAAGTAAGTTGGCAAATGCCACACGAGCTTTTTTATCGGTGCTGGGATTTGGTCATCAATCAACTTCCCGAAAAAGTGATGTGGTCAATACATTCAACCACTTCACTCCTAATTTCTAGGGTAGGAGTTGGTGCAGACTAATCCTGTAGCATCATCTTACGTTTAAAAGGAGCGAATTGCATGTCAAACATTCAGGGTGTTCATGAGACTGAGGTTTGTCAGTATCCCCACCTAGAAAGGCTGTATTTTTCTCATATTCTAAATTAACAAGACTTCCGTGGAAACAAGTCAATCCCTAAGTCGCTGGAGTCAGTTAGGGCCCATTCCATTAGTACATCTGAGGTGAAATTAGAAATGGATGGGGACAGTGGGAATTCTCGGTTGATATCACTGGTTTTCAATTCAAACGAAAACTACGTAGGCTCTCACACTCCTCTATGATTTGGATTAGATTACCTCTGTTTGGGTGATATAATTTCTTCGTACTCTGTTCTTGGACAAAGATTGTGACAGCAGACCTGAATCGATGGAGTCGAATGGTATATTCAGGGTAATAAATGGATTAATTGTTGGATGCCGGTAAGTGTATTCTTGTTCCAGAATATGTCAGAATGTGAATGTATTTTCAGTGCACACTTTTATCGACATGTAGGCCGCTTGCTTATCTCGGGTTGGTGCCTCCTGAGCACCACTTAGTTTGCGCATGATTGCTGAACCCAGTAGTTTAGTTACTTAATTAGGCGTTTCCCACTATTATTATCACATAAAGATTTTTCTTTCTTCTTATAAGATGGTTTAGTTAGTGACTCACACCACTCTTATGGTCGCCTACCTCTGATTCCCAGTCATTTAACAGAATCTTAGTTCACCCAGGGAGTAGTTTGTCACTGCTGTCGTTTTGCACCTAGGGAATCAGTCCATCGCACCCTGCAGTTTACCTGGTTTCTATTTATATATATCCTTCGAAATCTGAGTGGCAGATAGAGGACTGATGTCAACATCCCATTGAGGTAGGTGTTGGATGTTGGGCAGGTCGGGCCTAGTTGTAGGCCAGTTAAATTGCTCCTCAAAATTCGACCTCCAACATTGCAGTCGTCTATTCTGAAAGCTAGTCAAGGCCCAGGTTTTTTCGGAGATTATCTCACTTATCATTCATCTTTTGCAACCTGTTCCTATGGTAGATCTAAATAGTTCCCTGGTGTTGCTTGTCACCGGTGTCTTTTTCATGTCTTGGTTTTGTTGCTCACCACTGTTCGTGGTTGTCAAGATTACTTTTGTACAGTTTGCGTTTGAGCAGCTTCCGCTTCCCATCATATGCGGAGACCGCAGGTGTTAGTCTTCTTGCGTCAGTCAGCAGAAATCCACGGACATTTTCTAACCGTGGTTGTAGGCTACTACTACCGCTTCTGTAATTGGCTGGATATCAGAACAGGTTTCCCAACTTAATTATATTTCGTAGCGTTCTACTTTGTATTTTCTCACTGCAATTAAATAGTACATTTATGAGAGTTCCACTTGAAGTTGTACGTAGGCTACAAAAATAATTATTCAGTTATGTTTCTAACTTTTAGCTTCTTACTTCATAAAGCAAAAAGTACGAAGGCCTACATAGGTTACATTTAATATAACCTATGTAGGCCTTCGTACACTTTCGGGCACCATTTACCATCGTTTCTGTGTATACAGGCGCTGGTATTTTTAAGAAACTGCTGCAAAGCCATCTTCTGTTTTTATATTTCCTGCGGAATCTGTTTTTGCTGTCGGTAAAAAGTTGTCAGGAATGTTCCCTATTAACTCGTTTTTCTCCTTATTTCATTGTAGGTTTCACTGTGTTCACATCCGTAATGTGCTGTCCAGAGCAAATAGTTGACTATTTTTATGTTTGTGGTGTCGATTATACAATTGGTCTGGAGAGCTTTAGCTCAGGTAAACCTTTATTCAAGTTTATAAATGATGTTTCAGGTGACAAATCTGATTGTTATCTTGATCTTCCTCCACTGGAAAGACCCTATAAATGCCGTATTCTCCAACATTTTCCTGAATATTCACCAAATTGTTCCTTTGATGAAGAATCAACGGCACTGGTATTGATATAAAGGGATTAACTAAACTTTGAGTGTTTTTTAGGTTACTATGCCTCGGGGACTCAGTATATTCAATCAGAATAGTTTATTATTCCGACATTTTCAAGTACCTCAAAGACATACTTTCATAATAACTCGAGAAGATGGAACTCGTGTACACGGCTTGGCTTTATTGTTTCCGGAATTCGTTACTCACGAGGGTTTTAAGGAAGCAGTCAGGTCATTGCAAATGATGTACAATGCAGACTCTCATTGTCACAAAGGAGTAACGATGTCAGCGGAGGTTGATGGTACTAACTGTGAAATTATCGGGCAAAGATATGAAAGCGACAAAGATGCTCTTTTCACTATGAAGGTTGGTGTCATTCTAAAATATTGTTTTATTAGCCTGTTGATATTTCCTTCATATTTAAAATTACTTTACTTACTGTTTTGTTTCCTTTTAGGCGATCGGTTTACTCTCCCGTCATCCATTCATATATGCTTTATTTAATTGGTTAGAAGATTTATGGGCCACTATGTATATATCTCCTGCTGCTAAGTTCTCACAGTCTCAGTTGGAACAGTGCATTCATGATTTACTGTTTAGGAGTAAACTTCCTACTGTGGGCAGCTATGTTACTTTTATCACTGCTTTCAGAACGCTTTACAGTTATCGTCCCGGTTAGTTGAAGATTACTTTTTGTCGTTGTGCTTTGTATGCTTTCTTCCATTTAATACGTATCGCCATTTCTCATATAAATACTTTGATTATTTTCACTATAGATATCGATAGTTGTTTATACATTTCTGTTTTTCAGTTGTGATGTGATATGAATCTACTAATAAACAATAAGTTACTGTCATATCTCTTAGATGTTTAGATGGAGTTGTGACAGGAGGAAAGTGTGTAAATACGAGACAAAAGGCCTAAAGAAAGTTAAGAAGTATTTCATTGTTGAGTAAAGGTAAAATAAATCCAAGGTGGAGGCAGGATTGCAGTCGTAGAATCACTTGAATATACCACCATTAGTTTGTACCGTAGAAAGTGTTGAAGTTTTTTTAAGTTTCGTAATATTTTTAGGATGACCACTTCATGCTTTACCCTTAAAGTAGAAACTGCTGGATATCAGTTCTGTTACATCATCTTAGGTCCCACAAGGACAAGATTTATTCCAGCTTTTCAGCATTTCTATACAAGATAACTGTATTGTTAATCAATCAGCCCTTCGTTCTAACTTCGCATAAAAGCCATCATGTACATCAGTACATTCATAATGGAATCATCGAAAAGTGGTAATGTTAGTTATACTCAGTGGATATTTATTGTCGTCACTTCGCTTGTCAACATCGCAAGCTTTTATAAGCCCGAATGAGTTCAAGTAGAAAGCTTGAAGTAGTATAACATAATTCCACTACCTTATCTTTACAGCTTGATGTCACAACAACACCGCTTTAAAGTATGGCAAGTGTGAAAAACGCCCTTGCTATATAATCTTTAAAAGCTATAGTGTAGCTAAGAGAGTACCCATTGTGTAACTTTTCATAGAAACCTGTGCAGTTAATTAATTTTTCTGAAGGACCGTGCGAAATGCCAATAAAAGCCAATTAATAATATCAGTGGGTAACAAGCTGCATCAAACTCTATATAAGAAATCAAATTAGTAATACGTTGTGAAGTAATATAACGTAATCTAAGACATATAACGATTATTAATGTTCAGAAAATGGTTATTAAAAATGCAAGCGCTTAAGAACATGAGTATTATTCACAAGAGGAAGAGTTTGTGATTTCCTCTGTCATAGCAAGACATTCGGCTGTACACCTATGTAAACAAAAGTCTTTCAAACAGCTACATAGTTTCTAGGTGTGCTGTTCTTGAACTCTGCTTAGTGTAGGAATCATTATTGATCCCAGGAAAAAAGGCACCATACCAGTTTTTCCGAACCCTGGGGAATTATCACTGTTTACTATTTATTTAAACCCAATCTTCGTAAAGTACAGATACTAAAAGATGCACTACTCCTGAATTTATACACAAGAAGGCGTAATCAGTGCAAGTATCATATCGGACAAATGTTTGGATAACTTTCTATCTTTACCTTACACCGATGTCAAATCAATGTTTCAATATGTCTCAGACTTGGTGAGTCACCAATACCATTTTCAACAGGTTGTCGACTTCTACCAACAACTGCATGTTCCATAACCATAAGAATATATCAATATAATAAGAATTTTTATTTTTTGTCTTTCACACTCATTGTATTTCGTTTCAGCGCCTATACTACCAATTCCAAACTTAATGAATGGACAGCTAAATCAGAAATATTGTGTAGAGTTATCACTTTTTGAATATTCTATCCAAGAATTATTTAAATTGATCAGCTTAGATGATTTTATCCGTCTGTTCACATGCACACTTTTGGAGTATCGTATTATCTTATTCTCTAAAGGTACGTTACTACAGCTTATTGTTAATTTGCAAATTCTACTGTGCTCTGGTCTCGGTTGTTTACTACTGAATGAAAAATGGGACAATGCATTTACTATTTATTCTTTTTTTTACGATGTATATCTCGTGTTACGTTTGTAATGTTGTTTAGCAAAGGAGAAACTGTTTATTGTACATTATTATATTATTATTGTTCCCTTAGGTTCCTAAGGGAAAATAGGGCTTCAACTGCACGTCTCCACTTGCTTCTGTCTTCTGCTGTACTTTTCACCCGCATCCATGCATGTTAGTCCATACTGTTTCAACTCCTCTTCACACGACCTCCTCCACATCACTCTTGGACGTCCCACTCGCCGCTTCCCTTTCGCGTTCCACTCGAGGGCCTGACGCGCGCGCGATGTCACCCAGCGGCCTCCTCAGCGAGTGTCCGATCCATCTCCACTTTCTCCTGCACATTTGTTGGGCAATTGGTTCTTGTTTTGCTTGTTCCCATAGTTTCTTGTTGATGATTATTTCCGGCCATCTGATCTTCAGTATAGAGCGAAGACAGTTGTTGATAAATGTCTGCAACAGACTGTTGAAAATATTCTTTGTGACCCGCCCGTCAAGTTTCTGATCCGTACAGAAGAACTGACTTGACGTCAGTTTATTGTACACAGACATTTTAATTATCTCTGCAGGTGTTTTGTCGCCACACTATACCTAAAGGATTAAATGGGAGTCTTTTTTAACCAATATTATTTCTTAGACACTTCCAAATACTTGCAGCCATCTTGAGACCGGGTTGTATTGTGGTAAAACGAAGTTCGATTAGAAACCATAACGATTTTATGAGCATGACATAGTTAAAGGTTGTGTCAGTTAGTCTGAAAACATTGTTGCTCACTTACATTTGAATAAAGCGATTATTTAGCCATCCATCTAAGTACTCAGTTTCCAATCATTAGATCACAAGTAAAATCGTTATATCTTATTTTCTGCAATTTAGTCAAATGGATAACTTTATAGGCTTTGACAAGAGGTATTTTCTGCATACAGTCGCTCAAATATGCATTTTGTTGTTGCTAGACTGCATTTTTATTCCCTAAGATATTTGTAAGGTCTATTAGATTAACCATATTACAGAAAAGCACCTCCGATTGCTTCTAATAACTTTTAAGCTCAGAAGTCTGTTTCAGACGTAGAAACGTTTTTTGTAAGTTAGTAAATTGCCTGAATTCATCCCTTGGTTTTACCCAAGGGAATCCTTGGAATAACCTAATTGTCCAAGTAATTTTAGCAGTCTTAATATAAGCAATATGATGAGTTTTGTTAATGATTGGTAGTTCGTGAGACTGTTTTTATTACCTAGACTATTTCTTTATACTCTTAGGAGCAATCTGTTTTTATTCCCTGTAATGAAAAAAATAACATACACAACTAGCCACTTGCGACTGTGTGTATGTAGCCAGAATGCATTGGCTGTGCGGTATTTCGTATTCATTTTGTCAACGAACAAACTAGCGATTTTAGCTGGGCAAGAGTTAGGAGAGGGGGGCGGGGCAAATAAAAACATAATATCAATATTGATGAATTCTTTGACTTTCAAGTGTTGATTTTCAGGGATTTGATTTGATTGGTTACAGGATTTCATTATGGGCTAATATCGATTAGAGAAATAGTGGAAAACCTAGAAGTACTGGATAAATGTTTCGTCATAGTTTATGGCTTTTCATCAGTCGCACTCATCACAGGTGTTCGAAACCACGACCTTCCGGTTGCAAGGCAAGCTCGTAGGCCATTAAGTCGCTGGGACCCGATCCAATGGCCACGACATCTCTTGCCCATGTCAGCTCATGATGAGATCCTGTAACCAATCATATCAGATCAAATCCCTGCAAACCAATTTTGAATATCAATCTGATGCTCGTCAGCGACTGGTCCTATTTAGGTAGGTAGAGAGCATTCATGACCAGTCTGACTGACTGGTTTCAACAGAGAACTTTGCACCGATGTGCAGCAGTTTGAGTCGCCACACTTCACTCAGCACACAAACCAAGAGAACAAAGCAAAAAGAAATGCAAAATAAAGACAGTAAACAGAGATAAAAGTCAGAAAGAATAGTAATATAGAAGAATAATATAATTTTATTCGGTACTATAAGTCACAAGGAATGGATGCATCTGCGCTGCGATTGAGAACGATTTTGAGCCATATCACCAATTGTCCCTAGCCACTGATGTTTACCATCTTAGGTAGTTTGCACCTTCCTACGCGACCGGCTTAAACTAACTGTCGTGGATTTCACTGACTGATGCCATGTTTTGGTTTGACCACCATTGGCAAAGACTACTTGACTGAGGTCTTTGAGACGTTAGGAGCTAATGGCCTGAAACTCTTGATGATATAGCTCAAACTTGTCCTCATTGTGTAGATGTTTTCACTCTGTGTTAACTTCCCGGCCAATTACTGTCTATTTACTCATTGTTCCTCCTGTTCATTTCCGTTTTATTGTAGTTCCTTTTGATTTGAACTTTCCCCCTATCTTTGTGTCTTATATGTAGTGTAACGGGTTGAAGTGTTGCGTTTTTATGCAAAGTTGTGCTTTGAGTCTCAGTTAGTCAGTTCACTTTGGTTTTATCCATTTTTTTTACCTTTATCTTTGCTCTTTTTCAGTTTATTACCGTCTCATGCTAGTTGCTGAATGTGTAACATGCCTACTATTACCATTTTATTGGCCACATGTATATGCTCCAATACTGCCAGTATCCTTAATTCATTTTGTGGATGCTCCTGTACCTTTTATAATGGGTATTAATATTCCTGATTCATGTAGTAGTCAAAACGGAAAACATTTTTTCATGAAACATTATGATTCAAAGTGTTATACGCCAACATGCGCCTGCCCACCTTCAATTGAACTAGCCAGTGAGGTAAGTTTCTTTTTACATACAAAAGGGGTGATTATTATTATTATTTTGATATGCACTATAATACTGACTTTAAACAGATAGACTTTGTAATTGCTACTGCTTGCCGGTGCAAGTCTGCGCACTCCATATATCTTAATTTTGGTTAACAAGTGGGTAGTAAAATCAAAAATAGATTAGTTAGAGGTCATAAACTATCGGTTACTTCATGAATTCCAATGATGTTTCACAATTTATACGGTGAGACAAAACGCATTACTGTGGGTTAAATGCGACTGTTGGATCGGCACTCGGATATCTCGCTTGTTCCATAACTGCCTCAGTTCGGCTGATGCTAAGAAACCCTTCGTAGAACATCAATACATTAAGATCAGTGCAACTTTCAACGTAGGTGAAATAGTGGACATGTTCGACCACTTCACATCCCATAGCAAGACTTGGTGTAAATGCAAGGCAGTCCGGAAATAGCAGGTTAAATTCAGCTTTCTCATCCAACAGGACTATATTGTCTGCCTACTCTAAGTCAAGTAATGAAAGAGTTTCACTCTTTCTGAAGTCAGGTAGTAAACTGCCTGTCTTTTATCGGATTTATTGTTTCCTAACTTTGGTTAGGCGTCGTAGGATTATGGACCACAGAATTATGGAAACAATAGTGATAAGTCTTCGAGTCTGTGTGACAGACATTAAATATAAATCATCATGATATTTAGCAAATTGCATTATTTTATCAAGTTTACCAAGAGTCATTTTGTCCGTGAGTTATCTGGTAGATTTGATTGTCGTGTTAAATCCAAGCTTATTATTAAGGCCTCCCGATTTTCCTTGCTTACATGGAAACTTTAAATAACTTAGTATTAAAGTATTGGGATTGTAAGGATTTGGTTGATTTGTTACAGTATTTGATCATGAGCTAACATCAGTTAGAGGACCACTAGAAAACCATCGGGGAGTACTAGGCAGCTGTTTCGCCCTAGTTTGGGACTCTTCACAGTATGCATCCACCGGGGTTCGACCCACGACCTTCTGGTTGCAACTACTCCCTGATGATTTTCCAATGGTTCTCTAACTAATGTTAGCTCATGATGAAATCCTGTAACCAATCAACCAAATCCCTACAAAACAATACTTGAATATCAATGAGATGCTCACTGGCGACTGGCCCTATTCAGGTAGGTAGTTACCTGGGGTTCTAGTGGGAAGTCGTGACCAGTAGGGTGCAGCAGGTCGGGCATTAGGACAGATACTTGCCGAAGACATTGACTAGCGATTGCGCTATATCATGAACTGGCAGAAGTTAGAATTCATGGCCTGGCTACTGGATTGGGTCCCAATGGCTTAATGGTCTTCGAGGTCACCTTGTAACCAGGAGGTTGTGGGTTCGAACCCCGGCGGTGGGTGCGTGCTGATAAAGAGTCCCAAACCAGGACGAAACAACTGTCCAGTACCCCCTGATGGTTTTCTAGTGGTTCTCTAACTGATGTTAGCTCATGATGAAATCCTGTAACTCGGTATTCATATGGTGGTTATTACTTACCTTATTGGCCTTGCTTTTCTTATAAATCTTAGTAAATTTTTAAATGGATTCTAGTGAGTGGTAGTGGTGCTATTTATTTGATTTCCTCATTTCAATTTACTGACTCCTCAGTCAAACTCTTGGCTGAGTTACAGAGACTGAACTAACTAATGTCAGTAAAGAGTTTGAGCACTGTTGAATAGATCAAATAAATTATAATTATATTTCAATAGTTTACACACAATGATAAGTTTTTGGTTTTTGGTAATATTTTGAGCAAAATTACTGCCTCAATGAACGAATGAACAAAAAATGAACTATATATATCATATTGTGTAAACCATTGAAATCTAATTATAATTTATTTGAATTATTTCTTCGATTATGTGGAGATACTTGTAAACATCAATGTTGGCAAATCTAGCGTGATACGTTTTCAATCACAAACCAAATCTCTTTTAAGTACTCATTGAAAATAACAAAGCGATTAACTGCTGTCCTAATTTAGTCCACAGAAAAAAAACACCGTCTCTCACCCTCTAGTTAGATGTCATGAAATAGAATGAAATGATACTGTTAAACTGGTCTGCCTGTCTGGATTCAACATAAAACTTGGCACCGAAGTGCACCAGTTCGAGTTGCCACGTTCCAAATAGCACACAAGGGTAGACAAGAAGATGAGTGAAGAGAATCAATACAGTCTGACAAGTATAAGAGTGAAACAGAATGGGTAATGGTAGAAAGGAATATGAAAGATTACAGAGACTGAATACATCTGCGCTGGCCATTGACAACGATTTTGAGCCATGTCACCTATTGTCTCCAGCCATTGATTCCTAGAGTCCCGAGGGCCCCAACCCGGAAGTCTGCATCTCCCTACCTGCTGACTCAGTTTAACTGTCAAGGATTTCATGGATTGATGAGGCCATGTTTTTGTTTGGCCACCACTTACTCTCTTCCAACCTGCACCTATATCAGCTAGTAATGCCCGTCGGGGGGAGGCGATGGTTAGACATGTGCAGCACGTGACCTAGTTATCTCAATCTATGTACCTTTAGCCTCGTCGATTGATTTTCCCTCTTTGCCCAACACTCTACGCCTAACGTCAACATTACTTACCTTGTGAAACCACCTAACGTGAGAAAGAGATCGCAGACATCTATGATCGAACTGTTACTATTTAGTTTTCTTGTACTGTGATACTAACGTTCATAATTTTCTGGAGCAGTGGTCAGTTCTAAAACCTGTACATATTTATATTGCCTTGTGTCTAACAATAATTAAAATATGCATAAATTAAATTAACTACTCTTAGTCAACCTTTTTCTCTTCTAACTTTATACTTTTTAACTAGGGTAATGTTTGCTATGTCTATATTGATGAGGGAAGAGTTATTGTACCGGATGAAATTCCAGAATTTCCAAATAGTCAGAATATCAAACAATCCTTATCGGATATCTTGAAATTAGCCGAATTCCTGTCGGAAAGTATGTTACATACTGTAATTATTGTTTCAATATTTGTTTATATCTAAATGTGTATATGTATCTATTTGTGTTGTGAATACCCTTGTTTTGTTAACAAGGTTGGAATTTTTTTACAGGAATACTTTTTATTGGTACATTGGACCAAATCATTCTGCCTTATATATGGCAGTCAGCTCTCTACTTCAACTTCATCGACTTTGAAAAGGCCTTCGACAGCGTCAATCGAAAGGTGATTTGGAGAATACTTTGCTACTACGGGGTGGCGCCAACAATTATACACCTCATCCAACAGTTGCACTATAATTCTGCATGCAAAGTAATTCTTGAAGTGAATACGGGAGTAAGACAAGGCTACCCACTGTCTCCAGTGGTTAATTTCCTGGTTCCGGTAGACTGAATAATGCAACAGACAGCGTGCAACGAAGAAACAGGCATAAAGTGGACCCACACAAAAAACTTGGAGGATCTGGACTTCGCCGATGGTATTTGTCTAAGTTCTCACAAACTGGAAGATATGCAAGTGGAGAGCAACAAATTGTCAGAGGAAGTATCAAAGGTGAACATAAAGAAAACAGGGATGATGAAGATTCCTGGACAACAGTGACAGCGGCAACAACAACAGACAAAAATCAGAATAAATGGGAGAAGTGTGAAAGAAGCAACCTCCTTTACCTACCTTCCCACCTACCAGGGAAACATCGTTTCAACTACAGGTGGACGGAACTGATGAGGATATCAAAGCAAGGATGGGAAAAGCAAGGCAAGCTTTCATTACTCTGAAATCTGTGTGTAGGTAGATCAACAGAACTCAGCATCAAAAACAAGATCCAGATTTTCAACTTCAATGTGAAGTCAGTGCTGCTACACGGATCAGAGACTTGACGCATCACAAAAGGCACTTTGAACAAACTACATACCTTCATCAACAGCTGTCTTCGTTCAATGTTCAATATTAAATGACCAGGAAAGATCAGCAACAGGGATCTCTGGGAACAAACAAACAAAGAACCAATTGTGCAAGAAACATGCAGGAAGAAATGGAGGTGGATTGGCTATACTCTGAGGAAACTGTCAGGTGACATCACACGGCAGGCAATCGCTCGAGTGGAACTCGAATGAAAGCGGCGAGTTGGTCGTCAGTGCAAGGGTGACTTGGAGGAGGTCATGTGAAGAGGAGATGAAAGCATGTGGGCAGACGTGGAGCCAGGTGAAAACGTTGGCAGAAAGCCAAACGCGATGGAGACGTGCGGCTGAAGCCGTATGCTCCTCTAGGAACTAAAGGAGACGATAATAATAATTCTGTCTTATGATATATATATATATATATTATCATAAGACGCCGACGCACACCTGATATTTATGGTCGGCCTGCGAATTTCGGGCTACCGATATCCACGCTGAAAATTCCATACTTGTGTCAAAAATACGGTGTGGAATCAAGCTGTAATCAAAAATAAAAAAATAAAAATATATATATATATCAAGCATCAATCACTTCCAGTCATAGAAATCTATTGGTATTCACCTCTCTCACTTACCTAGGCAGTATCATTCCAATTACAGATGAGAATTTCAAAGGCAAGATAGGAACAGCAAGACAGACACTCACCCTAAAACCATTGTGGAAATTCGCTGGGCTCAGCATAAGTAACACGATCCGGTGTTTGAACACTTATGTTAATTCTTTGCTTCTATGTGGTTCGGAAAATTGGCGCATCATAAAAAGCATCAGAAGCGACTGACCACTTCAGACCTCCATTAAAAGCCGCATTCACTGGCTTGTCCAAAGAAGATTAATGAAAAGAAACTAGTAACCATCCAATCAAAACTTTTCGCTTAGCAAATATGCAGAAGGAAATTGATTTCGATTGAATGTAGGCTGATGAGACTGTTGAGTAAAATCACGCACTAGGTTTTCAGACAGAAACCGATAATTTGAGCGGCGTCCAATTGTGGCATGGTAGAGGTCATCTGAAGCAGAAACAAAAGCCTGCTGGGAGATCGTGAAGCTAACTAAAAGGGACTGGAGAGAACAAAGGTGAGGTAGAAATGTCCGTTGGCCGACATCAATTTCAACTGGCTAACTAACTGCACGAAACTACTCAGAAGCTTTCCCTTCCTCCATATTAAACTTGGACGCGCCACCCGTCGATCATAATTCAGGTTCCACTTAAGGGATCTGATGTACGCCTGTCACGTACATAGTCATTTTAACTTGTCCAATACACCTCCGTTTCTTTCTGCTGATATATTTATTGGGTTGTCGATTATTTTTTGCTACTTGCCGCTGTCCTTTGTCGCTTATCCTGTCTTGTTGACCATTGTCATGTTAAACGAAGTCAAGAATTCATTCTCAATTACTCTAGACGTTTTATTTTATTTAAGCGCAATCTAATGGATTTTACAAGACTGATAGTTCATGTTCACAATTAACGTATTTTCAAAATGAAATAAATACCTCTTAGGAATTAACAACAATCTGTAACCTTAATGCAGTTTTGTTGATTTGTTTATAAAGTCTAAACAGTTACCAGGGTCACCTGAATTGTTCATGTGTTTATATTAGCTAGGGGGTGGTTTTCAGTGTTTCTATGCATGTATTGTTCCTCCTCTATAGACTTAAATGTTTCTAATCGTATCTATGTAGTAGTAGTCGTGTGTCTGTGTGTGTGTGTGTGTGTGTGTGAGGTTTCACGAGCTTCTCCATGCCGAATTCGGGTATTTCAAGTGCAAAGGCTTAGACTTTGGTTATCGACTTATTATTTACGGAAACATGTAAGAAACTGAATATTATGTATGCAGTTGAGGTCTTCTAAATAATTAGTAAAGTTTATTCGTTTCACAGGATGGTGGTACACACCCCCCCCCACACACGTACTAGTGATTTCGAAATGGATTCCTTGAAGTTATAACAAGAAGCTGTCACCTTACACCGACTGATACCAGTCAGTAGCAGTGTGAATTTATTGCTCATTTACATGAAGTGAGGAAATAAGTACAAGTGAATTTCAGCTGAATAACTCTGAGGCGTAATTTGTCGCCTATTCGACTTAATTGTCTTCATTTAATTTTCCTTTCTTTTTGGTCGCTTCTGATTGAAACGAGAATTCTCTGTTTATCAGTTTCAATCTCTCTTCGCGTCAGCAGTATCGGCTTCTAACAACAATTGTTTTTATCCAAACCTTTCACTTAGTAAATAATGCGGAGGATGTTAGATGTTTGGAGCCAATCGTGCTAGTTGGCACTCGCCAGCAAGGTGTGTACCTGCAATCTTAAATGGAATTCATGTCCCTCCTCCTGAGATTCAAACCTGTAAGCAGTCAGAGACGTTACCATTGAGCTATTCGGACTCGCGACTGACCTCCTATAGGACTGTATCAGATACTTTGATTGGACACTAGTTAGTAACTAGTGGGCAATTATGGGCAACTGAAGGGTGTAGTCAGTGACTCACACATATTATGTGAAGGCTGTAATGTTTCATTCCAGTGTAGTGAATCTGTGACCTATTGGTTACAGCGTCAGTGTTGAGTTTATCGTAACACATGGCTTGACTAGGTACTCTCACATGTGGTTTTCCTTTATATAATTAATAGTCTAATGATTAGTCATGTTCAAGTGTTGGTCTGGGGGGATTTGATTGCCTACAGAACCTTATAATTAGCTCAAATCGGTTAGAGAACCATTGGAAAACCTGGGAGTTCTGGACACCTGTTTCCGTTGTCCTAGTTTGGAACTCTTTGGCTGCACACACCCACTGGGGTTCGAACCCAGGACACTCCGGGTGATGATGAAGAGTCCCAAACTAGGACAATGGAAACAGCTGTCCAGTACTCCTACGTTCTCTAGTGATTCTCTAATCGATGTCAGCTCATGATGAGATTAATCATTTTTTCAAGATGGTATCCCCCTGACCTATCAGCAATAATAATGCAATTTGTTCATTCTACTACTAGCGGTTTCAAGAGTTCTTTACTGTCCCGTAATTTAAATTTATTATGAAATATATTATTATTCTATTGTGTTGTTTTCCAGGTTTCAACAGTCAACATGCAAGAGATCAAAGTGATATTCCACCAGTGAGTAGTCGTCAGGTTAATCCTGTGTCGTCTACAGTTCATGTAGCGCCTGTACTTAGACCAAAGCCTCCTAGTTCACTGACAAATACCTATAGTTCTCAACGAGTGAGTATCATGGTATTTACAATTTGTTTTATAACAATTATAATAATCGTGGTGACTGATTTGTTATAATATTGCGACCAGTCTTTTTTCAATTTTTATTTTCAAGGAAGTTGAACCCACTAGTGAAATACTCTTTAGTACGTTTACAGAGTTCAACTCTGTTCATGGCACACCATTATACTAAATTACTTAGGTTTTAATTCCACTTTATTTTAATAGACTGAGAGATAAACAGAGTTTAGGATTTGTCAGTCACTAGATGACTGTATCTGACATGTTGCTAGACTATTCAAATATTTGACAAGAGTTAGCATACTTTAACCTCAGTATGCTTGAATCCCACATCAACACTGCGTAGCAGCTAACTCTAATATGAGAGGAGACTTTTAGATGTTCTACAGTTGAAAATTAAAGTAACTTGAATAAATGAATTCTGAGAATGTAAAATGTAATTGTAGTTTGTATCAAAATTAAAACGCATAGGTGTATTATGGTCAGTCTGCTGGCGTTTAAAATTACCAAGAGTTGTCTTTTTGACAGATTGACTCAGCTGAACTCTTGTAGATATTTAGGCTCTTTCTCAGGGATGTCGTCTGTTTATAAAATGATAGCATGAGACGAAGGTTGCTCACGCTGAATTAGCCAGCATCTGTAGCTGTCTCACTATTCTGTAGAAGTCACATGGTTCAGTGACTCGGGAAGTCACGAGGTATTCTTCAAAATCAAAGCCGTTGGCAGCCATCCTGTGGTGTATTTCATCGTAATTCTTGAAGTGGTAAATATTAGCAGCAAATGTTCTTCAAAAATGACTTATTTTCTTGTTTCTTCTGTGATGTTGTATCAATTGACATATATGTTTTATCAAGTGAAATAACGATTCGATATCTAGATCATCTTGATGAGAGTTTCGAGTGCTTTTGTTGGGGTTACTTGTTCTTAGTTCCCATCGTAAGCCACAGTAGTATGATTTTATTTATGCATTTTTGTAACATTATCGTTATGGAGGCCAAGAGATGTACCACACAAAAATCTCATAGTTGTAGGAGGGTTAGGATACTGCCTGAACTCCCAAACCGAAGCAGGTGGTTGTTTTAAGTGGTCACACCCCCTAGCCTGTGACTTGAAATCTGATCAACAAGGCAGTGAAGTAGTGTCAGGAGCTGCGTTCTCATGGCTGCCGGTATCCAAAGCAGGATTCATACGCCATTCTATCCATTCAGATTCTGAAGCCCATATAAGGCCATAGCTTTGGAATTAGAGTTTCCCAGCTCCCTTAGTTTAAACCTGTGTGTCCACCAATCTGGTTGTAAGCTCTACATGTTCACATTCACTCTTCTACTTTTGTGAGGAACACTTCCGCTGCGTGATGGGGGCTATAAATGCGTAACCAGCCACATGAGAGTATTTCTAGAGAAAGATGGAAGTCTAGCCACCCTCAGCCGTACCAGGTTGTTTATGAGGGCGCAGTAACATGTATCGTACGAATAGTTGTCTCTGTTAGTCTTATGATGAAATAATTCTCAGTAAAATTTTCCGTATGGCAACTCACTTGTCATCACATGCAGAACAGACGGTGGAGCTACAGCTCCTCGATCCAACCTCTAAATCATGAAGCCCTGAACTCTGTGTTTCTTCATATCGAATTCGTTCAGCTAGATATTATCGGTCCTTATGGGATAGGTGAGGGTTCTTTAGTAGGGTAAGTTGACGTGTATATGTGGCTGCTAAGTTTGAAGTTTGAAAATAAAAGACCTTGTGAAGTGTTTGTAAATCAAAATCCATGTGGGTCGTGTTGAAATGGTGTTTTTAGTTTGTCGACCATTGATTTTTAGTTTGATCCATGTGAGAATGAGCAGTGTCACTAGATCGGATACATCAAGTGTAGTTCATGGCCAAATGCGCATAAAATAACAGCGTTCATCACACACAGATTTTCAGTTGTTGTATTTAAAACCTGTACTTATATTTATGATCCAATGTCAATGGAATCCATTACCTCTTACTTTTTCATATATATGTGTGTGTGTGATTTACTGATTCTGCTACTAGAAAAGCTCTTTTTCACGTTCTGAAAAATCACAACCATTTCGAGAACAAAACATGTTAGCGACGACAATTGCAACAACATCAGTGGTGAACGATTCCAGTGATACTACGTATGCATCAGATCAAGTCAACAGTACTGCAACAGATAACTATACAAATCAGAATTATCAGATGCTGTATTTCGAAGCATGTTCAAAGGCAGCTAAAACCATAGTCTCGAAAGAGGTATGTTTACTCTTAAATTGCCTATTTCTTTATTAATATTGTCACTATTATAACTGTAGTAGGTGCGACTTACAAAAGTAGCATGGCATATTGTGTAGTTCCCTCCCGAAAATTATCGACCAGTGAAGGTCCTCCAAAAAAAAATTAGAAATTTGATTGCAATACTGAAAGGAATCGAGTACATTCCCTATTACAGAGTAACTGATATTATTTGTAAAATAATGAACTAGATCTGTCAGGTTTAGGATTCTATTATCGTTCTCTGTAATTTGTCCTATTAAACGTTACATTTATCCTCTGAAACAGTCCCATATTCATCTTTTGAGGAATATTTCAGATTTATTCTGTATTCTATTCACCTTTTTGTGTTTCGTGGAAAAATAAGAAGAGTGGTATTTTCGGATGGTTCGAAGTTTAATTTTCTTTAGCCTATTATGTGTTCTCGGTACTACCGTTGTGGCGTGTGCTACTGATAAAATTTATCAGTAGTACATAAACTGATGTTCATTGGTATAAAATATCAAATATCTGGGAGATAGATTTGATTAGGACTGCTTTTAGCGGACGTCTTCATGGCAAGCTTAGAGAATGGCCCACCGAAGGAAACCATCGATAGTTTGTGTATGTATAAAAGATATATTGATAATACCTTCATTGTATGTGATGAAAACTCTTCAACTGCCGAAATATTTAATGGTTCTCACCCATATTTGCTTCTCACGGTCGAAGAAGAGTCGAATTCCTCGTTTCACTTCCTTGATGTTAAGCTAGATAGAAGAGAGAATGGAACGCTGTTAAGGTCAATTTACCGAAAGTCAACATTCACTGGGCAGTACACTAACCTCAACAGTTGGGTACCTTTAGGGGGAAAGAGAAATCTTATTCATTCCTTATGCTCCAGAATTCGTAAAATCTGCTTTGCAGAGACAATCGATAGGGAACTAGATAACCTTCGATCAAATCTCCTTAACAATGGTTATCCCTACAAGGTTCATTGAACGTAACATCAAGAAAGAATCCGCCGCGAGACAAATCACAGTTCCAAAGAAAAAACTGTTTATGAGTCTTGCATTCAAAGGTGGCACCATTTCGGAATTGATTAAAAATCGTTTATCTAAATGTGTTGAACGCACTTTTCCTGCAGCTGACCTGCAACTAGTTTTTACTAGCCGAAATATGATTAGACAATGCGTCAAGGATAGATTACCGCTTTTGTCCACATCTATGTGCATTTACTCTTTTACCTGCTCTTGTGGAGCTGTTTATATTGGATTTTGTAAGCGTAATCTCCGAAAACGTGTAGCTGAACACTATCCGGTTTGGTTAATGAAAGGCGAACGAAGAACTGCGAAATCATCTATTTTTGATCACCTGTTAGAGTCTGGTCATTTAGCCCCATGTGATTCATCTTTCAAAGTTATCTACATGGCAAAATTAAATCGGTCCAAAAGTTTATGTTGTCTTCACTTATGCACAGCCGAAGCTTTAGCTATACATAAACAGAAACCTAAATTATGTGTTCAGAAACCCCTTTCTATACCTTGGTCATAGTAATGTTCTTTCTAGTTTTTATCTTATTTTACCACTTGAATTCTTTCCACTTCAATTCACATCTTCATTCTTATCGTAATCGTACTCCTAATTTTCAAAATTTTTAGACAACACTTGACATTTTTGATATCAATTCACTTATAAAACAATCTTTAATATTTTTGTAATTTATCCACTTCAACTCTACCCCTTATAACATTGTAATTATCGTTACTTTAATCACATATCTACGTACATTGACTGAGCAATTATTTAGTGCCACTTAATAACCTTTTACTGTAATATAAATACGACTGTACAGCTTGAAAATGAAGTCGTTGAAAAGAAATTTCTTCGCTGAACAAAAACTGTGTTTTTACTTATGAATGAATGGGTATTTTTCGAGATAGATTTGATGTCAAGAAGCGAAAGTGATTCAGACTTACGGCAAAACATGGGAGATGTGAAAAGGTAAACCCAATACGAAGGGCAGAAGTAGCAAGCACAACGCGTAAGACCTTTGCAAATGGTGATTTGGAGATAAGGTGTACATAATTTTGCTATATACGGATACCGAATCCCGAATAAACATCACTTAAGCAAGTCTCTTGTCTTCTATCGTACACTGCTACTTAAACGCTTGTATGTATTATTTGCTCTATCAATCACATTTTTGAGCATTATGTAACAATCTTACGTGGTTTAATTCTCTTTTCGGGATGAGTTCATGAAATTAGTCAAAAATATAATGTCTTTGAAAAAGGTTGTCGCACACACACACAAAGAGTTTCAACACCAATGTGCTTCTATATGATTGAGGTACTTGGCGCGCACATCATCCAACAGGCCACTTCAGACATTCATTAACGACTGCCTTCTCTCTCATCACTAGAGATCAGCGATAGCTAACAAGGAACTTCAGAACGTAACGAAGAACCTATTATCCAACTAATATGCAGATGGAAGTCGAAATAGATTGGACATATGCTTAGCAGACAGCATTCTGGACATAAAACAAGTCAAGCCGTTCAGTCGAAGGTGAACTGGGTAGGCGTTGAGTTCGGTGTAGGTTCGAAAGCGATATCGAAAAGATCATGTGAGTTGGAAATGAAAGCTTGTTGTCAGTCTTGGGACCAGTTAAAAGTGATGACAGACAACTGGGTGCAGTGGTGATGTGGTACTGATGAAACCCTTTGAATACTACGACTAATAATAGTAATATCCACCGCTGGCTAAACTGTATTCATGGTGTTTCTGTTGTTCCACTTCTGGGTGATATTCGTCTGATTCTAATTTTAATTTTTGTGTAGAAGTGTGCCAAGTGACGGAAGAGTTATCTAGAAACAGTCCTACGTAATATTTTGTTGACCTCATACAAGTAGATCTTAGTGATTTTAGTGATTTACCTGCATTAAAATCAATTCTCATTGTGTTCATTTTACAGGTTTATTCAGGTTATGCTGAATTATTACACATAAATGCAGCTGTTAGAAATTTATTTCTTCTTAATTTTGCCAATATATTTCAAGATTATGAAAATTTTTTAATCTTGGATAAAAATATTGAACAAAAGTCTGACAATCATAATGATGATTATAATAACAACAACAACAACATCAGTGAGAATGTATGTTCTGGTCTACAAGTGTTCGATAAAGTTGGCTTTTTAAGTGATCAACCAGAGACACATTTACCATTTTTAAGTGCATTTCTTGAAACACAAATGTTTGCCAGCTTTTTAGATTCACGTATCAACTGGAATAGTCTATTCAATAGTTTATCTGACAATCAGACAGTACAATTCACTAGTTCACCTCCAATGCATCTAACTGTTTTCCACTTGTTATTATCTAAATCACGAAATGAGCGAAAAGCAATATTTCGTCATCAGCATACATCACAGAATACTACTCCTAATAATACCACTACCACTACTATGGATACATGTGGATCACCGGAGAATAAATTTTACAATTATGTACTTGGTTATCAACAAAAACAATACAAGGCGATAGGTTCCCACTTTCCTGATTTTAATTCTAAGCCAATTTTCGATAGTGTTCATCAACAACGGCTTAATAATGGTAGGTTAACCTTGCTAGCAATTGCAGACACCTTTATTTTATTGTTAATATATCTAATTAAACTGGAGTTATTTACACAAGTTTCGAATAGCACTGATTTAGAATTTAGTTGTGCGTCGGTGGCACAGTGGTTAGCAAGCTCACCTACCATCCACATGGTCCGGGGTTCGATCACCTTCCGATACACTCCTTTACCTCACTTATCCAGTAATAAGACTGGTAAAGAGGTAAGGTTGGGCATGAGGCTAGCAACCCTATCCTGTAAAAATAAACACTACTACGGAAACTTCAAGCCTCCAACTTGAAGCCCTATGTTCCACTGGGAACGTGAAGGAAGTAAATAAATAAATAAAATAATAAAATTTAGTAGTAAACTTAAGTGAAGAGAATAGGTTGGTGTTGTGTTCTGACGACTGCCGGTCGGATAAATTCATTATTGACAATGTAACTTCAAATCCTTTGTTTGTTGAAGTGGCCGGACAAGGTTTACTGATAGACTAAATAACGTTGTTTGTGTGTGTATGTATGTATGTGATGTGAATATGGTGAAATGCATGGATTGCCGTTGATTCAGGTTATTATAATGACCAGTGGGCATTTGTCCAATGGATTTAGTGCACCCTTATTTACAGTTGGTTGAAAGTTGTTAAAAATCTTAATACTTTCGACAAGTTTCATGCTTTAGTTTGTTCCAGTCGTTGGAGTGTACAGCACGGTTAGCTTCACACAAAGTCAAGAGAGAAGCATTGCAATGTTTTGTAGTTTTTCAATCACTCATTTTATCAGTCAAAAGGTTTATGTGTTTTTAACTCGCATTAGTCTCTCGCTAACAAATCCACAGGAATCTAATCTCATTCGTGACTAGTCTTACTTTAAAGATTGTAGCTTCCTACGAGAAATGTGTGGAGAACTAAAGTCACTGATTTCATTTTGTTAAACTTACGAAGTATGAACTCTGTTTTCAGTAATCAACTGAGAATACAAATGGTTTCATTGTGTCAAAGGTATTTCTAGTTAGTTGGCATTTCGTGAGATGAGGTGAAGATATTCGATCGTCAGTGTGACTTTATGATATATGACTGACTAACTGACTGGTTTCAACATAGACCTTTGCACAGAAGTGAAGCAGTTCATTGATGATATAAGAATAAAACTTGTGCACTGTGGTAGAGTGTAATTCTATTATGGGTAAATTTTGTTTTGATAAAGTCTCACAGTGTTATACAGTCTGTCTGTCTGTCTGTTTTCGACATAGAACTTTGCACAAATGTGCGGAAGTTCAAGTCGCCACATTCCGTGTAGCACGCGAAGCAAGAGAAGAAAGTACAAGAAAAGCATAATAGAAACAGTGAGCAGAGGTGTGAGACAAAGGAGTAATAAAGAAATACAAAACAGTTTCATTGAAGATCATAAGTCACAGGGAGTGGATGCATCTGCGCCACTGAGAACGGTTTTGAGCCATGTCACCAATTGTTTCCAACCATAGATTTTTACCGTCCCGAGGACCCCAGCCTGGAAGTCTACACCTTCCTACGTGGCTTAGACCAACTGTTGTGGATTTCATTGACTGATGCCAAGTTTTTGTTTGACCGCCGCTAGCTTTTTTCCAGCCTGACCCTATATGCGCTAACATAGCTCGTCGAGGGAGGCGATGGCTTGGCATACGTAACACATGTCCTAACCATCTCAGTCTTTGTAGCTTCACGACTTCGTCGATTGATTTCCCCTGTTTACCTAGAACTCTGCGCCTAACCTCCATGTTGCTCACCTTATTATGCCACTTTACACGGGAAATAGAACGCAGGCACCTATGATCAAAGACAGCTAGCCACGCTTTTCATGTCTTCCACTCTCAGTGGCCAGGTCTCACAACCATAAAGGAGGACGGAGCGGACTGATGAGCAGTACACCCGCCCTTTGGTCGATAGTCGAACATCTCGTCTACGCCAGAGTCGGCGTAAACTAACAAATGCGAAACGAGCCCCCTGTATTCGTGCTGAGATTTCGTCAGAGATCAGCCCGTTGGGGCTGATGGTACTTCCCAAATAAGTGAAGCGGTCAACGTGCTTTACCACTTCACTTCCTATTTTTAAACTAGGCGTCGATGTAGTCCAGTCCTGTAACATCATCTTGCATTTGGCGGGAGCGAATCGCATTCCAAACATTCGTAGATTGCGGCTCAAGGTGTTTAGAAGACTGCATTTCGTCAGCGTCTTCGCCTAGAAGGACTATGTCGTCTGCATATTCCAAGTCAACGAGATTATTCCCCGGTAGCAAGTCAATCCCTGAGTCACTGAAGTCACCTAGGGTTAAGTCCATTAACACATCTATGATGAAGTTGAATAGAAAAGGAGATAATGGGCATCCTTGACGGACACCACTGGTCGTCATCAGTTCAGATGACAGCTCGCCGTAAGCCCTCACCTGGCTGTATGAGTACGAGTAGAGTGTTTATTGATGACGTTTCGAGCACAATTTATTGCTCATAATCATATCAAGGTAATCACACGACTTCCTAAATTCATTTATATAGTTCCATTGTTTTTCTCTTGATTTTCACTTGATTTGATTGGTAATATTATTTTCCATATTTCAGGTATGAGTGATGACTCATTCTTATTGCATGTGTTTGGTGTAGACTCAATGAACAAGGATTCAGTAATCAACCTCTCTCTCCACCTATTTAGATTACTTTTTAGAATTTTAACCCTCTCCCTCTTATTTACGTTATAAAGTCATATTCTTTTACAGATAATAATAATAATAATAAACACATACACTTTCCTGAATATTTTTCTTTTCCTTATTGGCTTCAGAACCCCTACCGGATTTACTTTACGATATCAAAACTGATACAAATGTCAGTAACACTGCTCATCTGTTGACGTCTATAGTACCTCATACTTCTTCAAGTGTATCGTCACCGACTACTGAAGATTGTGCTCAGTTTGGCAGATTTCCGACATTAAGTAGCCACTTACTACGTTCTTATTCTCCAAAATCACAAAAGCATAGCACTCCGTCAAATTATCCACAATACTTTGCAAATGTCAAAACTTCTATGAGAGCTAACAGTTATGAATCGAAAACGGATGACTGTTCGTTAATACGTGAATCATTTACATGTGTTTCTGGAAATCAGTTTCACAGTGCTCCACAATCAGATAAAATTCGTCGGCATATTCTATCACCTGCAGCTAATGTACCAGTTACGTCTCCACCTAATCTATTCGGCAGCCATATCGGTTGTATGTCTACTCCAATCAAGCGGACTGCACCGTTATCCTCTATTACAAATACTATGAATACGGATGTTGTGCATAATTTGAACAAATCAGATACTAAGGTAAGACATTTTTACTGCTGCTGATGGGTCCCTCCAAAAAATATTTGTAGACGTACTTTTTTTGTATTTTCAAGTTTGGTTTGCAGGGATTTGATTGTTTTCAGATCATGAAATGACATCACAGTTGGAGAATCGTTGAAAACCACCCATAGAGAGTATTAGATATATGTTTTGTCCTACTTTGCGACTATTTAGCGGTATTCCCCTACTATCTCACCAGTTCCTTAATCCAGAACCTTTAGTCTGCCAGACGAGGCTGTTGACTATTCAGTCACTGGGATGGTACCCAATCGCCCGAGAATTCTAACTTCTACCAATGTCATCGGCGAGTATTTTTCCTCACATTCGACTTTGTGCCACTGTCTGCAAGATGGAGTTGCTTAGAATTCTATTGAGAAGCTGGTGTTTTGCTTCAACAATAGCTTATACATGTTGATGTCGTACCAACCTCAGTCAGCACACTACACTAAGTATTGGTGACTTCTCAAGGGGAGTTTCTTCACTCAGCTTTATAGGCGAATAATGCTGCATGAATGAGCAGTAGTAGTTCATTGGGTGTTTAATGTCAGGGAGGGCTTTGTGTGCTTTTGGAAGTTTGTGGGCGGTTGTTGCTTCCGGACTGCCCACATCGTGGAAGTTAATTTTTTCTTGGGGTACTTGAAATAGAAATAGAATTAGTGTTGTGTGATCGCAGAGCCCAGGGGACAATTGCTTGAGACCTGTCACACAGCCTGTCGGAACTAGCTTATAGCTTTGGTTCCGTATCAGTAAACTTACCGCCGTTTACGGACCACCGTCGAATAAGTCGGGATGTAAAGTTGTTGGGGTTGACCTTTTCTAACCTCCTATTTCCTGAGTGGAGAGGCAGCATAGCTGGCATATTGGCCACCTGAAGGAAACGCCTTACTGCTTTTACTTCCTTGTTCCCCAGCAGTACGACTTTGTCTACAGACCCCCAGCATAGTGTAACAAAAATCTTATACTATCCTGGTAACTGCTTTTAGTCTAATCGCTATCGTAATAATCTTCCTGGCATGGTAGGACCTGCAGGAACAATAGTTCCAGCCATTGTAGCTTGTTGTTGTGAATAAAATGTCCTTTGTGGTTTGATTGTAATACTCAAGTAAACTATAAATAATACTGCAGTTTAAATGTACACTTTTCTTTCATTTCATGCTTTCCGAGGGGAATGCAGGGGATCAAGCTGTGAGCTACGAAGTTTCACTAGCCTAGCTTCACTCCCAACATTCCCTCTTTTCCTGGCTTACTGTGGAGCTAGTAAACCAGGCGAGATTTTGAAGTGTGTCAACCGGAAATTGAACCCGAATATCTCCTGTGTGTGTGTGTGTGTGCACTGTTAACTTGCAACACTAATAAGGTCCATGAAATCTGTACTTATTTGAAGAACTGAATAGCAGCATGCAGTTTGAAGTCGAAATAAAGTTAGGTAGTTATGCTTATTGCACATATTCGTCCTCTGATATCCGTTTCTTTTGCTCTGATCTTCTTACTGATGTCATTCTCTTCCTGAATGCCTGTATTGTACTGTGTTTGTGTGTGTGTGTGTGTACACCACCGCTTGTTAAAATCATATTTACAGAAAGTTATTTGCCTTTTGCGGTTATGTATTGTCAGAGATAGTTTACTCTTTGATTACATTGCATTGTTTCAATTTGTCGATAGTTTTCGTTTATGATTATTATTCACTTTTTCAGAATTCAAATATATCTAATGGAAACAATGGCAAGTCAGCAACTAATAGATCTTTTATTCACACACATCATCAATTCGCAGACTTACAGCGTAATGGAATGGCTCAAGCGAATTGGGATTTTGTTGATGCCTTACTGGAAGAATGCAAGCATCGGGTAATTAAAAAAGAAAACAAAACCTTATTCCTCTCCTCCCCCCCCACCCCTCCTTTTTTCTTTTTCTGCTACAACTAGTTAAATCTGTGCTTTTTTCATCTTCATTAAAGCCCACAAATGACTATTTTTGACACCGGAAGTTGTTCTAAAATCTCAGATTTAAGATTTGTTATATTACAGCCGCGGAGGATACCATGAAGAAAATATACTTATTCATTGTAATTGAGGACAAACAGTTCAGCGAACTAACTTTTTCTGATGAATTCATTCACTTGGTTGTGCAATCGCTCAGGAATTTAGACTTATAGGTTCTGAGCATTTGTTGTATACATTGTCAAAATATGTCAAAACTGTGGAATAATCAAATTGTAAATGCAGGGTGTGTGGGTATAAGTTTAGACTAAGGCTGCATAATGTGAAGATCGTTCAGAAAGAATTAGATATCAAGGATGAAAGAGCATGGGGACAAGGATCAAAATAAATTATGTGTTAGATGAAAAGAGTCATTAGAAGGTTGGTTGGGAAATACCGATAACACTTGTTGTATGGAGAAGTTCCTTCCTTCTGCTTAGGGTGTAATTCCAAGCTCGATTGTCCCCGTGCTCTTTAAATTAGCATCCAATTTCCCTTGAACGTTTTTAATGTCAAACAGCTTTAGTCTAAACGTACTAATCTGTAACCCGCACCCTGCAGTTGCAACACTAGTTTCGAATATTTTAATGATGTGAATCATATATTACAATATATAAATATAATGTTTGAGACCATTTCACCTCTAATACCGCCATATAAATGCCCCCATCTGTCCCTCTTAACCATTACTTCGGGTCCGAAAACCAGCAAAATAGAATCGAAGTCCTATTTCTAGGCACAAAGGCCTGTCTTGAGCACTCAAATTTTTTCAAAGTAAAGATGCCGTCTGCTTCCGACACCCGGTTAAAGGCATCCGAAAGCATGCCAACAGATGGCGGGCAAGGAAAGCTCACCCATCTCCGTCAGCACCCGTTTACACAGATACGGCTGAAAGGCTGCACATCCACTACACCGACCCGAACACAAGTTCTGATCGTAACCAAAACCGCGAACATGCAACGGCATGCGACCTCAACTACGAGCTTTCTAAATGCAGCAACTTTAATATACGCTTTTGGAGCTGGAGTTACTGCGGCTGCTGGCACCAGACTTGCCCTCCAATTGGTCCTCGTTAAAAGATTTGAATTGTACTCATTCGAATTACGGAGCCTCAATTGAGTCCCGTATTCGTATTTTTCGTCACTACCTCCCCATGTCGGGAGTGGGTAATTTTCGCACCTGCTCCTAGGATGTGGTAGCCATTTCTCAGGCTCCCTCCCCGGAATCGAACCCTGATTCCCCGTTTACTCCAGATGTGAACAATACTTCAAACTAATATTTTCATTCTTGAGCTATGTTTCATATACTGAATGTATACATCCACACACACGCAAATAATAAGTATGCAAAATTGCGATTGTACAAGTAAGTGAATGATACCTCCGAAAGGGGTTATGGTGGTGTGATACTGACAATGTGTGCCAATGGAGTACTTTCACATATTCCCACAGTTCAATACAGCTTTTTGAACATTCTATTTCATGTCGTTTAATGTGTCTGCCAAAATCACATATTCAATGATTGGTTAGCGAATATAAAACTATATATATATATATATATGAATGGTGGTTTAATTAATGAAAAATATACCTTGGCTTCCGTGTCTTGCCTTCTGCTGTTACAGGGTCACTTCAGTGAACGGTTTGTTCATAATTCCGCGTCCAGATGAATATTTTTCGTGATTTTATTGATTGTAGGAGTGTTGGACAGTACTGTTTGCTGCTAAATTTAGTTTGGCAGGCAGTACACTTAGCCTTAACAGGACACATAAAAAAGTTTGGGTATACTTTTTGTCTGAATGACTGTGTTCACACACACACATACATGAAATCAACACAACATAACGTCATTCTGGTGTCCATAAACCAATGTGAACTTGATTTTTCTGATTCCATATTAATTTGTATATTGGATATATCACACAGTGAAACGGTACTATTTACTGGATGACACAGTTTCAAACACAATTGATCCTTGTTCATAATTATGCCAATTGTAATCACACAACTTTGAAACTTTATAGTTTTATAGTTTTCTTTGTTTTCTCCTATTTGTCGTATGGGTAGTAGAATTTTCTAGATATTTGGAGCAGGTGTTGAATCACCCCTATCACATGTATTTGCAGTTGATTCGATAAACAAAGCTTCTGTTATCAATGTCTCCCTCCACCCTGTGACTAGATTTTAAAACTGTCATCCTATCCCATCCTATTGTATGGTTGTGTGTAACTGCATGTAGTGCTATAGCTGAGCTGTTCTCTAGATTTCTTACCTTACTTGGGTCAACCAATCTAGATTTTGCTAGGTTTTTATGTTCAGCTAGTCTGACTGCCCCTGTTCTACTACTTTGATCTATGTATTTGACCCGACACACAATCATTCCAGCAGGGTATAAGATAAATTGAATTGCTGTGTCTAATTGGCTCCAACGGATCCTTTAACCGATAAAGCTTATTTCTAATTGAGTTTGGGGGTTTGAATACCAGTTTTTATTCCTGCCTGCATTGTTAAGAATTCTTCGTGAGGTTTCCGAGGTTCCCTCTTTGTGTGGAAGTGCTACTGATGATATAAATTCCCTATTGTTGGTGTAGTCATCATTCTGTGCATGTTTGTCATTCATTTCGTCATTAACATTATTACTACTCATAAGTATTATTCTGTTATTTTTATATTTTTCTACATACTTCCTGATTAATTTGTCAGGGAGATAATTAAGTTTCAAAGCTTCTCTTATATGCTTCACTTCCTGTCTTAGATTTTCTTTGGTAGTACTTATTTTTTGTGCTCTTTTACTTAAACAGTTCACCAATCCTATTTTTTGCCAACTTAGGGTGGGATGATCCAAAGTCCAAATAGCGGTTCGAAAGGTCATCCAGTAAATAATACTGTTTCACTGTGTTATATATCTAATAAACAATACTACCACAGTGCTCAAGTTTTACACATATAATAATTTGACTTTTCTGAATTATTGATATAAGTTCACACTAGTGATTGGGGGTGTTCTTCCCCCCTTCTATTTGTATTTTAGACGAAACGAATGGTTCTTAAGAAGATTGGTCAAGAAGCTATCGAAATGGGGCATGGAGATCCGAATATTTCTGTTGTTGAAGAAAACACCCTGGTGTCGGGATTATGTGATCTCTTGGAACGGATTTGGTCACATGGCTTAAATAGAAAATTAGTAAGTCACCTACAGGACTACTTGTTCATTTTATGACTTATACAGTTTTTTTATAGGTGATGTCTTATTGTACTTTTGAAGTTGTTGTTTGTAATCACCTTAAAGGAGTTATTCTAATATGAAGTCAATAGTGGCGGGGGTTTTTGTGTGATGGAAACCTTAGCTTCATGTCCGAGCTTCCCTCCTTTCCGAGCTTAGGATGACTAGCTAGTAAACAGGAGTTCATTATTGTGCATTCGGTGTAAAGATGATCCACAACACTCAGCACAAGGAGCAAGATTGAATTTTTCAACTCCAATGTCAAGCCAGCGATTTTATGTGGTACATGCATCACCTAAGGGTTTTCCAACAAGCAGCTGTAGACTTTCATCAATTCCCTACTGCAACAGCCTGGATATTGATCAGATAACCGTTCGGGAAGAATAAACAGCAACAAGGAACTCTTGCAGGCGGTAAACCAGTTAACAACCTATCGACTCAAAAAAATAGTTGCAGAATATGGATTTGGATTGAAAATACTCTGAGGAGAACTTTATGACACACACTGGACCGTTGAGTGAAACCCGAATGAGAATCGACAGCCTGGGCGTCCGAGGGTGACATGTGGCAAATCATGCGATCAGTTGAAAGTAATAGCAGAGAATCGATTGAAGCAAAGGTATGCCAGTGAAGCTGTATATTCCATTCGGATAGCAAAGAATAGTCAATAATAATAATGATCCTTGAAGTCACAAATGATGCGAAATCGCGGTTGTTTGTAATATGCATAAAACTCACGCATTATGTCTATGGCGAAGTTAAAGTATCATAGCCAAAGTCAAGGATTGTGAAAAGCTGACCTTCAAGATCCAGTCAGAAACGTCATTCCAATTCAAATCATACCTGCCTTTTTGGACTTGGACTTATTCTCTAGGTACTTCCTCTTTAAATCCATACTGTTAGGTAGCGTTATGGCCTTCAAGATTAAAGTCTAGGGTTAAGGTTAGAGTTAAGGTTAAAGTTAGGCTTTTGGGGTTGGATTATTGTTAGGGTAAGGAGTAAGGTAGAGAACATTGTCAGAAATAATAATGGATCTCAGAGTACTATGACCTACAGTCACCTGGATGAATGCGTATTTCGCACACAGTTTTTCTCTATAGATCATCTATGCAGTAACTAAGAGACATTCTTACAACATATATGCGACAACTATATAGTGTAATGTCATGTTTGCTAATGTTTAAACAATTTTGTGACTTTTTTGTGTTTGAATTCTGATTGGTTGTCCATGGTCATTGCATTTTTGGCTACGATAGTTTAACTTTGCCGGTTACATTTTAAATTTCCACTGTTCGTTTTCAAATGTGTCTTATGCATAAACTGGTTTCAAAGTATTCTTCACATTCGTATCTTTGAATGTATATTCATTGGTGTCAGTTTGACGTAAATTTTTTAGTGTGTGATTCTCTGTTGTCATTATTTCTCCTATCAATCAGCCCAGCATATGTAGGAAAACAGTTATTATTGTTTCTTTTAATTCCTAGAGGAACATAGGGCTTCATCTGCGCGTCTCCATTGCGTTCGGTTTTCTGCCAACTTTTTCACCCCAATCCAAGTCTGCCCACATGCTTTCATCTCCTCTTCACATGACCTCCTCCAAGTCACCCCACTCTCGCACTGAGAACCAACTCGCCTCTCGCTTCCCTTTCGGGTTCCACTCGAGCAATGGCTTGTCTAGTGATGTCACTTGATGGTTTCCTCAGAGTATGACCAGCCAATCCATCTCCATTTCTTCCTGCCTATTTGTTTCACAATCGGTTCCTGCTGTGTTGGTTCGCTCATTGCCAGAGATCCCTCACTACTGCTGATCTTTCCTGGCCGGCCATCTGATCTTGAGCGGAGTATTGAGCGAAGACAACTGTTCATGAAGGTCTGTAGTTTGTTCAAAGTGCTCTTCGTGACGTGCTAAGTCTCTGATCCTTATAGAAGCACTGACTTCACATTGGATCTTATTTTTGATGCTGAGTGCTCTTGACCTCCACACAAACTTAACAGTAATGAAACTTGTCTGTTTTCTAAAAAAACAATGCTGACTCTCAAGTGAATTATCTCTTTCAGTTATGCAACAAAAGTGCATTTGAATTAATCTGTCAATGTCCTTGTTTTTTATACGAATATAATTCACATGATTATCGCCAAAGGATTAATTAACTGGTTTGTGAATCGTCCATTGAGACACTGACAATTTGTACCACTCGTTGTAATACACACGCCAATTTGTTAAGAACCCTATGACGACAACCTGTTTATACATTGTTTGTTTTTCCTCCTATCAGGGTAAATCAGCTTTATGGTCACATCTAGTACTGTATGCTAAACGCGTTGAATTAATGAAACAGACAAATAAGGAGTTAGCAACCAATGAAGCAGAACTACTCAATCTTGAATCATCACCACCAACCACTTCTTCGTCTTGTGGTAGTTCACCGCATATATCTGATCTACGCAATAGATCTGTTGGAGGTGTTAATACACGTGTTGCTGAAACACCTGAAACAAATCAAGAAATGCCTCGATCAGATGCAAAGTATTCAGGTAATATACCGTTGATATATACGTGTATATTTTTGCCATTTATAATTATTCGAATTCTTTTGAAGTTCTACAGGTATGTGTATTAAAGCCTTCATATTCCAGCTTTTTAACTCTGTTTTATTACTTTAGAGCCCCTAGATTATCTAGTCAGTTACTTATGTAACCGGCGAACCACGTTCAGTTGTTCTTCCATTTATCCGCTGATTGGCTAACCCAGATGCAGCTGTATAGGTACTTATTGACGAAAATATCCAGAAACTAGTTAGTGTAAATAGAGTGCTCTTGTACAAAACACTAGCTCCTAAAGCAGAACAGTCGGTAGGTAAAAGAGACTTCACCACAACTATATCAAATAACCAGGTGGCTATTCGGCTAGAGATGCTGGCAACAAGTCAGTAAAAGATAGTGAAGGGAACTCACTTAGTCAAAAGGAGGAACAAAGGAAACAATCAGTTGATAATTTCAATGAGTTCATGAATCGACGACCACCGATGATTCATCCAGAAATACCTTTAATATACACAAAACGAACAGTAAACACTAATCCGCTTAAAAAATCAGAAGTCCTGAAGGCCGTAATGTTACAAAAGGCAGGGGAAGACAGTTAGATTGAATGGAATCACTTGGAATAGACACTAGGGGCCAATCAAAGTATCCTATATAGTCCTACAGAAGGTCAGTCGCTAGCTCGAACAGCTCAGTGATAGTCTCTGACTGCAGGACTGGGTGATGCGGGTTCGCATCTCAGAAGAGACATGAGCTTCTTCAAGGCCACCTTGCCGACAAGTGAGTGCCAACTAGGACGAAAGCTAGGTTGAGCCTATTGATTCCATCCATTTAATATCAATGGATGAAATCCCTTCAAAGCAGTCAAAATGGAACTGAGGCAACGAATAATAACAATAAAAAAGCAGTCAACGTGGATGGGTGACACTGCTTTCCTAGGTTCGATAATATATTATGTAGGCATTTCTGTTGTTGTAGTCCAGTGTTAGTTAAGTTGAGTCATATTTTTTGCGAATATTGATGCATATATATTAGTGAAGGAAATACAAACAGTCAGTGATCAGCATTAGATCTTCACTTAATACTGCTACAAACTCGCGCATTAGGTTGTCGAGTTTGATGGCCGCCTAAAAGGGATTTGGCTCTTTGTGGATACCTGCATCAATTGCCACGAATATTGATCTATGATTAGTCTCCCGGTTGCAAAAACTATCAACTGTACAAAAGAGTTATAACCTTGGTAGAAAATACCTGCATTTAGTGATATTCCCCACTGTTTGTATTCTCTGGAATGTGCCGCATTCTAAATTGTGAAGGAAAGAAAAGATGCATTTTTGTTTTGTTTTTCGTCTGAACACCTACACCTCTTGAAAGTTATTCAACTATGTGAAAGAATTTCGTTAATCATTTAAGATATTTGTGTTTATTATATATTTCAGGTTATAGCTCACTAAAACGTGTTCGTAAATTTTCACACGAAACAACATGTACAAATGAAGTGAGCCGATCTGTGTCTAAGACAAATCGATCCCCATGTAGATCTGCACGATTCCCTTGGCAAGAACCCTGCTATCCCGCTTCTACTCCGTCGTCAACTTTCTCACCTAAATTATCAGCAAATTTAAGCAACTGGAAAGTAAAATTGCAAATGTTAGATGTTCGTGGATCTGTTAGTCGTGCGCATAGTGCTTCTTCAAGATTTAAAGATTCCGGCTCAAATTCTTATTTCCGTGTTGGCCAGTCTCCGTATACTAATACTACTGGCAGTAACAATAGCGGTGTCAGTGTCGGTGGAGTATTCAATACACTGGATACAAACAGTAATGGAATGATTTTGGATTTGCGTAAAATATTTGGTCCACAGTTTATTGAACACTCGTTGATTGCTGATATTCACTCGATTCAATCTATGAAAAGTGTAAAAACAGATATTGGTTTTGCAAGAGCATTTGTTCGCTTAGCTTTAGAGAAAAAGCTTCTCTCTGCACATCTTACTCGCCTGTTGATGGACACCAAACTACTCAGGTGTGTTCATAATTTACTAATTTGCTGTAAATACTGATCGATTATTATTATGAAGTTTAACTACGCAAGTTTTGAGTTTCCGTTAGCAAAGTTAGACGGTATATCATTCGAATAATACACACTCTAAATGTGATACCTATACCTGTCATTGAAACTGTCTTTCATACAATCTTGATTTCTAACATTATTATTGTGTTCATCGAAACATCTTAGACCTCAGTTATAGATATTAACCGCTCAGCTGGCTGTTTTCTTTCCCTCGTTCTGAGCAGAGCATAGAGCTTCAAGCTCTGAACTTCCAGTGGTGATGGTATCGTTATTTCTATGGGTCGATAACATCATGCCCAACCTTCCATCTTTCCTGGCAAGGTTTGATACGGCTATTCGAAGCCAGACCCCTCACGTGACTGGTGGAGTGCATTGTATCATTGAACTATCAAAGTAATAATCCCCTGCGTGTATGTACTGTCAATCAACTGGATAAACATATCTAAAGTATTGTGTCTACAGAGTATTGTTCTCTTTATCATTTTAAAATGGAGAGCTGTAGTTTTTCTCCTATTACTACTGCCGTATTTTAAGCTAGAAATAGTACAGCTACACAGTTGCCCATTAGCATACATTTCACCGAGATATAGGAAGGATGTGTGTCTCGGGGGTTGAATAGTCAGTGAGATCACCTCGCAACCTGCAAATCCTGGACTCCATTATCATTTGGCCGTGCTCACTGTTGAAGAGTCCTAAATTAGGACTAAATATCTAACTGTTCAGTGGACTGACAGGTAACTGTGTGATGGTGATTCGATGGCATAAAGCGCCTCAACCACGCACATGGTCCAGGTTCGATTCCCAGTGGACTTCCTCTTAAAGCTCGCTCAACTGGTAATGAGCCCGGTAAAGGTGGAAGGCTAGAAGTGGAGCTAGCAACCCCATCCTGCAATTTCAACACCATCACAGCTCCTGAAACTTCAAAGCTCAAGTTTGGAGTTGAATGTTCCACTCGAAACGGATTGATAAACAAGAAAAAATGTAGAAAATTATCATTCAATAGGTAAAGTCAAATAAAGAGAAGAAAAAACAAACAAAACACGACTATATTTAGTGGAAATTAGTGTTCAGTGTAAGATTGTTTTACTTTGACGAATGAACATTTCTGAATTAGAGGCCATTGTTCTCTCTTACAGCACTAATATTTTCCCTAATGCTTCTCCGGTCTAGTGACAGTGTGATGAACCCACCTGGCGGCGGGTCTAACTTCACAATGATAGTACTGGGTGATTATTACTGATATATGCTGAAATGCCGAGTATAGCTAACATTGAAAGTCGACAGTATTATCTTTGACGGTATTAAACATGGAACAAAATTGTTCCATACCCGGTGGGAAACTTCTGTACGTACTGATGAAGAATCGCGATCTAGGACGAGTGACTGGTTCAGTAGTAGTTCATTGTCTCTAGTGGTTATTTGATCAATGTCAGCTCATGATATAACTTAAAATCTTTCGTCATTCAAGGTGTAGTTTTCGGGTAACTAAATTTATCCATAAACGTCCAACTACGTAGAGGATTTTTCGGTGCGCTGATGTGTACAATAAGCATACAAATCAACTTATTTGTACGTGGGGTTGTCCAACAGCTAATTTCTTTTCTTAGGAGACTTCCTGCCACCAGTCCACATCAGGTCTTCCACAGCGTGTACCCATCATTGACGCATACCGATTTCACACAAAAGCCTTCCAGATGAATTAATATTCATTTGACAGGTTATTACTAGAAAGAAGCTCCATGTCGCATCTAAACGAAAATCTTGATTATTTAATACCTAGTTGAAAGGTTGTGCTTTATTTTTTCTTCCTTGCCTTGTGATTCAGAATATAGAACTTCAAGCTTTCTGAAGTTCCAGTAGAAGTTCCTTTTTGTTCATAAACTGGGCGAGGTTCCGTAGTGCATCAGCTAGGTGTTAAACCCGGACGACGTGCGTGGCTAGCGTGCATTCCACTATTGAACTACCAACGCATCTAGATGGATGACAGGTAAACCTGTAACGACAGAACACAAGAGTCAGGCAACAAATCTTTTATTGAGAAAATCAAGAAATATTTATAGATTTTCATGTACATTATTATTATTCGTCATTGTTAGTAAGGGAATAACGTCTTCTGATTGATTGTTTTCTGGCTGAAGGTTATTCTGTCATCTCTTTGTGGCCGTTTCTTAGACAGTCCGTTAATATACCTGCGAATCGTATTCCCTGATGCCAAGTCTGCTGTGATTGATTGTTGAGTTCCTCAAGGTTAGGCTTAGTTCTTGTTTTCTCTCCAGAACCCGATCCGGGACGTAAACATTGACGTAAATTGTTGTCTAAAATTTTGGCTTGTAGACAGCTCTCACCACAAATCTAATGTGTGAAGTATCGAAGTGTTCTGCAGCTCCTTTTTATTCTTTGATCGGTAATCTCTGTCTTCATTTAGCCTACTATTGAGAGGCAACCGTTTTGTTGGTCATTGTATCTCATAATCAGCGTAAAAACTACCAATTTTTATTTTTTGTGTTTACTCTTAGGCATCTGTACACTAGATATGCATTTTTACGATGTGAAGAAGAACGAGAACAGTTTTTAGTACACCTGTTGTCGTTAAATGCTGTTGACTATTTTTCGTTTACTCGAATGATCAATCAAACTGAAGTTATCTATGAAATATTTATATGTAATGGTCGAAAGCACAGTGGCGGTGTAACGTCTACAGCCAATGCTTGGATTAAAATACATGGGCATTTTGGGTCTACTCAGCTGATCGCTGTTCCACGAGGTCATAATCTTATTGAAATTAAAGTACGTCTCTATTTCATACATTTATTCCCCTTTATGAATTTGAATAAAGCAAGAATAATAGCGGTTTTTGCAGAGTAAGAAGATGGTACCATCATTTATTTTGGCGGCTTCTCACCATCTGCTTACGGTTTAAGTGTATGTACAGAAGTGTTAACATAATTGCGAATTTCACATGATGTAAGTTGACCGGAGGTTCTGGACTTAGTGAACAGTGCTCAGAAAATACGCTTACATAGTTTCGAAGTTTAAACAAAGTGTATGCATACAATGGTAAAGGAGTTATGTAATAATGAAGATAGATTTGTTAGATGGTAAGTAATTAATAAATTGGGTAACAGTGTACTGAGTTCAACTCAAATCATAGAAACAAGAAACAAGCAAGATTACACCATATCAAGTGCGAGGGGTTGAGGTTAAAGAGAGAATAAAGACATTCAGTTACCAGGGTAAGGAAAGACTGATAACTGCTTCTTTCTGAACACATAAGTCGGATTTCAGGTGTTTTATAGAAATCTCGGCAAACTTGAGAAGAATTGGGGTCTTTTGCTTATTGATAATTTTAAAGGACTTTGCGATTTCTGCCTCATGACTCGTGTCAAGGAGAGATGTCTGGTGATGGCACTATTGTAAACATTCGTTCCCTTGAGTCGTAGGTTTTTCAGTGCATGTTAAGAAAATCAGAGGTGTGTCCTTCTCTCGGTTCTGTCTTTATTTTGTTTAAAGTTGCGTTTCTGACTGACTCCTTTAGTTGTGGACTTATGGCTCATTGTCATAAGCACACTATCTCCAACCGATGAGTGGCAGATTCGAGTCCTGCTCCATCTATTCCAGTATGGGAATCTGAGTAGTAGCATCTATCAGCCCTCACACGATAACTGTGGCTCTTAGCCTGTTACAGGTGATAGTGACTGACACTTGGTTTCAGTGTATAACAATTTGTCATAGAGTTGCAGCAGTTCAGCTTGCCACAGTTCATAAAGTATACAAAAGTAGAGAAAGAAATATTCAAAAGAACCATAACAGATAGGTATTTATGTGAGTAAGAATAATTGCATGGAGAAACATAAGGACTTAATGGATCTGTAAGGAATACAAAGAGTGAATACATCTAAGCCACTGAGAAGGCATTAGAGCTACATCATGTACTATTGAAAGTCATCAATGGTACTTGTTTTATATTTTGTGTCCTTGTGCTTATTAATTAACTAATTAATTAATTTTGTGTTCCATTAAGAATCGAAATCTTGGTCTTCTGTCAACCATTCAAGTGGGACATGATAATTCAGGTTCAGCCCCAAAATGGTTTATCGAATTTATTCTTGTCTACAACCGTATGACTAATCATCTTTACTTGTGAGTTAATTGTTTTTATTTCCGTTATTGTTGCTATTGTTATAAAAACAGGTAACTGTGTGTTCTTTGATGTTTGTTCTTAGCACTAATGATGGAGCTCATCGGTTTAGACGCTAGACTTCCAACGAATAGGATCACGAGGATTCGAATCCTGCTCTACCTATTGACCTTTAGACAGTCCCACACAGTCTGTAGGTGTTGTGGCACATCTGCAACTGCCTGGTTGTTGAGTAACCTATCGTCACCTATTACTTCAAGCTTGTTAACTGAGGAATTTATTTTGAGGACAACGCTGAAATACTTTTGGTGATGTACAATTGTGGTGAATAGCCTTTCTTGAGGAGAAAACATTTATGAAAATTCGTAGAAACTCGTGTAACTTTTGATAGATGTACCTACTTCTTGTTCATCGCCTCCTTTAAATGGCAGACTGATATACACGACTTCCTTTAAGACGGTTGCCATAGTTTTACTGACTCCTGTCTGTCTGTTTTCGACATAGAACTTTGCACCGATATGTGGCAGTTCGAGTCGCCACACTCCATATAGCACACAGAGCAGGAGAAGAAAGTAGAAGAAATGCATAATAGAGACAGTAAACAGAGGTGTGAGGCAAAGGAATTGTAATAACGAAGAACAATATGATTTCATTGGAAATCATAAGTCACAAGGAGTGGATGCATCTGCGCTGTGGTTGTGAACGATTTTGAGCCATGTCACCGATTGTTTCTAGCCATTTGTTTTTACCGTCTTGGAGACCCCAACCAGGAAGTCTACATCCTCCTACGGGGCTTAATCTAACTGTTGTGGATTTCATGGACTCGTGCCACATTCTTTTCCAGCCTGACCCTATGTCAGCTAACATTGCCATTGTTGAGGAAGGCGATGACTAGGCATGCGTAGCACATGTCCTAGTTGATGTAACTTCACAGCCTCCTCGATTGATTTCCCCTCCCACCTACCTAACACTGGACTCCTAACCTCAATATTGCTCACCTTGTTATACCACTTCACACGGGAGACTCCTATTTCCTCATAGATAAATTTCTCAGGTTCCTCCATTCTTAAATAAATCATCCTTCAGGGTCTTTATTGTATATTCAGTTGTACTGATTTTTCATGTTCAACTGGTTCTTTTTATTTTAGATAGAAACGAAGCCGTATCCTGTCCATGAAGACTTTTATTTGCCACATACTTCCTTATGTATTTTTCATAGTATGCATAACACTGTATTCAGAGTATTTAGCTGGGGATTTTCACTGAAATTTGATGAACTCTAAAAATTCGGCTTCATTAACATTTGTTGCCTGTTTATATAAGTTTTATATCTGCATATACGTTATTTGCTGTATGAATTTTCAGATTCCCCTGTTATCATTGGTTTGGTTTGGGAATTGAAGATGATGCTTTAGAACGTGTTCTTGTCGGTGAACAGATTCGTATAGCCTCAAATGATCCACGTGAGTTCACTGTTTTTATGCGTTCTCTTTCCTCGTAGATTTAAGTTCGTTTTGTTTTTTAGTAGAATTCGATTATTTTATTTCAGGCTAACAATATACTGATTGGTTGAACAATTATCTTCCTGTTCCCCTCTACCATCCCCGCAACCGCCTACACACCTTTCCCATTAAAGGTCTTTCCTATAATTATTGAAAACTTGGATAAATCTGAGTAACAGTACTGTTCATTGCTGTTCAGTATGGTTTTTTGCTTTTTATGTTTCTTTGTTTGTTCTTTACTTTTTTAGAGTCCGTTGGAATTGACTCATTTAAACTAGGTATTCACTGGAATAGCCTCATTAATATCGATTACCGATGATACTAGTTGACAAGTGAAGAAATGGCCTTTGTAGATAGCAATAAGTTGATAAACAATTCCCATCTCACAACATGATAAAACAAACATGATTATCATCAGACTTGTGCATATCATGAGTTGACAGAAGTTAGAATTCATGGGCCATTTTATTCCGTCCCAGTGGCTGAATAGTGAATAGACTCACCTTTTAAGACGAAGGATTTGGCTTCGATCTTCGTTGGGGTCATTGTTACCTATTGACTACTGTGGGACCCTAAACTAGAAGAGAACAACTGTGTTCATTACTCTCCAATTTCTGCTTGTTAGCAAACTGAGTGCAGTTCCTGCTCTAACTTGAAAAGACCTCTGTTTGAAGAAACGTACAATTACAAGACATCTTGATAATTTATCTCTATAAGATGAGTATTCTCAAGAAATATGTCGAAAAAAAGTACGCAGAAGACATTTCCACTAAACAATCTCAAGCCATCGCCCACATGCATATTGCAAATCAGGACTGTCATTTCCCATTCTCACAGGACATCAATTTCTTTCGCATAATATATATATATATATATATATATATCATTGTGTGCGTCGGTGGTCCCGGTGTGGTGAGAGCAAGCTGCTAGCCGATTGGTTGACATTAATCTACGTCAATGTCTAGGTCACTAATATGGGCCGTGAGAAAATATGAACAAGGCTGTTTCAACAACCAATCACAGCAAACTTAAACGTGGGCAATTATGATTCGCAGATAGATGGCTCCACTTTCCGAAGAACTCGAAAACAACCAATCAGAAGACTGCGTTTGTCTAATTGACTAGGCTATAATAATGTATGTGAAATTTATATAAATACGTGTTGATCTCCGTAATAAAACGATCTGTTGCCAGCTTTTGTTTTCTGTTGTTACACCGGTGGTAGAACGCTCGCCGACCACGCATGTAGTCCAAAGTTCGATCCCCGGCCGATACACTCATAGACTTCTCTAAGCCTGGCGGTTAGGCCAGTAAAGACGGAAGTTTGGGCTTGAGGCTAGCAACCCTATTCTTTAAAAATAAAACCACTGCTACCGGAAACTCTAGCTTGTAGCCGAATGTTCCACTCGAAACTTAAAGGAATATCATATAATTTACGTCATTGCAGGTGTTAAGGTAAAATTTAAAATGGATGTAATTTATTTAGCATAACTTTTCACGACAAATAATCCTGCTTACGTTTCCTCTCTTTTCTCCGAAAAAATTGTTTTTTTTCCATACTAATTATTGCAGATACCTGAGTAAGTTTCTTCTGGTGTACCTTCTTGTAAGTGATCCTCACACATGTTTATTTATGGCTAAGCTAATTAACCAGTTCACACTTATTTTGCTGCATACATATGTATACCTTTTCGTTTGTATATATGTGTATAATTGAATTAGTCGGACTGGGAAATCTGCTTCTGTTGCTGCTTTAACCAATCTCCATCCACTGGTTTAATCTGGCTGGTATATCAGTCTGCACTTTCACACGCACACACACACACACATGTTGTATGTATTTGTATTAACGCAAATATTGTGCGCACTAATATTTCATTTTAGTTTTTATTATTATTTATCTTTGGTCAAGTGAAGATTAATTAGAAATGTGTGTGTGTATGTGTATGCGCTAATAGGTTTGGAAGTAATTCTACGACCGAACGAATATCGATTAAAGAAATGAGTAATATAAAAAAAGCAAAGAATACTCTTCTCGTGACTTCACTTCAAAATTGTACAGCTACAAAGATCAGGGAATCGCTTGTAAAGTCAATCGTTCATACCACTAAGTCAGTCTTTTAAGAAAAGTGGGTAGGAAAACTGTTTTTTCGCCTTAGTTACACCAGTATTGTTAGCTCTTTACCCTTCAACATTGAACTTTGCATAGATGTACAGCAGTTCGAGTTGCCACACTCCATGTAACACTCATGCAGCAGTGGCGAAGAGAGTAAGGGGGGGGTTCAAAGGACAGTGCCTTCAAAGGTTAATCTCTATTGGGAATCTTAACTTTCAATAGATGCTTTAATTTCGTATATATGTATATATGATTTCACACTAATGAATTCTTAGGTTGATGGTTCACTTTAATTTTTGACTAATGCACAGCATTCATCCTTGAATTTTATTTTCCTAACATTTGTTATAAATTCTGCTGTGTTGTTCATCGTTTTCAAATGAATGGTTACTGAACAAAGAATACTCTTTTCGATAACTTCATCATCAGGTTCTACAGCTCTGTATACATTATAGTGAGTAAATTGGTGTTATGAGCCACATTAATGTTGTTTAAATAACATCGAATCAACAATAACATCATTGGATTACAGTTCAGTGGGATCAACATAACAATAAACTGAATGTCAGGAAAATTAGGGAAGATAATAGTACAAATTCATGAATACAAAGTCTCCACTGAAGGCCGAACAGGACAGCAGTACTGGCTGGACTTGCTTCCTTTGCACACAAAGCACTGGTTTTCTCATGCAAATTGCTTTTTTCCCCGATTGAAAGATGACGTACCTAGGCTAGCCCATTCCAAGTGTATCTCGCAATTCAATTGCGCTTCTGGATCGAGTTATATCGGCCGTTACTCTAGGAACTTGATCTTTCGTGCTCGAAATATCTATGGCTAAATAAAGGTGTAGTAAAAACCATCAACAATTCGATATTAGACCATCTAGTGCCAACAGGCCGCAAAGCCAGCGTGGAAGAATCCTTCTCTATAGTCTATCGCTTACCAAATAAATTGCCAGAAACATCCAGGTACCGCATACTCCAAACAGCGGAGGCTATCGCGATTCGCGTGAAACAACCAGTGCTTTGTGTGCAAAGGAAGCAAGTCCAGCCAGTACTGCTGTCCTGTTCGGCCTTCAGTGGAGACTTTGTATTCATGAATTTGTACTATTATCTTCCCTAATTTTCCTGACATTCAGTTTATTGTTATGTTGATCCCACTGAACTGTAATCCAATGATGTTATTGTTGATTCGATGTTATTTAAACAACATTAATGTGGCTCATAACACCAATTTACTCACTATAATGTATACAGAGCTGTAGAACCTGATGATGAAGTTATCGAAAAGAGTATTCTTTGTTCAGTAACCATTCTTTTGAAAATATTTTTTTACTGGGACAGCAGTTTCTTTTCGATCGAGCGTCACACTCAAAGTCAAAAGCACATTAAATTTGTTTACTGTGTCACACGGCGTGGAATTGCACCATACAGTTTTTTTTAGAAAATATTTATTTTGCTTTGTTCCTCACAACACATCATTTGTGTGTCTCTCTTACCTCCTTTTCCATCTTAGACTAACCGATTGTGTAACCTGTGTGTGTGTGTGTTTGCTTTATTTTGTAAAACAAAACTTTCTGACTTCTTTATGTTTTTTTTTAAAAGAATTTTTCTGCCTTCCTCTTTTTGTTTTGCTAACCTATTCATACAGATCTACTGTTTACAGCGCCGCCACAATCTGATCCAATTGAGTGCATACAAAATCTACCGAATCGGTGTTTATCTCCGTCACTGTCACGACGAAATTCTGATCACAGTAAGATGTGCACCTTTTGTTATTCTCCTTTGAAAAAGAAAGCAACGATACTATTTGTAATATCTAGAGTGTTTCAGTTTAGAAGATTAATTTTCTTTAACTGCAATAAGTGTGTGTGTGTCTATTTATCTGTTCACCTGCATAATTTAATTTATATATGTCCAAACCAAGTTCGCTTTTAACAGTTTGAAAAAATTTGGGCATTGGGTATATGATGTTCATTATAATGAAGGTTTTTGTATTTCCCAATGAATGAAAAACGAACCAATATTGTTTTTACTGACGTTACGCTATTTAATGTTAACAGCTTTATCAAAGCATTATTAAACTAGAATTTACAAAATCTCAGCATATATATAACAAAGAGTTAGGGGGTGAGAAAACAGACTTAGGTCAAGTTAAAGGGACAAATGGAAATATTTAAAATATTTATTTAAATATCTAGTCAATTGCACACATGTATATAAATGAAGGAAAAAGTTGTGCGAGTAATAATTTGTGCTCGAAACGTCATCAGTTAATATTACTGTGTAACACTGTGTGACTTATCAAAAATAAAATCTTATCCATAAGGAACAACAACAAATGTGCAGGAGAAAATGGAGATGGATTGGACACTCGCTGAGGAGGCCGCTGGGTGACATCGTGCGTCATACTCTGGAGTGTAACCCGAAAGGGAAGCGGCGAGTGGGACGTCAGTTCAAGGGTGGCATGGAGGAGATCGTGTGAAGAGGAGTTGAAATAGCGTGGACTAAAATGGATGCAGATGAAAAGTACAGCAGAAGGCAGAAGCAAGTGGAGATGTGCAGTTGAAGCCCTATGTTCCACTAGGAACCCAAGGGAACAATAATAATAGTAAGAGATATATTGAAAGCCAAAATAACGATGAACCAAATAAATAACGATAAACCAAATAACAAAGGTAATAGTACATCTGTTATGATATCGAAACAAAGTTTACTAACTTGATCATCGTTCGTCAGTCTGGGGTCATTTTTGGTTGTCAAGTTGGTCAATTGGTAAAGATAACAAAACCAAGTGTAAATTGTTGGATTTGATCAGTGTGTGTGTTTACATATCGAACTTGCTTATCACATTCGTGTTGATTTTGTCACTTCATGGGGAGGCAGGTGTTGTAGCCAGGTCAGATTCTGTTTTAGTCCATCATTCCTGTTCAGACAAGTTGGACTCCAGTTGATATGAAGTGCTTCTGATATTAGACGTCCTTTGCGATTTCTGAAGTTTTTCTGGATTATTTCAATATTGTCAAAATCAATTTTGTGGCCTGAATTTATAGCGTGGCTCATGATTTTTCAAGTTTTTCTAGTTCAACCAGATTTCTCGGTGGTTGAAGAGATGCTCTACGGTGTTTATTTCTTTTGATTTCTCGAGATGTTTGTCCGATGTAGATCGCACCACATTCCAAGTATTTTATTTTATAGACACAATTAGATAGAGAATCTTTCGTGATTTGGCCTTTTATATGGACAAGGTTGCTTTGAAGTGTGCCTGATGTTTTGAAGAAAACTCTAATATCGAGCTGACTGAGTACTCTTCTGATATCGTCTGACGTCTCTGCTCTATATGGAATGACGACTGTTGATGTCAATGTTTTCGGAATGCGTTTTCGGCTACACTTAATGTCTGTGTTGATTTTGTTGATGAAGTTCGTTGGGTAGTTGTTTTGCTTGAGAGTTTCAGTAATGTTTGCTATTTCTTTTTCTTTTTCATCTGTTATCAGAGAGTGTGCTCATCTAAGAAGACTTGAAACAACTGAAATCTTTGCGCTGACGGGGTGTGATGATTTGAAGTCTAAATATTTACTGGAGTGGGCTTTCTTCCTGAATATGGATATACTAAAATGTCCGTTTTCCCTCCTCATAACTAGAGAGGCAGTCTAGAAATGGTAGTTCACGACGTCTGATTCCGAAGTAAACCGGATTCTGGGAGATACACAGTTTATTTTTCTCAAGGAATGAATTGTGTAGATCTCGTTTTAGCACTAAAAAAGTATCATCCACATATCTTAACCATATTTTAGGAGTGAGTATGCTTGAAAAGATGTTCTCGAATATGTACATGAAAAGTTCAGCGACTATTGGGGAGACACATCAATGACACCTCGATGCTTTATTTTATTGAATACCCCTTTCTATGAGAAGTGTCTACTCTTTTATTAATTGAGACGGCATCACTGTCTGTCTCCGCGGTGGCCTACCTAAATTTCCATCCAACCAACTGTATAAACTCTTTTGTATTTCTCACTCAGTTATGTCTTTGGAATGCCTCATAAACTGGCACATGTTTTTAATTGATTTGCAACCTAATACGGTTGAATTTTCATAGGAAATGAAGGATAATCTCAAAGAGGATTAAACTTTTTGAGTAGCGAAGAAAATTTTCTTTGCTGACGAAATCATCTTCAGAGGCCTTATGTGGTTGTATTTATATTTACCAAAAATGTATACTAGTGTATTATTGAGCAATACAGGGGTTAACATAATTCATGTAATTACTCAGAAGTAGTTTCAAAAGTAAAAATAAAAGTATCTTAATTACGTAACACCCAAAGTTACAAATGAAAAAAGGATTAGAAATTTGATAAGGTGAAAATTGTTATCGAGTGACAGAAAAAAAAGGTAGTTGTGTCGATTTAACTAGTGTGAAGAGGCTGAGAAAATGTACTAAAGGAATATATGGGAGTGATAATAGTGAATTAATTATTAAAATAAAAGCAAACTGAAAGTAAAATTAAAAGTTAAAAAAAATTTACAAGGAACGACTAGTGGAGAGGTTAAGACCACGGTAGAATAATAAGATGTTAGACAAACTTTTTCTGCATTTAGCGTTCGAGCTTGTAGTGACGAATCGCCAACGCCTCCGCCTTACATGAATGCCGAAGCCTAACTCCCTTTGTACCGTTTTACCTCACTTTTTAGGTAGTCTTGAAAGACGCCTCTGGAGGAGCTGCTGCGTGGCTTGAGTTCACTAAATGCTCGGGAATTGAACTAGTAAATATCTTTCATTGTCCTCTTGCTGACCATGCCGGATAATGCTTAGAGATGCGTTTGTAAAGTGTGCGCTTTGTGCAGCCAATATAACTAGCTTCGCGTGACCATATGAATTTATAAACACACATTGAAGTGGCACATCCAAAGCGGCAGTTTATCCTTCACAAATCCATTGATCATTTGTCGGCTATAGAAATTGATATGTAGCTCAGCCGTAAAGAAGGCTTTTCTCGGTGATCTGGACAAGCGGTTCATCAGGATTCTCAGTAGCAGTATCGCCTTTAAACTCAACATTCTCCGGCGCTGCTCGGGTTCTTCCTGGCTTTTGACTTACTTTCATGTTTTTCTCGATGAATCTTGAAGGATATCCATTTTCCATGAGAACTTGTCTGAGTCGCTATTATCACTTCTGAGTGATTATATCAACTATGTCACCCCCATATTACTCAACATTAGAGTAGTATACATTTTCGGTAAATATAAATACGACCGCGTATAGCCTCTGAAGATGATTTCTTCGATAAAGAAACTTTTCTTTCCCTGAGATTTTCTTTTATTTTCTTCATGATTCAACTTTGATTCAGACAGAACAACACTGTGTCATGTAATGTACTGTCGGTTAGTGTTTTTACCTGAAGATCCTATGAGAAAAGTGAATTATATCGCAGATAAATACGTTGAGAATACTGCGCTGTGTGTTAACTTTTTCGTCTAGAATGAACACGGGTTTCATTGTTGTCACTACTCTTAAATATGAACTTTCCAGACATGTAGTGAGTGTTCACGACAGTGTTAGGTCAGACGACTATTGTATCTCATTAGTTGTTGAGCAGTTCGTGGTCTATGTTGAGAGGAATTACAGACTCGGGGCCCTGTTTTATGTATATTTGTTGTTTATTTGGCGTTTAACGTGATTCACGTTCCCCCGTGGAACATAGGGCTTCAAGTTTCTGTAGCAGTGTTTATTTTACAGGATGGGATTGCTTGTCTCATGCCCAACCTTTCCTCTTTACCAGCATTATTTCTGGCTTAGTGAGGTAAAGGAGTGTGTCGGCCGGATATCGAACTCCGTACTATGTGCATGATCTGCGAGCGTCCTAACCGCTATGCCACCGACGCACACTTAATTGGCGTTTAGCTAGTAGATATTGTGTGTCCTAATTTTGCAGCTATTTCTTAACTTCCAGCACAATATTAAGATATACGGTGACGTACTTGAGCATAAATGTCTTCTGAATGACTATTATTACTATCATTCCTGTTAGTACTAGTACTCCTAAAAGTCCTAATTCACCTGTATATATTGTAGATATTAGTCAGCATTAGAATAACTATGATTGGCAAAAAAGCTTTTGTAAGTCGTTAACGGATATATTCACAAAAGGTTGTGTTACTAATACTGAAGCTTTTAGATGAACTTGTCTCCATGTAATAATAGTCTATTGGTTGATGACTGAAGATGAAACAGGAAGAGAAACGTGCAGAATGGCACACATTATTATTAGTTATTTAATCTGCCATAGGCCGAGATTATATTTCAAGCTTTCAAGTCAATATAAAAAGATATATGCTCGTACTACTAAGTATAGAAATTCTACAATACCCTATTTAGCGCGTACTTTATGTGACGAAGACTCTGTTAGACGTGAAACTTACAAGTTACTATGTAATTAGCACAGTGAATCGACCCTTTTATCGTTCATCTTTCTGTATTTTATGGTGTCACACTTTCTATCGTTTAAATCGTTACTCTGCTATTTTATATTAGTTGGTATTACTATTATTACTACAATTTTGTACTTTATACATATTTTTCTCCGTATGGCACACAGTATTTTGCTACGTAGCTGCTACAACAATCGTTTTATTACTATTATGTATTGTGTATTTTTATTTTTATTTTTTTGTTTTGTCGTTTTTGGGTAAATTAGATGCAATATTGTACTGAATGCTGAAAATTCCTTGCTGTATCATGAGTACTGTTTTTGGAATAAAGCTATTATTATTATTATTATTATTAAAAATTATCAGCATATGGTATTAGTGAAGTACCTTGTCTTTGCACTTTTTCAAAGATTTGATTTGATTTAATTTTTGTAAGATTAGAATTTAGGCACTGTGGTTGAATACATATCAATCTATACTAGATAAGTGTATTTGACGTAACATCCATTAAGTAATACAGTATTGATCAGTGGATGACTTTTCAAGTACAGTTTATTGCTCCCAATCATATCAGTGTGTATAGACACATCTTTATAACTTGTCATATTATAACGTTTTTCCCTGCTGTTTTCTTTTATTGCACTTTTCTATACATCCAGCCGACTAACTCACTCAGGGACAAACTTTGTCAGCTTAAAGACTCGAAAGATACCATTAAGGAAAATAATATAATTCACCTAATACCATATAATGACTGTTAGTGAGGTCAATTACATAGGCAAAACTAGTAGATCGAGTCTAGTTAGGTTATCCAAACATAAGGAATATGAGTAGATGTAGTTTAATTGATCTTGCTAAGTGATACAAAAAAGAGCTTTTCAAGAGTTGATTTATAAAGATTAAATTTATTTTTTTCAAGTTAGAGAATACGGAAAAGAGCTTGACATGTTGTAATACATTCACTTAGGTTCCGAGTGGAACATGGCGCTTCGACTACACATCTCCACTTCGTTCTATCCCCAGTTATCCCCTTCTGCTGGGTTCACGATTGCCCATAATCTCTCATCTCCTCTTCGTACGATCTCCTTCATGTCACACTCGCACCGACGACCCACTCGTCGCTTCCCATTTGGATTTCACTCAAGTAATAACCTGGAGCTCCATGTCATTCGAGGACTGCCTCAACGGATGCGCTCGATCCATCTCCACTTTCTCCTACATGTTTGTTGAGCAGTCAGCTTTTGGTTAGTTTGTTTCAATGAGGAGTTTTTTGTTGCCAATTCTTTCTGACCTGGCATTTAGTCTTCAGTATGGAGGCTGTAAGTCTTCGAGTTTGTGTGACATTAAACGTATATCGTTTGCGAAATCCAGATCTTCTAAAGTCTTCTTATCGGTGGTCTAGAGTATTCCTGTCTCCTCTTTCCCTCACAGTCTGACGCATAATCCAGTTCACTGCAGTTTGGAATATCCTCGGTGATAACAGGCTGGTAGCCCTGTCTTACTCCTGTATGCACTTCGAATGCCTGTTTGAGTTTTCCGTTGTGGATCACCTGACACGTGACATTGTCATATAGCCGTTGAATGAGGTTGATAAAGAATTGGGCACTGCACGGTATATATATATATATATAATATTCATCAACTATTTTCCTACTTCTATTGTTTTATCAAGATTGTTTTCATCCCTATTTTGTTTTCTTCCCTCCCTCTCTGTGTGTGTGTCCCTCATTAGAAAATCTAAGTGCAGTTGTAATACATGAACGTGTTGCCGGTGCTGTTAATCGTTTGTTGAAGTATTTTTGCAAAGTGAATCGTTCAAATACAACAACCAGTTTAACATCATTATGGTGTGGTGAACACGGTCTAGTGCCAGCACTACACTTGGTTTTCTTGTATGCCTTTCGATCTGGTAGGATATTTCAAAGAAAAATTTATGTATGGGATTATTTAGGTAAGTAAGGATTTCAGTTGAAATTTTTTGGCAGGAGATGTATAATGCTTCTTTTATCTTACTTTATTACCATTATTAATTACAATAATCAAAGTAATAGTAAGGTTGTGGCATGTGCTACTGACAAAATTTATCGGTAGTATGTGGACTCAGATTGATAGGAAGTGGTCATAAGTAGAAGTAGAGGTGTTTGTTTCTCAAACCTGGATCTAGCTTGCATTATGGACGTGAAATAATCTCGTTGGACAACTTTCCGTCTTACTGTTTAACCTTGGGCCAACTGCCAACTAATCAGAAGAGTTCATCTTCCTCTAACCTAATCTATTTTTGTGGTTGAAAATATACGAATGTGATGTTTTTCCGTAATAAAAAAGTCACATACCAGTTCTCTCATCTTCTACCACTACAGTGTTACTGAAAATTGTTAAAGCTAAACTATAATGGTTAACAGTGGAATTCGAAGACCATGTTTCATTCTGTTTTTCCCGTAGAATCCATGGTCGGTTTTCATTTGCAATTTATTGATTAATGGTGTCCTATTTGCGAAACTTCAGTCCTATATTTGTTGCAGTAAACTCTATGAAATTATCCCAGTAGACTATTGAATCATAAGAAGTTGCATAACACCTATGTGAAGTGGTCCGATAATCTGTATAAACTGCTTACCAGGAACTCCAGTTCGGAATATGAAAGAGCATTATAAGTCTTCTTATTGTGGTCTTCTCATTCCTTGGGTTCCGAGTTAAACAAGCTTTGACTGTCTAGTAGCGGCGGTGTCGTTTGCAGCGCCATAGCTCCACTTCCTCTTTTTTCCGAGCTTACTACCGACAAGGTGAGGTTTAGAAGTGCGCCTGTTGAGAATCGAACTCAAATCTCCTGCGTGGCTGGAGACGGTCATTCTACCATTGTACTACCCATACCTCCCCTAATAAGCTCATATTGTTGGTCTGCATCAGTATCTAGTAACCATGATAAGAACAACATCAACTGTACTCTTTTTATTCACCTCGGTGACAACACTTACATTTTGATTTATTATCGATAACAGGAATTTACTTGGTGTTTTCTGTCTTCTTTCTGTCATATACTAAATGCGGTTTACACATCTTCTAATAATGACTTTCTTACTCTTTTGATATCCGGGGAATATAGAAAAAGTTGCCGCCAGTTTTTCCATGGAACTGGAGCCTAGTGGAATGGAATCAAATAATTTGGAGATATCTGAATCTCAGAGGTCTGGAACTAAATACATACCATTTTCAACTCATAGCCTACCACGTTCATTAACATCCAGAAGACATTGTGGTTCCATTTCTAATACTACTAATACTGCTAATACTACTACTACCACTGTTAAAGACCACGATCCAACTTCATCGTCATCGTCACTATTTTCTAAATCAAGTGGATTACCGCATTCACCATCATTTTCTCTAGTCAATGAATCGTATTCAAAAAATATGAACAGTGAAGCTAGACCGTATGAAGTATCTCGCACTAATATATCTTCATTCTCTCAACCTGCCTCACCTGCTGTATCTCGTCTAGCTTCAAGCGCTAATTTGAATTTCGAAAATTCTCCTTACCCGTCTACTGGTATCCCACAATATAATAGTTTATGTTCAGTGCCTGATGTACGAAGCACTGCACTACAATTTGTCACATATGTGCAAAATGTAGCAAACAGTAGTCCATTTTTAGGCAAAGACGGTAAATTTCAGGTAAGTATGTATACATTACTTCCTATTAGTTGTGTTCTGTATTTCCTGGAATGCTCATATCTTCTTATGTCATTAGTAATATAATCTGAATGCTATTTATGCAGTGCTTAAATTAACTAGAGACAGACTCGATCGGATACAAAGTTACTAAGTGTAGACCAATGAAATATGGTGGGAATGCAACTCATCTGTACTATTCTTATGCTTTAATAAGTGAAGATACTGACAGACTAACATCGATTAGGGAAACATTGAAAACCACGGAGTACTGACAATTGTTTGCTCCTAGCTTCGGACTCCTCAGTGGTAGACACCCGTGATGATACTGGGGACTGACCCTTCCTTATTATCTTCAGGTGAAGAGGCTGGTCTAGATAAGTGTTCCACCCAATAATAGTCAGAGAGAACTGAATACAAAATACCCTAATTGATTAGTGTGAATGACTGAAAACCTGTCAAACCAAGAGAGGAATGAAATAACCTTGTTGTTTTGTAATCATTGCGTTACGACTAGTAAATCTATATGGAATTTTAATAAAGCATAATCCGCTGCATCGAATAAAACAGTTGTGGTTTCTTTATTCAGGAACAGTTAGTTTTTACTATGGTATGAAATGAGTTTAACTCATTTTTATTTTCGGGTTAATTCACTCAGTCTTAGTTGACACGTCAGCTCCTGGTACGGACATTTCGACAATGTCTGATGTTGTTTTGGCTGGTGGTGAATACCAATGGGATCCAAGTGTAGAGTTGGACTTTCAGTGGGAACAGGATCACTCACTGGGAATAATATCAGCACTTCCAGATGTTCATTCCCACAGCTTACTCACTATCTTTCAGAATAACATCACGATTTGAAATCATGCTTATAAACCGTCTGTTTGATCAACTTTCAACGTGATAATGTTAGTCATTGGAAACGAAATCAGGATTTCATCATGAAATGGCATCGGTTAGAGAAACACTGGAAAAACTGGGAATACTAGACAGCTGTTTCATCCTAATTTGAGACTCTTCATCAGTACGCACTCCCCGGAGTACGAACCCCGGACCTTCAAGTTATATGGTGAGTTTGTAGACCATTGAACCACTAGGACTAATCCAATGGTCAGCCCATGAATCCCAACTTCTGCCAATCCACGATATAGCGCGACCACTAGCTAATGTCATCACTGGCGAGTATTTGTCCTCGCCCCCGACCTGATGTAATCCACTGGTTACGACGTCTCGCTAAAAACCAAGTACATAATTACCTGAATAGGGACCAGTCACTAGTCACTAGTGAGCGTTGGATTGATATTATGACTGATTGACTGACTGACTGGTTTCAGCGTAATTCTTGCTCATTTGATATTGTGGTTTCGTGGTTTTTAAGTAATAAATTCACTAATATGATTTATTTGCTACAAATTTTTTTTATTTTTGTTTTTCTTATTCTTTTTTCTTTGTTGATAGCGTTTCATCTGTCGTGCAATCCGCGATCACCTGTTATCCAATTGGCTATCCATTCTAGCTATGAGTCCTATCACCCTTCAGATGTATGAACCGAGAAGTTTTCTACTTAATCCCGAATTAAGACAAACAATTCAAGATTTGTTAATTTCACTCGATGAATTCAATTTCCCGTTTGAAGCAGCACTTCTAGGCGAAATTTAAATTATTATTATTCTCACTTTCTAAAACCTTTCCCCCATCTTCCTTTTTTGTCAGGAAATATCTCCTCTCCTTCTCAAACTCTCACTCGTAGTTGTGAATGTGAATGATCCGCATTCCTATCGACTGGAGCCGTCATATAGTTGGTAAGACTGAGTCTGGACTGTGAACTGAAGGCCCTTCTTTCATCATGTTGTGGACTGATAATTACTCTAGTGTGGCAGTCACTTATTTTTCCTTTTTACTAGTCATTCTCTTCGTTGTATAAATTTTTGTGTCATCACCATTTTAATTACTCATACCATTGTTGATTTTTTATCAGATTATGTTCTCTATACTTTCTCATTTTAAAACAAAAAAAATGAAATGCATTTCTATCCTGCCCTTCGTCTCTCTCTTTCTGTGTGTGTCTTTTTTGTGATTTATACCGTAAAAAGGTTTGATTTCTTTTTTTGTTTTTTTTACAGTATATATATAATAGATCTCACCTTCATTCTTACCCATCCATAGTGGTGATAAACTTGTACGTGCAATAATTACTTCATACTCTGTAGGGATGACGACAGACAATCGGCAGTTGGTTTTTTACTAGTCAGTTAGTAGTAGAAATTCTTGTGTATTCCTCACTCATGTCAATTATTCTAGATGGTTAAATAGATACATTTTTCTTTCTTTTCTTTTTCTATAATTCTTTATTGGAATTTTTATGTTGTTGTCATTATCTAAAAATAAAAAATAAATAAAAAACAACACATCCTCCGCGTTCTTGGGATTGTTGGAAGGAGAACTTTATATGAATGTGGGAATTGTGAGATGTTTTTAAGTGAATACAGACATTTGATTTCCCTATGTGATGTTACAATGTTCAATTATCTGACTAATTTACCATTATTATTACTATTATTATGTACCCATCATTTTGACTTGATTTTTGTTTTTTAAAATGATGATACTTGATAAATTTATATTTCTTGGGGAAAAGATGAACTCCTACTTTGTTATCTATGTTTTGTGGATTAAAAAGATGACGGTTGGAAGCGAATGCATGAAACCAAATTAGGTTGGTTGGATTCAAGGTTGACTGAATTAATTGTGCAATAAATACGATTTATGAAGTAAATTTCTCGTTTTTATTTTTCCTCCCACACCTCCGCTGTACTATATTAGCGCAATTAGTTTTTGCTCTGCAAACTATGTGTTGTTTATTTTTTATCGGGGGTGGGTAGAGACTTGTCATATTGTTGGGTGCTTGTCTTGCATATCTTGTTTTCCGTTTGATGATTTCATGCTTATCTTTGCTTATTCTTTTCTTCACGAACTGACGTTATTTATTGAATTATTGAAAAATAAGAGGTATTGTATGAATGTTTCGTCCTAATGCAGGACTCTTCGGTGGTGTGCACGTATGACCTTAGCGGGAATAATTGGCAGGACTGATGTGCAATTCACGGTAAAGTAGCGCCACCTGCAGCCAATGTTTCTTCTGACACCCAACTTGGTAGACGTCACTCGTCATGACCTGTCCCTGAAAATCCAGTCAATTTCACTGTGTAATCAGTTGCTAGTCGGCGTTTTAATTAATTTCCAGGTGTTGTTTTCCAAGGTTTTGGTGGATTTCAATGACGATCACGCACTGACATCACTAAAAGGAAAAAATTAAAACTAGTAAGGAATGCTGGAGAGCTGTTTTTATTCTGATTTGACACTAGTAACTAGTGTGACGCGTCTAGTCCGCTGACTGGTGTAGACTGATTTCTATCAGTCAGGTTGTAATGTGACCACCATCGCCATCACGGTGCACATTGATTTGATGGTATTAGATGGTTGGAGGCAATCGGCCACAGGGAGCCTTGGACCTAGATTTCGTGCTAGTTGGCACTTGTCAGCAAGGCGTATCTGCAACCTTGAAGGAACTCATGTCCCTGCTGAGATTCGAACTCGCGTCACCCAGTACTGCAGTGTTTTTATTCTACTATGTGACGCTTCAACAGTAAATGATCAAACTGGAAGTCAATCGAAACCTTGCAAATAAATACTTGAAAATCAATCCTTATAGACGATAGATCAGGGGATTTCCATAGCCTATTGTAGTCAATCGTGTAATTTTTTTTCTTCGTTTTAAGTAGTGAATTGAAGTGAATATTCGAACAGTTAACATTTCTTCATTTCTGTGCAACAGCTGGTTGCAAACTAATGAAGTGGAAAAAAGCGTTCCCTTACTGGTTACTAACATTACTACAGTTGTGTAGTGAGTAAAGTGAACTTTCCTCCTAGCTAAGAGAATACGTTTGCCTTGCTGATGAGTGTGCAGGAACATGAAATTACAGGTCGATAAGGCCTTCCTTCTTGAAGTAAATTAGCCTACAATATTCCACATTATATTAAATACTCGTCTGCATAAAACAAATTATTTCAACTCATTTAGACCTGAAAAAACCGATCAGTCCTTTTTCAAGAGATTTGATTGGTTATAAGTTCGATCACTAGCTAACATTAGTTGAAGAACTATCGCCAAATCAGATAGTACTGGAAAGCTGTATTGTCACGCGGTGGGACTCTTCATCGATATGCACCCACCATCAGAGTTCGAAACCAGGACCTTCCCGGTTGCTAGGCGTACTCGTGTAGACCATTAGGCCACTGGAACTTAATCCAATTCCCGACCCATGAATTCTAATCTCTGCCAACTCATGATATAGCATGACCAGCAGATAGTGTCATCATCGAGTAACTTTCCTCACACTCGATCTGATATAAACCACAGAGGGTCCTGGTTTCGAACACCTTTGGTAGGTGTGTATTGCTGAAGAGTTTCACAGTAGGACGAAACAGCTGTGCAGTACTCTCATGTTTTCTGGTGGTTTTCTAACCAGTGTCAGTTCATGATGAAATCCTGTAAACAATAAAATCGAATCCCTGCAAACCAACAGTTGAATATCACATATATCATTTGAGAAAGGATTTTTTTTTTCTAAACAGTTAAACGTATCATTTAATAAACTGTTGTTCTGACACTAATTTGTCCTTTAGTAGACAAGATGATTGATCGAAGAAATGTTCGGTCGTCAGTTAGATCTTCATCTATCGCCCTACTATTATGTGATATGACATTCTTCAATATGACAGAGAATTTGCCAATCATTTACGGATAAGTCTGTTAACAATACTTAGCCAATATCACTAGGCCAAATGGAGTGTATGGTAATAACTAACTAAGAAGATTATTACACCAAATAAGGAGTGAAGATATTAAACAAACAATCAGTTGGTTACGTAATCCGCAGTTTTTGGAAAAGGTAGGAAGAGGAGTAAAAAAGTAGATAGAATAATAAGATGGCCAAAACAATAATAATTTCTCCCTTGGGGAAATTGTGAAAGTCGATTAATAAGTTGTCTATCACTATAGCGGTATCGTTCATTCCTTAAATCCCCAGTAGAAAATGGGGATACAATGGCACATTAATTTTCCTATGCTTCAAATTTTCAATAAGGTTATGTTATATTTTATGAAATACACTTGCTAGCTCCACAGCCAACTTCCTCTCTTTTCCCGACTTAAATGCACGGTATCTTGAAGATTGAAATTACAGCATTATGACAGCTAGCTCATCTAAAAGATGTAATACCAAACCACAGTGATAGTGTTTCATTCTAGGAATGCATGTACACTCTCAAATACACACACCAGCGCCTATGAATAGTTATGTTAGTGTATTTGAACGTTAGCTGACTATGTTTAAATTATGTTTTTCAGGTCAAGACTGAGTAGGCTCTGATCATTTCCTCTAAATGCTTTCACTTGTTCAAACGTTCAAAGCCTGCGCTATGTACATCCTGTTCATTCCCTTGTTACAAATGTGAGAGATTAGATACGAGTTTGACATACTGCGCTGAAACGATGGACCCTAGAACTTCGCCTAGGGACTTGGAGAGCTTGTTCCACCGGGTGAAGGCAACATAAAGTATGTTGACCCAATCAAATCACTGACAGTCATGATGTGGATTTAGAGGTTGTTCTACTGCCATGTGTATCAAAGCGCTTGTCTCTTAAAAGAGGAATGTTCGGTCTGAGCAGTTTCTCTGCCGTCTGATGAAATAATACACCATAATGTTGTTTTGTGTGGCGAGTTTTGTAGTGCTTATACTGTAACCAAGTTCAAAATTAAACATTATTTAGACAATTGATCCCATTGTTTTTTCTTGTATGCTAATAAGCTTTTATGTACACCATTGTTACTGTTCTGATTAGTCGAATAAACAATATGTAGCGAATTATGATATGTTTTCGTCTGCAACACTGTTCTTATCGTTCTACTTCTATTCCATTTTAGTGTACTGGCTCTGAGTTTCTGAACACATCACGAATCATCAAAAGAGTGACTGGAAAGTCTTTCAACGGAACTAATTCCAGGCGATTGATAGTCGGTGACCTTTTGGTGGTTGAACATGCTTATATTTAGCAGCCGTTAGATAAAAGTAATTACAGTTCATTAAGGTCCATAGTTGAGTTATTGATTTGGTAAGTTTTTGAGAGGATTTCATAATGTTTCATTTTCCTTTACTGTATTCGTGTTACAGCTCGAATTATATATTATTATTATTCGTTCCCTGCACCACGAGTGAAACATAGGACTTCAGCCGCACATCTCAGTTCAGCTGGGTTCTCTGACATCCACTTTCAACTGGCCTTACATATCCACATAAGCTTTCTTTTCTGTTTCAGATCACCTACTTCATGTTACCCTCGGACATCTATCTCGTCAATCCCCACGACCTGGTGTATGATGTCACTTGAAATTCTTCTCAGAGTATGTCGAATTCATCTGTATTTCCCTCTGGGTACTTTTTGTTTGGGAAGAAGACTGTTAGCTGCTTCATCATTTTCTGGAGTTTACTGTTACTTGTACTTTCTGGTCGGTCTTATCATGATCAGTATCCAGACAGCTAAGATTGTGTCGAGGAAGATTCATCGGAGTCAGTTTGAAATGCTTCTTGGAACGTTATGACTCCTATGCTCTGAACTATATGGAGGCACTGAATTGACATGAATGGAATAAATTCGGATGTTGTTTTTTAGCCTAAGGGCTCAGGACGTTCACGCTAATTTCAGAGTCACAGTCCGAATAAGTCAGTTTTATTGTTTCTGCATGCATATGCCAGTTCACATGCACACATTAACCATACTATACATCCGTTTTTCAAACACTCGGGAACACTATCCAACCTGGCACAAGTGAAGGAAAAACGTATATGTGGTTAGATAGCTCAGTATTATTATTATTGTATTATTATTGTTTCCTTTAGTTCCTAGAGGAGCATACGGCTTCAGCCGCACGTCTCCATCGCGTTCGTTTCTCCGCCAACTTTTTCACCTGACTCCGCGTCTGCTCACATGCTTTCATCTCCTCCTCCATGTCACCCTCGCACTGACGACCATCTCGCCGCTTTCATTCGAGTTCCACTCGAGCGATTGCCTGCCGTGTGATGTCACCTGACAGTTTCTTCAGAGTATAGCCAATCCACCTCCATTTCTTCCTGCATGTTTCTTGCACAATTGGTTCTTTGTTTGTTTGTTCCCAGAGATCCCTGTTGCTGATCTTTCCTGGTCATTTAATATTGAACATTGAACGAAGACAGCTGTTGATGAAGGCATCTAGTTTGTTCAAAGTGCCTTTTGTGATGCGTCAAGTCTCTGATCCGTATAGCAGCACTGACTTCACATTGAAGTTGAAAATCTGGATCTTGTTTTTGATGCTGAGTTCTGTTGATCTACCTACACACAGATTTCAGAGTAATGAAAGCTTGCCTTGCTTTTCCCATCCTTGCTTTGATATCCTCATCAGTTCCATCCGCCTGTAGGTGAAACGATGTTTCCCTGGTAGGTGGGAAGGTAGGTAAAGAAGGTTGCTTCTTTCACACTTCTCCCATTTATTCTGATTTTTGTCTGTTGTTGTTGCTGCTGTCACTGTTGGCCAGGAATCTTCATCATCTCTGTTTTCTCTATGTTCACCTGAAGTCCCATCTTTGATAGTTCTTCTGACAATTTGTTGCTCTTCATTTGCATATCTTCCCGTTAGTGGGAAATCAGACATATATCATAGACGTGAGATAACCTTATTGGACGACTTGTTTAACCTTGGGTCAGTGGCTAGCCACTCAGAACAGTTTATTGTCCTCTGACCTAGCCAAACCCCAGTGTGGTTAACATTGTATAAATATGATACATGCTTCCTCAATAAAGATCCATTACCAATTCTGTTATCTTTTCCCGTTACACAAAGTACATATGAAACATATTATGATCATTTTGTTGTTTTCGCACCCATCTAGCTTATAGTCAGAAATCAATTTCAACAGATATATATACACACACGCATACATAATGCATCCACCTCATAGTCATCGGATAATATTCCAAGGTTTATTGGTTATCAGTGGTGCAGGCTTGGCATCTTATTGGCTTGTCTCGAGTATATATGGGATGATAATGCGTAGACGGTATAACCAACGTCGTATAAAGAAAAAAGCTGAAATCCTTCAAGCTAAGAGTGATTTTCATGAATATCTGCAGAATAATCCTCTTGTAAGCGATTTCTTTTATTATTTTTTTCTTGTTTATTTCTGTTTATGTAAGTGTATTTTCAGAATAAGAATAAATTAAGCGAACAAGTGTGTATCCAATGTCTTCTTCTTCTTTAAGCATTACAGTTATAAAATCCACTAATGTTAGAATACAATATCCAGTAAGGGTCCAAGGGGTGAGTTATGTTATTCACTGGAGTGAGAGGAAGTATGAAAACTACAGAAATCATAAACTGGAAACACACCGGATACTTTGAGTGTAAATCTGAGGGATGTCAAATAATAACAATAACGATAATAAAATACGGTGGTCAATTTTAATCAAACAAATGAAGACTGGATAAGCTTATTGGAAATTCAAAGGATGATTAATAATGATAACGATGCCAAGCGAACTAGATGAAAAGCGGTAGGAGGGATAGAGAAAAGACTTGTTTTTAAATGTTGGCGGACATAAGAAGAGATAAAGTTATGAGATGTGATCATGTCTGTGATGACTTTGTAGTCGTTGGCGAAGGCAAACCATACTTTGATTGAATACTAGTAACCAGTGTGATGCGTCTAGTCCTTTCTTTGGTGCAGACTGCATTATATCATTCAGGTTTGCAATGTGGCATCAAATCAATGTGCACCGTGATGGCGAGCTACCTAGAATGGTGTCCACATTGCAGACCTGACTGATAGTATTCAGTCTGCACCAAAGAAATGACTAGACGCATCACACTAGTTACTAGTGTCCAATCAAAGTACCCACTAGAGTCCTACAGGAGGTCAGTCACGAGCCCGAATAGCTCAGTGGTAACGTCTCTGACTGCAGGCGGCACTGTGTGATGCGGCTTCGAATCTCAGAAGGGACATGAGTTCCTTCAAGGTCGCACATATACGCCTTGCTGACTAGTGAGTGTCAACTAGCAGGAAACCCAGGACGGGCAAGGCTTCCAGTGGCCGATCGCCTCCAACCATCTAATATCATCGAAGGCAAACCAATACTGGATTAATGTACTTTGTTTTAAGACTAAGGTGGTATGTTTATTCTGCTGGTTTTGAGTTTATTGTATTGAAGCAAACTAATTCATCTGGCCACTTCCACTCACCGTTATAATTTCTATGACAGCGGTATAAATAAATATGAGTTTTGTTTTTATATGCTTCTTAATCTGTTTTTTTTTCTTTTGAATTTTTAATTTTTCTCAGTCCAATGAAGAAATTGAACAGATTCTTAGCATACCCTACTGTGAATTAATTCAGTGTTTACAAAAGCGTGAATTAACTCCACAGAAAGTACTATTAGCCTATCAACATAAAGCATTTGAAGTGGATGAAAAATGTAATTGTGTTGTTGAATTTCTATATCCTAATGTAGGTTTTACTTCTTTTCTGTTTTTTTTCTATCTTTCCGTTTATTTTAAGTATTTTAACTCAGTGGATCTGTTTGATAATCTGTTTTTATCTCACCTCATCTTTGTGGTTTGTGCGTCGGTGGCACAGCGGTTAGGACTCTCGCCGACCATGCACATGGTCCGGGGTTCGATTCCCCGCCGACGCACACCTGATACCTATGATCGGCCTGCAAAATTTGGGCTACCGGTATCACATGCCGAAAATTTCATACCCATTCCAAAAATACGGTGTGGAATCAAGCAGTAATCAAAATAAGAAAATGAATTAAAAATTTATCTGCACGTCTTGACCAATAAGCAGCACAACTTACGGTGTTGACGTACTTGACGTTGTTGAAAATGAACTGATCCAGCCACTAAAATGATCTTGAGTAGACAGTCATGTTGCTACTATTCATGCAATAGGGAGTAAGTTTTGCTTCAAAACAGCTTCTTGGTCCATATAATTCATTTGTACTTTAAACGCCAAGGGTTGAGACTGACGGTTAGTTCAGTTATTTTATTTCCTTCCTTCACGTTTTCAGTGGGACAGAGCGCCTCAAGCTAGAGCTGTGTAGACTCGGCATCAGTAGTGTTTATTTTTACGGGGTGGGGTTGCTAGCCTCATGCCTAACCTTCCCTCTCTACCCATCTTATTAGTGTCTTAGTGAGGTTTCGGAGTGCGTCGGCAGGAGATCGAACCTCAGATTACATGCGTGGTTGGCGAGCATTCTACCGCCAGGCCACCGATGCTTAGATTAGAATTTATAAAGATTAAGCGTTATATTAGAGTTGAGTTATGGTTGAAGGTTTTATTAGAGTTAGGAGTTATGTTTAGGATTAGTGTGGTTAGGAGGACCTATAATCGTCAAGGTCATCTGACGACCTTTGTAGCTTACCTACATCTTAGTTTTCTTTTGAGGTGTGAGGTGTCTAAAACTGTCTCAAGACCTACAGCTCATACGGGGGCAGTGAACAAATGAATTGTTCAGGAGATGGGTCGTAGAATATAACTCCGATTTGCTTAAATTATTCAGCTTTCTAAATTTCAATCCAACAAAATGCATGAACTCGTTTGTATTTCTTGTTGTTTCAATCATCAGATTATATTTTTGAGCCGCTAAATTGCCTTGAGCACGTTTTTAATTAGCCTTTAACGGGACGTAATAAACTTCTTAGGACAAAAGAAGGATAGTGCTACAGGCAGAACAACACTTTATAATAGGATATACTGTCGGTTACTGTTCTACTAGACGATCCTGTTAGGAGAGTGAATATTTTGCTGATAATAAATAGGCTGAGAATTGTGTACTGTCAAGAATAACTTCCGTTATCATTATTATTATTATTATTATTATTAAATCCAGAGATGCGGTGTTGTTCTATCTCTATCAATCTTAATAGAACCAAAGAATCAATTTATGACATTATTTATTCGTCCAATACGTATTTGATATAACCTTTAAGGGCTTTTCTAAGCTTTACATAACGTCAAAAGCTTCATTATAGATAAGATTTTATTTTGATAAATCACTGTGTTGTACAGTAATATTAACTGATAACGTCTTGAGCATAAATTATTGCCGCACATAATCATTTCAAGTCTCTCACAAAACTTTTTGCTTCATGTTTATATAAATATATATATGAGTAAAACTGATTAGACTTTTGAATAAAATCAATATAAGATAAAGTACATTAGGAAATAATAATATTAGTGTTATCAATCAAATACAGTCAAATGGGAAATAAGACGAGTGTTTTTATAGTCAAAATAAGTAACTTATTAGAATGTGTTACAATGTATGTGAATTGGAATAAAATTTTAAGATTATTTATTATCCTCCTCTGATTTGACTGGTGGTAATAATATATTCCATATCTCTGGTCTTTGCATATGAGTCATTTCTGTTGCATGTGTTGGGTGTAGACTCGGTGAACCAGGATTCAGTAATCTCTCTTTCTCTCTCTCTCTAACTCCATTTACCTATATTACTTTTTAGAATTTTGACTCTGTCCCACCTACCGTATTGTGTGGTTGTGTGTGAATGCATGAAGTTTTATACTTACGTCAAAAGCTTATCCCATCAACTTGACATCTTAAAAATTCACAAGGTATGACATTCTGTGTAATGTCGAGAGGATGTATAATCTAAATACAATATACACGCAATCGAATGGCGTAGCAATAGAGATGTTTATGAACAGTTGGGAACATAATTTTTAAATTAAATTAAATATTTTTTATTATAGCTTGATTCCACGCAGTATTTTTGGTACAGGTATGGAATTTTCAGCATGTGATGTCGGTAGCCCAAATTTAGCAGGCCAACCATTGATATCAGATGTGCGTTGGCCGGAGATCGAACCCCGGATCATGTGCATGGTCGGCGAGTGTTCTACGTGCGTCGGTGGCACAGTGGTTAGGACTCTCGCCGACCTTGCGCATGGTCCTGGGTTCGATCCCCTGCCAACGCAAACCTGATATCAACTGGTCGGCCTGGAAAATTCGGGCTACCGATATCACATGCTAAAAATTCCATACCTGTACCAAAAAGTACTGTGTGGAATCAAGCTGTAATCAAAGAAAAATAACTACCCACTCGAATTTACTCAGAAATGCATGAAGAACTATAGAAAAAAATTAAAATGACAGAAATAATATAGAATTGAAGTATCTATATTAACACCACATAAGGATGGAACATCAGAGGCCTTGAGTGTGATTCTCAATTAGGCTGGAATTAGAGTGGTATTTAAACCAGCCATTTCTCTCAGAGATAAACTTTACCAGCTTAAGAAGATCCAATTAGGAAAAATAATATAATTTACCAAATACCATGCAATGACTGTGAAGTCAACTACATAGGTCAAACAGGTAGATCGGCATCAAGCAGATTATCGAAAAATAAAATCCAGTTATTAATGCTGCATCACCGTGTGATATTTAAAATAAACTTGTCTAATATGGAATTATATTCTGCTGCAGTGCCCAAATTCTACACTTACATGAATGTTTGACGGACATTTTGTCAGTCTTCATCTCTCCAGTGGAACATTGGTCTTCATACTTGGGTTCTTGCATTTTAAGTAACCGTCGTGTTTTTGTTTTGCCGCGTGGAGTTCCTAGCGTCATGACAAATTTTCTCCCTTTACCGGTCTTCTTACCGGCTAAGCCAGGTAAAGGAGTGTGTCGGCCGGGTATCGAACCTCAGACCACATGTGTGGTTGGTAAGCTTCCCGTGACTAAGCCGCAGACCCACTTTATGATACTCTGTTCGAAGATAGAGCTGTAAAAAATGAGATAATACTCATTGTATTGTGCTTTCCCATGGAAATCTTTAGTAAAAGACGAAAGACTTATCCGCAAATGAGAAGACATCAGAGATTTTTCCTAACTCCTACGATTACAGTAATCCTACTTTCGATAATCTTCCTGTAAGAGTAATTCAACCATCTGACCTTTTCACTAACAATCATATTACTCATGCACAAAATACATTTTTAGTTTGTACATTGTTTTGTATAGTCAACTTCAATGGATATAATATTGATTATTGAATTGAATTTTTGATTTTTCCGTCGATTGATTGGACCGAAGTGTTCGACAGGTACATCCAGCTGACGAGTCCCAATTAGGACGAAATGCGCATCCTGGATTCCACTGCTAGCCACCATCCACCAATTGGATATAATATTGGTTTATAAATACTGCCTACTGGAAATGAAAATGTTAGCACAACTGTCTTATTGTACCTTTTTTTACCCTTCCAGTTCGATGAAATCAACCTGAATGGTCCGTTGGCCGGAGCACCAGTTAGTATAAAAGAAAACTTTACGATTAAGGTAAAATATTCCATGTGTTTATTTCTCATAAATGTGTAATCCCTTTACTGAGTGTATTTTTTTCTACCTTGCGACACAGGTAACAGTAGAAAGGCAAGTCTAAACTGGACTCTATTTCTTTTCAAATACTCTTTCTCCTCTCGAAAATCTGTTGTCGCACGTGGATTCGTTCTACTGGTACTTCAATTCATGACAGTGTTACGTACTGATTACTCGACTACTACCCTTCAAACTGAGAAATACACAGAAGACTGATTGAGCAGGCAAAGATGTATCGCTCTATTGAAAGGACAATAAGACCTTAAATTACAGTTAATTATATAATTATGTGAAATTCATGTTCATATCGGATAGCATGCACTAAAAGAAATCGGAAGACATGAGATTTAATCTAAGTAAGAGCCGAATGACTGATTTACGGATCATGTGGGAAACACTGATTCATAATATATCTTCTCCTGTCCTAGTATATTCCTGGTGTGAAATCGACTCCTGGTACAGGCTCTTCGACTATTGTTTGGGGGAAATATGCTATTTATTTGGTTGATCGTCTCTTGTGACCCATTGACCTAGAGTAGATAACGCTTTGGCGTTTGATGGAACTATAGGCATATGCTTCGAGTGTCTCAATGAGAACACCATCAATCACTGGCGATCGCAGGTGTATCCAGCTGACAAATCCCAAGTAAGGCGAAATTTGCTTGGCTTAATGTTGCTATCATCGTCATTACTTTGAATGCTTACTTCTAGACTTTGAAGTTAACTAACTGCATACTTGTTAACACCACTGACTTAACTTGCATTCATGTAACATGTTCACTTAAGTTGACCGATTAAAAACATTGATTTCTGGACCAATGATATGTAACAGTAATGTAGTCATTGTTTTTTGTTGTTGGATAAGTGGTAGTGAAAATCACATTTTCAGATAAATATCTCACTCCATTTTCAAGCATTGGTTTGTAGGGATTTGATTGATTGGTTACAGGATTTCATCGTGAGCTGAAATCGGTTAGAGAAGCATTGGTAAACCTGGGAGTATTGGACATCTATTTCGTCCTAATTTGAGACTCGCCGAAGACATTGGCTAATGGTCGCGCTATGTCATGAATTAGCAGAAGTTCGAATTCATGGGCGGCCGTTGGGTGGGTCCCGAATGCTTGATGGTCTACGAGGTCGCCTCGTAACCAGTGGGTCCTGGTCTCGAACCCCGCTGGATGCGTATTGATGAACAGTCTCAAAAATAGGACGAAGCAGCTGTCCAGTACTTCCAGATTTTTCAATGCTTCTCTAACCGATATCAGCTCATGATGAAATCCTGTAACCAATCACTCCATCCTCTTTTATTGCTGTCAGTTGTGATTCAGAGATAGTTATAAGAAGTATAGAAAACCAGTCGATCATTTGCTAGGATAATTAGATGAGTTTATGAGCGGAGAACAAAATACAGTTTACTGGATAATTTGAACTGATGGTAATGTAATGACATCGATTGGGGATTTTTTGTGCTTTACCGGAAAATAGGAATATCATAAATTACAATCTGCTTACTACATTATAGTAACCTACTTCATCTCAGAGTGACTGAAGGATCCTGGGCATACAAAACCCCACTGAAGCAGGATTAATTCAAAAAAAAAAATCAGCATTATGAATCATACCATAAAATTGAGCCCAAGAAGGAAATTATCCCTTTACCTTAACGTCATCTACTTCGAAAATGCCTTGACACCGTCTATGGCGAAGTAATTTGGGAGAGTTGAATGGGGGGAAACAAAACATTTCCATTATAGAGTTGATTTATTTGAGAAAATCACACAGTATTATTTACTGATTACGTTTGGAGCACAATTTATAACTCCTGACTATATCAAAGCACTCATGCAACGTTACAACAAAAGTCACAAAATAATTAGGCGTATTGTGGTGAGAGCTGTCAGAAAACCAAAATTGTAAGCAACAGTTTATGCCAGTGTTTACGTCTCGAATCGGGGTCATGAGAAAAAACAAGAACGAAGCCTAACCTTGATAAACTCACTAACCAATCACAACAGAATTAACGTGGGCAGAAACGATTTGCAGGTATATGACCGGACTGTCTGAGAAATGGCCACAAAGAGATGACGGAATAACCTTCAGCAAGATAACAGACAAGACGTTGCTTCTCTGCTAACGAATAATAATGTACATAAAATTATTGGATTGAATTTTTGATTTTCCCGTCGATTGATTGGACCGAAGTGCTCGGTCTCAGGTTGACATGTCGGCTTCTTGTGCAGATGCTTCGACGATGTCTGGGCATTTAATTAGTATACAATTGGTGGATGGTGGCTAGCAGTGGAATCCAGGATGCGCATTTCGTCCTATTTGGGACTCGTCATCTGGATGTACCTGCATTTCTCAGTGAGTGATGATGTTCCCACTGAGGCTCGAACCCAGTACCCATAGTTTCAAACGCCAAAGCGTTATCCTCTAGACCACTTGGGCCACGAGAGCCAACTCTTGTGCAACGGGTCATATTAATTATTGAATTGAATTTTTGATTTTCCCGTCGATTGATTGGACCGAAGTGCTCGGTCTCAGGTTGACATCATCACTCACTGAGAAATGCAGGTACATCCAGCTGATGAGTCCCAGATAGGACGAAATGTGCATCCTGGATTCCACTGCTAGCCACCATCCACCAATTGTATACTAATGTACATAAAAGTCTATAATTATTATCTGTTGATTTTCTCAACAGAGGATCTGATGCCTATTCCTTGTCTTCTGTCGTTACACTATGAGTGAATAAATAAAGTTTAAACTTCAATACACCTGACAGGAAAGTGAATCACATTCAAAACTCTAAATTCGGTAAGATGGAAAATAAGATGACGTGTCAGTATAATAAACGAATAAGCAAAATGTTAGGGTATGAAAAAGTAAATTAAAATAAAACAAAGTGTTAATGGGACACAGACTTTCATAACTATGAAATCAGTGTGGAAATCAACTGTACTAAGTATAAAGAACAAGATCCCTATGTTCAAAACTCATGTCAAGTCATTGCTTCTGATGCTGTCGAGAGACTTGGCCCGGGCTTCAGGCTTTCATCAACAGCTTCACTCATTCTTTACTGAAGATCAGATGGTCTCTCACTAAGGATAAGCAATAGTAAGGTTCTCTGAAGAAGGGCGAATATCCAACAGCCTTTTGTCCAACCGATGAATATGCAGAAGGTAATGGAGATGGATTGGATATACGCCGAAGAAAACGTTGAATAACATCACCCATCGGGTCGGCGAGTGGAAGGGGAATGAGAGACGAAGGGGTGGGGTGGGCTACCGAGGGTGACATGGAAGAGATCATATAGAGAAGAAATGTTTGTCTGCATTCGTGGAGGCATCTGGAAAAGACTTGCGACAACTGGTTGCATTGGAGGTGCACTTGGAGCTCTTGAGACGTGTAATAATAACATAATGATATAGCAAGTCAAAGCACTGTCAGATCAGCGGCTTTCTTTATCAACAAGTTTTGATTAACTAACTAAGTGGGCAAGTAAATTACATCAAACTGTATCTAATTATCTTAATTGGGAAATATGGTGATTTGTACTTAAAAATCAGCTAGCAAAAATTCGTCCTCCTTGTTCAATCCATTTCTTGTTGTGGTTTTTGTTGCTCATTATATAATCAAATGACATGTTAAATTTCATATTAAATAATGAAAACTGAAGGAACACACCTGTTGTCTTACCAGATCTTTGTTTAATATCTTTGTCGATGTAGGGTAGTGAAAGCCATGCAGGGATGGTGAAATTCTTGAATGGACCGTCAAGGGATGATTCTTCAATCATACAAGTCATTAAATCGCTTGGAGGTGTGCCTTTTGCACGCACAAATGTGCCACAATCAATGTTCAGGTAGTCATTTTAGAGTATAAATTTTTATCACTATCTTTTGCTGGCTATTTCGTGATAAGATGCAATCTTATTTACATATATTTCTTTATGCTATATACTTGAGCAACTTACATTCCGTTTGTTAGATGATGGAAGGCTCTTAGCAAGTTGCTGTAGGCTTAGGTTTAATGCTTCTTGGTACATGCTGGATGTTTATCTGCAAATTTGAGACTTTTGAACCCACGTGACTCAGTTTCGCAGTCAGACACATTACTGCTGAGCTGTTCGAGCTCACTGTGGACCTCCTGTAAGATTTTAATGGACATGGAGTGCACATTCTAATGTTGAAGACTTGTTTTAACGTATACACTCACAGAATGCCACCAACGCCATTCTCTGCACTCTCTGCTCATGTAATGCGGAGTTGGATTCTCTGAGTCGGTTGTACAGCCCATCAAACTAGACAACTTATTATACCGTTTTTCAAGAATTATCTAGACTTCTTTTTATATCCAGACATACTGCTCGAAAGAGCACATTACTATCTATTAAAGTCTCCTCTAACTTGCGTCATGTCATCAGTACTTACAAGATGGGAGAGTACTGATTTATCGAACATCAAACTAACTTCATTTATTAGAGTTGGCATAGTTTAGGTTATCTATACCATTACCAGCACTTTACAGACAGACTAATTGATCACAAGGAAGTAAACAATGTCATGGGTGTTAATGCTGACTGAACTATATCAGTCTGAATTCCTATGTAGGTCTACGAAGCCAGATGACTCGCCATCTCGGTGTAATATGTTTATTGTGTACATTGTGAACTATCATGGCCGAAATCACAGTTACTTTGGACCGCTAATCAGATAGAGATGTCATTCCATACGTGTTAGATGCATTCATCCTGGTGACTGTAGGTCAAAGTACTTTGAGACTCGTTGATATAGCGTACTCCTTACTATAACCATATCCCAAAATCCTAACTTTAACCTTAACCCTAGACCCTAAACCTTAATCTTAAAAGCCATAACCCTAACTGACAGTACAGATTTGCAGAGAGAGTATTTAGAGAATACTGTGAAATACTGTATCTATCCTCTCCAAATCAAAAAAGGCAGACATGATTTGATTTAGAATGACCTTCCTCAGGGTTCCGTGTATCTGATTAGTTTTAAAAAGTTAACTTTTAACGGAACTTGACTTTGTCTATGATACTTTAACTTTACTGTGTTTGTGTTATGGCTGATATTAAGACCTAGCAAACTATTCACAATTACAACATCAATCACTATCGTAACAATCTTCCTATACGCGAAATAAGGTAGAGTACGAACCGTCGGTAAAACCTGTTACTGTCGGAAGTTACGGTTCAAAATTAATTGAGAGCGAAGTTAAACATATACTGTTTACATTACCTTGACATCACTAGGATTAATGATAAGTTTCAAAGGTTAACGGTGACTCTTAACTATAGTACTCCAAAACGAAACTGCTTAACAAAGAGTTTGACGAATCTCTAGTGGCCAATCCGATACGTCCGCAGTAGAAGTGCGTAATTTGTAGATAACGTTTATACAAAAGTAATGCAATGTTAAAAGGTAATAACATAGGATAACGTTCTTGTATATGTTTCAAAAACACCACTCATTTTCTCACAGAAGTCCCCATTGTTAGGTAAAACCAATTTCTGTTTATAGATTCATCGAGATAATTGTAAATCACCGTGTTTCTTGACTAATTCACCTCTCTGATCCCCTTTTTTAAGTGACTCTGGAGACTTTTAATGGAATTTGTGTGAGTCCCATCGAAAGGATAAACGAAGTCGTCCGTATGACTGATCATGTCGTCTATATACCCTAGAGATGACAGCTGGCTACCCGCTTTTTCTCCTCCAGTGAGCCTGTTGTCTAAGCAGTACTTAAATACTAGTGTGGTGAGAGCAGGCTGCTAGCCTATTGGTTGGCACTAATCTACGTTAATGTCTAGGTCACTAATATGGGCCGTGAGAAAATATGAACAAGGCCGTTTCAACAACCAATCACAGCAAACTTAAATGTGGACAAATATGATTCGCAGATAGATGGCTCTACTTTCCGAGAAATATCGAAAACAACCAATCATATGACTGTGTTTGTCTGCTTAACTTCCGAGAAACAACCAATGAGAAGACTGCCTTTTTCTGCTTGCATAAGCCTTATTAATGCATATAAAATATATATAAATACGTGTTGATTTTCGTAATAAAACGATCTGTTGCCTGGCCCTTGTCTTCTGTTGTTACATTTGGTGTCGCTGCCTACCGACAAATGAAAAGCCTATACCCTGCAGTTTTTGATGGAGACATATGGATCTTCGGGCAGGACTTCAAGGCTTCTGCGCAGTTGAGTGGCGTTCAAGATCTGTCAGCGATGGAGCTGCTACTTGAGACGCTGCTGGGAGGTCGGGCGAAAGCAGCATATGAAGGTGTGGGCCGAAGTATGGACGACTGTTCGACAGGGTCAGGCAAACAGTTTCCAAAGTGGGAAGGACCATATATGGTCACTTCGAGATGGGGTTACGCAGACACAATCGCAATGGCGAACAATGAGAGGCGCGTGAACGTCAGCGAGCTCCAGAAACGGATACAGCGAGACAAGCCAACGATGACGCCTGCACCAAGTAGATCAAGCCGACTTCAGTCGCACGTATTTGACGGGGGGACGAGTGTGGTGAGAGCAGGCTGCTAGCCGATTGGTTGGCACTAATCTACGTTAATGTCTAGGTCACTAATATGGGCCGTGAGAAAATATGAACAAGGCCGTTTCAACAACCAATCACAGCAAACTTAAATGTGGACAAATATGATTCGCAGATAGATGGCTCTACTTTCCGAGAAATATCGAAAACAACCAATCATATGACTGTGTTTGTCTGCTTAACTTCCGAGAAACAACCAATGAGAAGACTGCCTTTTTCTGCTTGCATAAGCCTTATTAATGCATATAAAATATATATAAATACGTGTTGATTTTCGTAATAAAACGATCTGTTGCCTGGCCCTTGTCTTCTGTTGTTACACTAGACGTGGATGAAATTTGACATGTAATTCGTGTATAGCATCCATAATTCCACGTATGTACTATGGACTCATCTGACTTGTCACTAATCCGTTCATTAGGTAGTTTCGTTTTGGGTTGCTATAGTTTAGAATCACCTGTTTTAGAAAGCATTTTTTAAGTAGCATCACACGCCAGCCCCTGGCATGGAACGCTAGTTGGTAGCGAAGTGCCTGGCTTCCAAAGCTAATCTGAAACAGGTCATGTGTGCTGGAAATGCAAACCCATAAACAGTTGTGAAGCCAGGTGGAAGTGACATGAGAGATACCTTGTAAGATGTTGATGTGCTTTTGGAATGCTGGTAGTGCTGTAGATAAGCTAAACTATGCCAACTGCACTAAATGAAGTTGGCCTGGTGTTTCATAAATCAGTACTCTACCCATCTTGTGAGTACCGATGACATGATGCAAGTTAGAGGAGCAGTATATTTGAAGATAAAAAGAAGTCAAGATAATTCTTGAAAAACGGTATAATAAGTTGTCTAGTTTGATGGGCTGTACAACCGACTCAGAGAATCCAACTCCGCATTACATGAGCAGAGAGTGCAGAGGATGGCGTTGGTGGCATTCTGTGAGTGTATACGTTAAAACAAGTCTTCAACATTATAATCTGCTCTACACGTTCTTGAAGCCCTATGATCGATTGAGAACGTTCGGGACTAATGATGATATGGAATCTAAAACCTTTGAATTGTTTTTGAGTGGGTTCGTCATTCTATCTCTGGGAGGGAATGCGAATCCCCATGAATTCTAACGTCGGTTATCTGGCTATATATAGCACCATTGTCAGTCACAACTGACTGCTCATTAGACGTCCAAGACTTCCAGGCTCATAACTGTATTAACTGTTTGCTCTTCGTGACTACTGATTCAGTAGTTTGTCACATAGTCACAGCTTATTAACATTTTCTACTTTTTTAGGGATAACGGAATGTACTAGTGTATTTTTGCTCAATAGGAATTCGTCATTTTGTAATGTCCACATGAATATTCGTAAATTTTAAAATTCTGTTTATATTGTATTTGGAAAATTTTAGCGTCCTGTCGTCGAATCCAATCAATGGAACAACTCTTAACCCACTCGCTCTAGATCGTAGTCCAGGTGGAAGTAGTTCAGGTGAGGCTGCTTTAATCGCTGGTGGTGGTTCTCGTCTTGGATTCGGTACAGATCTTGGTGGAAGTGTGCGATTCCCCGCAGCTATGTGTGGAATTGTTGGTTTCAAACCTACACCGAAACGCGTCAGGTGAGTTGTTGCACAAATAAATATACATTTGTTTTAGCATAACTCTTAATCGAATCAATAAGGTATTGAGTGCACTGACTGAGATACTTGACCTTGAAATAATACACTATAGTTTTGAGAATACTACATGCCTTTCGTATGAAAGAGCTATCCAGCACTTCATCTTACTGCAGTTGTCCACTGCAGGGATAAGTACTTTAAATGCATCATGCATGTAAATGAAACATCGATACATCGTGTTTATTATTTTTGTGTTTTTACAGCCAGATGGGTATGTCATCACATGGACGATTTATTACTGGTAAGTTTTATCACTTTAATTCTCACTTGCTATTCAGTATTAACACATAACCAGAGTTATGGATAATCTTCAACTAAAGTGTAGTTGATTTTTCAATGATAGTTTGCAGGAATTTTATTGGCTTTAAGTTAGATCAGAGATTGACATCAGTTAAACAACTGAAAACCAGCGAGTGCTAGATAGATAGTTGTTTCGTTCTAATTTCGGGGTACTTCAGCACCACACACCCATGACCTTCAGATTATGAGAAGAACCCACTGACTATTCAGCTATTTGGATGGGAACTGATTATCCAGAAATTCTAACCTCCATGATCTTATTCAAGTGTTGATTTAAAGGGATTAGATTTCATTGGTTACAGGATTTCATCATTAACTGACATAGGTTATAGAACCATTGGAAAACCTGAGAGTACTGGACGGACAGCTACTTCTGTCGTCCGAGTTTGAACCCAGGACCCTCCAGTTACAAGCAGAACTCATGAAACATTGAGCCACTGGGACCCAGTTCAAAGGCTAGCCCATGAATTGCAACTTCTACCAATTCACGGCATAGCGCAACCACTAGCCAATGTCATCACTGGCGAGTATCGTCTTCACGTCCCACCTACTGGCCACTGGGTTGTCTTGTAATTGGAACGTTCTGGGTCTGAACCAAGGTGGGCGTGTATTCCATGATCCTACTTGAAACTGTTCTAATCCTTGCTAACCAACAACACCTGATGATGCTTACTACTAACTGACTATAGGGCGGAGTTGCCTGAAGTTGTAATGAGAAGTCATGATCCTTGAGAAGACGGCTAGTCGCCGATAACTTTGGCTAGGAGTGGGTGGGCTATAAATCGTTGTAAGTGTAGTTGCAATTGTTTTTTAAAAATCCATAAAACTGTAAGAAATGTTCATATGAATAATGCGACCTGGACATAATAGTTACATTTTTGATTGAAGTGATCATAAATGTATCTATACTTTAAGTTGTATATATATATATATATATATATATATATATATATATATATATATATATATATATATTGATTTGGAAGTTCTCTGCTGCTTGGCAATGAATCATATTCTAACTATGCTAGTCAACCTGAGTTGTTTGATCGTCACTTTTCTGTAGTTGATCTGACATCATTCGCTGTTATTTTCTTATCTCTGAAAGTTGACAGTTCTATAGGTTTCCTCGGACGTGATGTACAAACGTGTATATTAGCAGCCCAGTCTATTTGGAATTCCAGCTTACATAATGAACTGGACTATTTCTGTCCACCGCTAAAGTTTAACTCAGAAGTGAGTTGTCAACAACTATTTGTACTTCTTGTTTACTTACATTTTTTTATTTTCGATTACAGCTTGATTCCACACAGTATTTTTGGTACAAGTATGGAATTTTCAGCATGGATATCGGTAGCCCAAATTTTGCAAGCCGACCATAGATATCAGGTGTGCGCCGGCAGGAGCTCGAACCTCGGACCATGTGCATGGTCGGCGAGAGTCCTAACCACTGTGCCACCGACGCACTGAGCCAAACACTTTGTCGGTCAACACAACTCAGTCGTTCTGGCTATACACTTATTGATTTATTCACTCGTGATTTTAGAATAAGCTTGTTAGATGTTGCACTGGAGGTCAACATTCAGATGGCGTCTAGCTAGCAACTCGAAACTGTACCAGTGTAACGGGGGAAGACAAGAGACTTGTTAATGGACTTTTTTATGAAGGATAAAAACACAGAATTTCAATTAAAGTCAGCGGATAATAAACTGTTCTGTTTGGTTGTTGATTTTCTGTAGGTTAAACCTTCAGATTATTTCCTAACCACAACGTAAGCTAAAAACGGATGTGTAACAACAGTCACTGATTTAAAATGTCGTTTCTAATTTCGTCTCCTTTCTACCGATCACGTCCATATACTACTGATAAATTTTGTCACTCGCACACGCCACACCAGCAGGCATAGACTTTAAACAATAGTGAAAGTGGAGAAACAAGAAGTCGTAAAAATAATCAAACTAAAAACAAACGCTTAACATATAAAAATAAAATAAAAAAGGGTTAAGTTTCCGAAACTGTGACAGGAGAAGTGGCGTTTAACGATGGTGAACACACGAATATAGTTTCTCGTTGATTGTTGTTTCATGATTTCTCTAAGAGCTGACATTTTGGACGACCTCTCCCCGAGCTTTTGACCTCAGATCTGATCTACATGATAACCTAAACAATACCAGGAGCTGCATTCCTATGGTTGCTGACAACGAAAACGAATTCTTAAGCCTCTCGTTCCCTTCAGATTCTGGAGCGAATATGCATCTTGTTTTGGAGCCAGGGTCTCTTTAGATGGTTTTTCATGTTCACCATGACTGGCTTTCATCCCATGAAGCTTATTAGATGACTCAAGATGTTATGAGATATGATCGAGAACCTTAATTGGTGTCGAACCTGTTGCGATTTCCTCCCTTTTCCCTCTCTGAAAGTAGTATGAAGCACTGAACCATCCTTTGAATGCTTTTACATAAGCATGCATACTTGCTTTCTATATGTCGGCCCTAGTTGACTTCATTCCTATTTGTATTTTATTGTTTTATAAAAGAATGCACTTTCACTGCAACTGTCAGAGCAAAGCAGGAAACACGAAGTGACATCACGGAAGAATCATGCGTGGAAGACCACTCGAACTCTCTCTGAAGGTGATTTTTAACGAAACGTGTTCAACGGTTCTAGGAAGGAAGTAGAGACAAGACAAGGATTGGCTATCAACGGACACTTGGAATCTAATAGAAAAGAGGAAAATGGTTAAAGAGAAAAGGATTCAATGCAAGGACGGACAAGAGAAAGAGACGCTGAGCTCAGCTCATCGTACACAGCACTGGACAAAGAAGTGAAGAAAAGTGCTAGGAAGGACAAAAGACAATTCTACGACAACCTGGCCACTGAAGCTGAGAAGGCAGCAGGCAAATACGACCTGAGGACACTATATCCAATAACCAAGTCTCTATCCGGGAAGAGATCAACACAAGCGAAACCTATAAAAGACAGCCAAGGGAACCTAATTACCAAGGAAGAAAAACAGATTAGACAATGGGCGGATCACTTCAAAGGACTCTTGAACTGACCATCACCTGCAACCCGTCCAGAAATACCAACAACAGCGCGCACACAACTGCAAGTTGGCACCAGTCCTCCAACCAAAACTGAAGTCTTGAATGCAATCAAGCTTCTGAAAGCTGGAAAAGCAGCTGGGCCAGATGGATACCCCCTAAAGCACTAAAAGCGGACCCAGAGACTATAGCAAATATGCTGACTCCATTATTGCAAAAGGTCTGGAAGGAGGGAAAGGTGCCTACTGACTGGAGGAAAGGTTACCTCGTGAAACTACCAAAGATGAGCGACTTGCGCCTCACTCTGAAAGAACTGGCGAGAAATCATGCTCCTATCGACGCCAAGTAAAATCCTGAGTCGCATCATCCTGGAGAGAATAAAGGACGCACTGGATACACAACTCCGACCAGAACAAGCTGGATTTAGGAAAGGCAAATCATGTACTGACCAAATTGCAACTCTACGCATCATCATCACAGAACAAAGCATGGAATGGCCATCAATTAAACCTCTACCCCAACTTTATAGACTTTGAGAAGGCCTTCGACAGCGTTGACCGCTAAGTAATTTGGAAACTACTCGAGTACTACGGCGTACGGTGCCCGAATATTCATCAACCTTATTCAACAGCTGTACGACAACATCACATGTCAAGTGACCCACAACAGAAAACTCAGCGAGGCGTTTGGAGTAAACACAGGAGTCAGACAAGGGTGCTTGCTTACTATCACCCGCCAATGATATTCCTAATTGTGGCTGACTGACTGGATTACGCGTCAGACAGTGGAAAACGAGAAGACAGGAAGGAATATCCTGGACCGACGCGAAGAACCTAGAAGACCTGGATTTCGCGCGGCGATGATTTATGTTTGATGTCACACAAAATCGAAGACTTACAAGCGAAAACTGACAAACTGGTCGAAGAAGCAGCCGGCGAAGACAGGACTCCATGTGAACATAGACAAGACGGAGGTCATGAAAATAACCAACCAACAACAACAACAGCAGCAACATCCAGCGTCAATCACCATCAACGGGAGGGACTTGAAAGAGGTTACTTCATTCACTTCACTTATCTAGGGAGGGAGCATTATCTCAACTACAGGAAGTCGGAACGGACAAGGATGTCAAATCGAGAATCGAATCGGGAAGGCGAGAAACACATTCATCAACCTGAAACTAATCTGGAAATCTTCGTCACTCAGCATCAACAAAATTCGGTCGGATTTTCAATACAAACGTCAAGTCAGTCAGTTCTCCTATACGGATCAGAAACTTGGCGGGCGGGTCACAAAGAATATTTTCAACAGCCTGTTGCAGACCTTCACCAACAACTGTCTTCGCTGGCTCTATACTAAAGATCAGACGGCCGGGTCGGAAAGAATCACCAACCAGAAACTATGGGAACAAGCAAAACAAGAACCAATCGCCCAACAAATATGCAGGAGAAAGCGGAGATGGATTGGACACTCATTGGGGAGGCGGCTGGGTGATATTGCGCGAGCGTCGGGCCATTGCTCGAATTGAACCCGAAAGGGAAGCGGAGAGTGGGACGTCAGTGCAAGGGTGATATGGAGGAGATCGTGTGAAGATGAGTTGAAACATTATTGACTAACATGCATGGATGCAGGTGAAAAGTACAGCAGAAGGAAGACAGAAGCAAGTGGGGACGTGCAGTTGAAGTCCTATGTTCCACTAGGAACCCAAGGGAACAATAATAATAAAAGAATGCGTTCAGCGAAGAGTAAATTTTTTCAGCGATGTTATTCTCAAGATGTATAATCGCATGCATATATATACATATATATATATATATATATATATATATATATATATATAATTCCGTTAATGGGTTAAAAACTAAACTACGATTAAATAAGCAAGTTGACTGACGTAATCTAATTGGCGGGGTGAAGTAGAGCTCAACCAAAATTAAAACTGAACAAAAGTCAAGTTAACAACAGCGGTAATGAGGAGGAAACTAATACAGTTAAGAAATAAACCAGCAAGAAAAAGATGAAACAGAAGTTACGTATTTGGTGTTAAGATAGATCAGGTTCACTTTAGATTCATTGACTGGACGAATTTCTTTAAGTATGCAGAGTTTAGGTTTTAACATGTGATTTGCCATTGCTTCTGTAGTTTTAAGAAGTTCGATTCGTACTCTTTTAGAAAGATTTCCACGCATTCTATAGGTAACTTTAAAGTTACTTTGTGAGTTTGCTTGGTGCTTGGACTCGATCAGATATTCCAGTATAGAGCTTCAGGGGGACCTTTTTGCTTCTTTATAAAAGTGTGGCTGTAGATAAGTGTTCGATGATACGTTTAGATAGCAAACGCTGGGTTCGGCCGACACATGAGGAGGTGAATTGGTCGATGTTTTTTAAAATTATTTTTCTATGGTATGGTGTGTTTTTGTGGTGATATTATTACGCAGTTTGTGTTGAAACGAAATTTGTTTTATTCATACCAAAATACAATGCCTATTCATAAATTTCTTTTATTTAAAGCATTAACAACTTGGTGCAATTTGAGCTGATCATCAAGAACTGGACGTTTAACTATGTTGTTGATTGACTGAATACGATATATGCCAAAATTAAAAAAATTATCTGACACAAATCACTTTATATATATATATATATATATATATATATATAAAGCGAATCTTCGTGTTTAAATGCGCGTACCTTTTACACTGTAAATTTGGTTTTGATCTGTGGTTTTCCTAATTGAATGATCTGTCACATCAGTTACCTTTACAGCGATTCATTACAAGAGGTTACGCAATATCTAATACGTTATGACACTTCTGATCGAATTTAATTCATTAAGCAGAGAATCACTGTTTCAGAGGATCTGACATTCAAAGTAGAGGTTAGGTAAAACAAACCTCAAATTGTATCTTTGAAGATGAGTTACTTTTTTTATTAAGCTAACTGTAGACTATTCAGACGAAGTGTATTGACCAACAGGTATTTTTCTAGATGCTAAACAATCATATCAGAACTACGTTACATCATTTTGCTGGATATCCCTATAGTCTTCCCCACCTTCCTAAATGCACTTGTCTCAGATGGTTGTTCCCTGTCTCTCCCTCTCTATATCTCTTTAGTTTTTCAACACAAGGTTATATAAAGCCTGTTAACCACATTTCAGATCATAGCTATGATTGTTGTATTAACTGACTTCCATGACTGAAGTAGCGTTAGCATCTGTGGCACAATACCTGAAAGTCAAATGTTCGTGGTCAGTGACTCACAACTTCATTGAAAAAGACACCTTTATTTACAACTGTTTATCATCTTATTTGCATTAATGGAGTATACAGATTGATAATTTGATAATTCCATTTTGTGCGCATACATGAAATCTTTAGGTTTTCCAGTCAAAGCGCTTACGCATTGGCTATTTTATTCACGATGGTTCATTCACTCCGGTTCCTGCCGCACAACGTGCTGTGCTATATGTGAAGAGTAAGCTTGAATCACTTGGGCATACGGTAAGTTGAAGTTTCAGTTGAAAGTAATTGTAGGTAATCATAGGTACAATTCCTTCTTATCTTATTTATTAGACATCTTGTCAAATTGGTTTTTTAAGCCGAATGGATACAAAACTGAAGAAATGTGTGTGTGTGTGTGTGTGTGTTGTCTCGCATACGCAGTGTTTCCATAAACATCAGTCTTGAGTGAACCATATGCTCTTCTGCTCAGCTGCGCATTCAGAAAGTGTAATTCTCCATCATGTTGTTCCTTTCAATTGAAAATGGCTGATGGATGTACATGTCACCAACAGCAGCCAAAGCTTTCATGCAGTGGGAACCAATCTCCTCCAAGATAATGACAGCCAGGTTCAACTCAAAAGGAAGGAAGCTTACAATCATTCAATGTTATGCGCCCACAAACGTCTCAGAACAAGAGAAGAAGGAGGCGTTCTACAGACAACTACAAACAGTAATGGACAACGTCCCAAATGGCGATATCAAAATCCTGATGGGCGACATGAATGCGAAGCTGGGACGAGACAACACAGGAAGAGAACTCGTCATGGGTCGTGAGGCCCTCGGTGAAATGAACGACAATGGCGAACTCTTCTCAGACTTCTGCGCCTTCAATGATTTGGTGATTGGTGGCAGTGTGTTCAGACACAAGGATATACACAAGGCGAGATGGATTTCACCAGATGGACACACTAAAAACCAGATAGACTTCATTTCAATCTCAAAGAAGTGGAGACGGAGCCTGCTGGACACAAGATCGAGGAGAGGAGCAGATGCGGGTTCAGACCACTGTCTAGTACAAGCGACTTTCAAGGTGAAGCTAAATGCCTCGAGGATAGCTGGGGATAGGCCACAATGCAAGTTCAACACTCAAAAACTGAAGGACACAACCACAAAGGACACTTTCACTGCAACTGTCAGAGCAAAGCAGGAAACACGAAGTGACATCACGGAAGAATCATGCGTGGAAGACCACTCGAACTCTCTGAAGGTGATTTTTAACGAAACATGTTCAACGGTTCTAGGAAGGAAGAAGAGACAAGACAAGGATTGGCTATCAACGGACACTTGGAATCTAATAGAGAAGAGGAGAATGGTTAAAGAGAAAATGATTCAATGCAAAGACGGACAGGTGAAGGAGACACTGAGCTCAGCTCAACGTACACAGCACTGGACAAGGAAGTGAAGAAAAGTTTTAGGAAGGATAAAAGACAATTCTACGACAACCTGGCCACTGAAGCTGAGAAGGCAGCAGGCAAAAGGATGTACATCATTGCATTTCATCAGCATCTCCTTCTTGCTTGCTTTTTTTGCCGAAATTGGGCTTATTGGATAACCTTTTGAAATACTGTCGATCTATCCGTAACAGATATTGTTAAACGTATCATGTCCACCAACTGTACACCTTAGACATTTATAAAGTTATATTTGTAAAATCTCAGCGAAATTGAAATGATTAATTCCAACGTTTTAAATGTCTTCTTCTCACTCAGCGCTCAGTTATTTTGCAACTATCTGTACACCTTAGAATTAGCTGCCTGAGAATCACCAACTGAAATCCCAATATCAACCTACTTTTCCAGTAGTTGGTGGCGCATACCAATACCGCCATTTCCATCGGCGATGAAACATCTAAGGATAACATCTGATTCCGATTTACATCAAGATCCTATGAATTATAAACTAATTCATTGACGTTTTTCACACTGTCATTTACATGTTGTGTGTGCATCGATTTTAAGAATCCAGCTAACCGATTTGTAATTTCCTGGTTGATGGAATTAGACATGTGTAGAACTAGGCAAGAAGAGAGTTTTGGCTTATGTACCTTAGGTAGACCATACAATCTTGATGTATGTTGTGTGTGTAGACAGTCTCTGAGATTGCTCCTTTTTCTTCAGTTCACTACGCACTTTTATCCACTGCTTTTCCTCTATATTTGTCCAAACCAAGTTCACTTTTAACAATTTTGAAAAATTTGGACATGGGGTGTATTATATTCATGATAATAAAGGTTTTTGTATTTCCCAATTAATGAAAAATAAAACGCTAATAGCTTTTTTTAAGTATTTATAAAACTGAATTTACAAAATCTCAGCTTATATATATATATATATATATATATATATATATATATATATATATATATATATATAACAACCTGATCATCGTTCTCCAGCATGGGGTAATTCTTCTTGCGTTATCAAGTTGGCCAATCAGTAAAGATAACAAAACCAGGTGTAGATTGTTGGATTTGATAAGTGGGCATAAAATTATGGAAGCAGCGTGTGTTTACATAATGAAACTGCTTATCACATTCGGGTTGATTTTATCATTTCATCGGAGGGGGGGGGGTAGGATGCGTGGCTATAACCAGGTCAAATTCTGTTTTAGTCAATCATTCCTATTCAGTTCAGACAATATGCATTCTCTTTGATATGAAGTGTTTCTGATATTAGACGTTCTTTGCGATTTCTGAAATTTATCTGCATTATTTCAATAATGTCAAAACCAAGTTTGTGACCCGATTATAATAGCGTGGCTGATGATTTTTCAGGTTTTCTAGTTCGACTGGACTTATTTCTAGGTGGTCGAACAGATGCCCTACGGTGTTGATTTCTCACGATGTTTGTCCGATGTATACCGTATCACATTCCAAATATTTTATGTTTTTAGGCACAATCAGATAGAGAATCCTTTTTTTTATTTGGTCTTTTACATGAACAAGGTTCTCCACTATTGAAATGCTGAGCCTTTAGAATTTCACTTCGTCATTTAGAAGCAAATTCATTTTGTCCGCACACTTGCATTTATCCATATAATAATGCTATCTTCACACCTTAATTTGGCTTACTAATTATAATGCTTTCATACTTTCTTAACCTAACCAGCCGAAATTTCTCTACTCGAAAGGCATTCATTATGTTATTAAATTTATACACCAAGTTCTATTAAATTTACACAGACTTGAGCAACAGAAGCATTTCATATGGGGAAAAATTGATAGCTTAGTTGATAATATCTTAGCAGTTTGACATTCATAAGAATAAATAGAAAACATAGCATTATACCCTGTCACACAAATATCACGTTGCATGGAGGATTTAATCATGAGCTGACATCAGTTAGAGAACCACTGGAAAACCTGGGAGTACTGGACAGCTGTTTCGTCCTAGTTTGGGACTCTTCAGCAGTACACACCCACCGGGATTCGAACCCAGGACCTTCTGGTTACAAGACGAGCTCGTAGACCATTGAGCCACTGAGACTCGATCCAATGGTCCTTGAATTCTAACTTCTGCCAATTCACGATAACCAATCAACCGCAACAATAACGACCAGCACTAATCCATATCAACGGGAGAGATTTGTCAGAGGTTGTTTCATTTATCGAGGAAGCATCATTCCAATTACAGGTAGTCGGAACAAATGAAGATGTCAAAGCCAGTCAGCCAGCCAGAATCGGAAAGGCAAAATACCGCCTTCATCAACCTGAAACCAGTTTGGAAATCTTCTGTCCTCAACATAAAGAAGGAAATTCGAATTTTCAACACAAAAAGTGAACTCAATCACTACTTCTAAACGAATCAGAAACTTTCACTGCGTGTCACGAAAAGCATTTCATCAAACAGGTTACACAATTTCATCAACAGCTCTGCCTTCTCTCCATATTGAAAATCAAATGGCCGACCGGTAGAAATCAGCAACAAGAAACTCTAGCTAGATACAAACCAACCAAGAACTTATCGTTCGACGAATATGTAGGAGAAAAATAGAAATGGGCTGAGCATACGCCTAGAAGACTGTCGAATGACATCGCTCAAGTGGAATTCGAACGAGAGACGATGTTTGAGTCGTCGGTGCGAGGGTGACATGGAGGAGACCGTGTGAGGAAGAGTTTAAAGGTAATGGGTAGTCGTGGGCCCGGAGGATGTGGACAGTAGGGAATAGAAATTAGGGGATATGTATTGTTGAAACTCTATGTTCCATTCGGAACCCAAGGAAGCAATAATAATAATGGTTTCTTACACTCCTCAGTTAGGCTATCATAACATAGGCGTTCAGCTGAGTGTAAAATGAGAGCAAAACTCAGCAGTCAAAATGGATGCACACATACAATCAAACATAAGGTGGGAAAGAAACTATATTTCTTAAAAGGTAATGTAGTTGAATAGACGGAGAGGTCGATTTCGGAATCCCTTCTTCATTGAGTCCAAGCTAAATTATTTGCAAACGACACAACACCAATACCAGAGACATAACAAACATTATTATCAATGAAACCAAAGCTTATGAAAAAGTGGAACAATGTAAACGGAGTGTGAAGCTTATGTGCGCAATCGTGAGATGATTATGAGCAGTTGTTAATTGTGCTCGATACCTACCTCATTAGCTGCAAGTAAATAAAACTGAAGCACTGTGTTTTATGAAATAAAATTTTTCTATTATTATGTACTTATAGTCTACCTCAGTGCCGAAATTCTAGCCTTATATTAAAACGTTTTGAGCTCTCTGTTCACCTGTATGCTGTAGATGGTAAACTGTGAACATTGTTATCACATGTATCTGGTGGTTTTGTTCTCTCGTCTAATTTGATTTTATTTTAAAACAAAGCTTTCAATGTCATTAAAAGTACTACCTTCAATTCTTTTAATCTAGTCTGACAAGCCTACAGTGGCAACTAAACACAGTCAAAAAAGATGTGTAAAACAAAAACTGAATAAAGCAAAAAATATTTATAATATTGATAAGAATATGAATCTAAAACCAAAGCAACCCAAGTTACCAACAGTTCCAAAAACGCCTTATTCTTACAAACGCAGTTCCTTGGGAACAACACCAGCGAAATCTTTCTGTCTGTCTGTTTTCGACATAGAACTTTGCACAAATGTGCGGAAGTTCAAGTCGCCACATTCCGTGTAGCACACGAAGCAAGAGAAAGTACAAGAAAAACATAATAGAAACAGTGAGCAGAGGTGTGAGACAAAGGAGTAATAAAGAAATACAAAACAGTTTCATTGAAGATCATAAGTCACAAGGAGTGGATGCATCTGCACCACTGAGAACGGTTTTGAGCCATGTCACCAATTGTTTCCAACCATAGATTTTTACCGTCCCGAGGACCCCAGCCTGGAAGTCTACACCTTCCTACGTGGCTTAGACCAACTGTTGTGGATTTCATTGACTGATGCCAAGTTTTTGTTTGACCGCCGCTAGCTTTTTTCCAGTCTGACCCTATATCCGCTAACATAGCTCGTCGAGGGAGGCGATGACTTGGCATACGTTACACATGTCCTAACCATCTCAGTCTTTGTATCCTCACGACTTCGTCGATTGATTTCCCCTGTTTACCTAGAACTCTACGCCCAACCTCCATGTTGCTCACCTTATTATGCCACTTTACACGGGAAATAGAACGCAGGCACCTATGATCAAAGACAGCTAGTCTTTTCATGTCTTCCACTCTCAGTGGCCAGGTCTCACAACCATAAAGGAGGACGGAGCGGACTACTGAGCAGTACACCCGCCCTTTGGTCGATAGTCGAACATCTCGTCTACGCCAGAGTCGGCGTAAACTAACAAATGCGAAACGAACCCCTTGTATTCGTGCTGAGATTTCGTCAGAGATCAGCCCGTTGGGGCTGATGGTACTTCCCAAATAAGTGAAGCGGTCAACGTGCTCTACCACTTCACTTCCTATTTTTAAACTAGGCGTCAATGTAGTCCAGTCCTGTAACATCATCTTGCATTTGGCGGGAGCGAATCGCATGCCAAACATTCGTAGATTGCGGCTCAAGGTGTTTAGAAGACTCTGCATTTCGTCAGCGTCTTCACCTAGAAGGACTATATCGTCTGCATATTCCAAGTCAACGAGATTATTCCCCGGTAGCAAGTCAATCCCTGAGTCGCTGAAGTCACCTAGAGTTAAGTCCATTAACACATCTATGATGAAGTTGAATAGAAAAGGAGATAATGGGCATTCTTGACGGACACCACTGGTCGTCATCAGTTCAGATGACAGCTCGCCGTAAGCCCTCACCTGGCTGTATGAGTACGAGTAGAGTGCCTTAATCAGTGCAATATATTTTCTTGGAATTCCCTTTACAGCCAAGCATCTCCAGAGAACTTCCCGATCCACAGAGTCGAATGCTGCCTTTAGGTCAAGAAATATAATGACTGTTGGACGCCGGTAGGAATTCCTATGTTCTAGAATCTGTCGGAGGGTGAAGATATGATCAATACACCCTCTTCCTGGTCTAAAGCCTGCCTGGCTCTCGCGAAATACTAACACAGCGCCTTAGAAATGCGGTAAAAAGACCATCCCCTGCTGCCGAATCACGCTGTATCTTTAAAACCACTCCTCGTTTTCGTTCGGGAGTAAAAGACAAACTGCCTAATTTCGCCTCTTCCATGTGTATCTACCACTTTAACTACTCCTGTGGAGCCAGTTACATAAGCCGTACAATTAGGCGTGTTTCTCGTCGAATTTCCGAACATCACCCTGCGTGGTTAGGCAAAGGACAAACAAAATCTATTCGTAGCGCTATTCTGTCTCATCTTCTGGATACAGAACACTAGGTTGACGTTAACCATGCTTTCAGGGTCATTTACCGCATACCTACGAATCTCTATTTTGCTCTAAGAGTTTGACTACTAAATATTGCTGAGGCTGTGGGGATCCATATTAACAAGCCTAATTTATGCATTCAAAAGAAGTTAGTTCAAACATTATCATTAACTTGACCGTCTATGTTTGAGTGATCATGAATTTTTGTGGAATTGCTCGATTATGTTGTGTTTTATAAAGACTGAATATTCTATTTTCTCTCTCTCTCTCTCCCTCTATTTTCCAGCTCATACCTTGGGAGATCCCATATTCAGGCAGGGAATGGCTTTGTCTCTTCCTCACCTGCATGACTGCTGATGGTGGCTTACCTTTAGCGAATAATTTAAAATATGATATTATTGAACCGAGTTTGAAAAGATCACTCAGTGTATTTCATACCTCTTGGCTAAAAAGATCACTTATGTCAGCATATTGTAATACTGTAAGTGCACGTTATTACTGTCGTTATTGATGTTTTAATTTTATACAATCATTAACTTTAATATTATCATGTCAAAGTTACAAAACTAGAGACAGACATTTTAGCCGAGTTTAGTCACATTATTACTAGTGGTTTCTTTCTATTTCCAACATCTTTTTGTGTTGTTTTTAGCTTTTCTCTGAGAAATTATACTTTATTTTTATTTTTTTTATTTTTTTATTTATTTAAAATAAAAAAATAAAATAAAATTAATCTGACCCTTGTAAACCAACAGGTGAGAAAAGGTGGGATGTTGTTTCACGAAAGGAGGTGATATTTACCAATCGTGGCTTAGGTGAACAATACTGATTTAAGTAAAGGACTAACTAAGTGACGCAGAAACAATACATCATATTTCTCTCTATATTGGTTAATACGGTGAAATCATCTGTTAATTCTATTCACAATCAAAGTTATTTATCCCATCCAAATGTCCTTTCTCTATGCACTGATTGGTCACCAAGGTATAACCACTGTCATATTGTAACAACAGAAGACAAAAGCTGGCAACAGATCGTTTTATTACGGAAATCAACACGTATTTATATAAATTTCACATACATTATTATAGCCTAGTCAAGTAGACAAACGCAGTCTTCTGATTGGTTGTTTTCGAGTTCTTCGGAAAGTGGAGCCATCTATCTGCGAATCATATTTGCCCACGTTTAAGTTTGCTGTGATTGGGTGTTGAAACAGCCTTGTTCATATTTTCTCACGGCCCATATTAGTGACCTAGACATTGACGTAGATTAATGTCAACCAATTGGCTAGCAGGCTGCTCTCACCACAATATATGTATAGGTCTTAGTGTTGATGGTGATTGGATTATTATATATCACATTAGGTGACTCCGTGCGCCATTGACTTCTCGGTAGAATGTTCACCAACCACGCCTCACTTGGTCCGTGGTTTGATCCCCGGCCGACGCACTTCTTTATCTCTTAGAGCCAGTAGTAAGACTGGTAAAGAGGTAAGGCTGTGGATGAGGCTAGCAACCCCACCCCGTGAAAATAAACACCACTGCTACCGAAACTTCAAAACTCTAGCCCGAAGCCCTGTGTTCCACTTAGTAAGTATAGGAAAAAAAACTAGGTGACTCACTATCGCCGTGCACTATGAATGAATTTTAGATGGTTGCAGACAATCTATCAGGTAACCTGGATCTAGATATGGTGCTTGTACGCATAGCTATTAGATTGTAAAGGGTAAGTTATTTTCCATTGTAGGCACTGAAAGTTTGCAGCATCTTCCTAAAGCACTAGTTTTCTATGCATTCGAATTAGCAATATATTGTAGGAAGTAAACAGTTCGAAATGTCTCTTCTCATGTGCGTTAACTCTGTCAGAAGGCACTAGTATATATTTCCATACTAATTTCTACTTTTCCTATGCGGTTTCAATTTGCAGCGAAACTGACTGACTATCTCAGAGTCATTCAATTGGTTTTTCACTCGTGCCAGTATTCCCTATTCTCAACTCTTAAGTATCATGTAGATGCTAAATATCCTTCTTATTCTGTTCTTCATATCCGACGATTAGGCTTAGATGGAGAGTCTTTCAGGTAATTGGTGAGTCTGTCCTCAGAAGCTGTACTTGGACACATCGGTATCGTAGTGCCACCTGGTGTTCCGCCTCTGCCATTCAAATCTGGACTCAAACAGATCAAAGTGGTATGAGTTGTCGGCCATATTAATGCATGCAGGACTGCTGCTCCTTCTGGAGCAATTTTCTGGATTCCCATAATGCTTAAGTATGTGCCAGGTGCATCTTGCCATTCGATAGTGATCATAAACACCATCTTAAACAAGCTACTACGAATAAATATTCAGTTGAGCTGCGCTTAAGGCTAGCCATGACTTAGAAGCAAATCGTGGTTTCTGTGAGTTTCTTGCAGTTTCTTGACATCCGTTGACTCACTTACTCATATAATGAATAATAATAAAATGACATAAAACTTTTAGGCATATGATCAAACAGTGCATAAGTAAGAACTGCTAAATCTAATGATCATAAGGTGCTTGTGATACGAGATTAGCAGCTGCATTTGTTAACAGTCAGAAGCTATTCCAGCTTATCCAAGTTAGGAGCAAATAAAAGTATGGTATCAACAAGATTACATATGAAGCAAACGGAACGCCAACTGTGAATCTACAGAGAATGTTGGATGCTGATCCGAAAATTCTGAAGACAAGTTTTTATGCCTCATAGAGTTAATGTTCAATATTCTCAGTTATATCCTTCCGTAGTCGCCTAACACCGGTACGTTTAACGAAGCCGAGTTCTAAAATGGACTCCAAGTGCTCCAATAGCATAAAGTATTGAGCCCTGAAAACACAATTCCAGCTTTTTTGAATATGATGGTCAGTCTCAAGAAAGTAACTTGACTTGATTTTTAGGAATGTATGAGTGTCCCACCAACACGGTAGGCAACGATTACTGAATATATCTTTAAGAAAGGGTTTATGTAGATCATCTGAGGATTACTGAAGTATTAATCTATCACCAGTTGCGTCAAAAATACTGCTTGCTTCTGCGCTTTGTGAAGCGCATGGAAAATTCATTCTCGAAGAGCAGGCTAGGATTCTTCCAGCATGTGGCTGCATATACCACGATTCTACCCTTTGTCGATTGCTTTCCCTGATATTAAGATTCCCTTTTATTCCTTGGATAGAACTGCTCTTAGTAATTTTCTTTTTGATGCACATTTTCCTGAGAAGTTCATCAACATTCTCAAAGGTGTTTATAAAATGATACCTCAGGTAGAGTGAGCGTTTATAACCACCTATAATTATTCTTCTTAACCACGGGTAGGATTAAATAAATTCACCCATTTTCACCATTCGCCATAAGCTTTACTACTGATGACATTCTGAATACAGCTCGGAAAGTTGTGTCTGGTGTCTGGCATGGATCTGCTGTCTGAAGAAAGACTTTTCTCCCTTGAATGTTCAGGCTACATAGTTTTACTATTCAATAAAATAACATGCTAACCAAATAGCACCTAGTCAGGTTGGTAATTAGTTTCTTTAAGTACGGAATTATGGCATCAGGACTGGGGAACAAGACAAATTCCCTTATACTCTGAAATCAATGTGGAGATCCACAATAGTCAACACAAGGAACAAGATGTTAAACAGAAATGGGGAAAGTGGACATCCCTGTCGGACACCACTGGTTGTTATCAATTCAGATGACAATTCCCCATAAGCCCTTACATGACTATATGAGTTTGAATAGAGTGCCTTGATTAGTGCAATGTACTTTCTTGGCACTCCCTTCACAGTCAAACATTGTATTAGTACCTTTCGATCCATGGAGTCAAAGGTCGCCTTCAAGTCAAGAAATATGGCAATTGTTGAACGCCGAAAAGTGTGTCTATGTTCTAGAATCTGTCGGAGAGTGAAGATGTGATCTATGCACCCTCTACCTGGTCTAAAGCCTGCTTGATTTTCCCTCGTTTGTTCCCACCAAGTTCTGCTTAGTCTGTGCATGATTACTGAGCCTAGGATTTTAGAAACTATGTTCGTTAGGCTGATCCCCCTATGATTATCACACGAGGACTTGTTTCCCTTCTTGAATATCGGTATAATAAGTGACTTACCCCAGTCTGATGGAACCGTCTCTGATTCTCAGACGTTGCCTAGTACCTTAGTTAATCTACAAACTAGAATGTCACCCCCATATTTAAACACCTCCGGAATAATTCCGTCGGGTTCTGCCGCTTTGCCTCGTTTCAAATTAAAGATAGCTTTTGTGGCCTCACTTACAGACGGCGGACCAGTGTCTCTATCCCATTCGGGTGTGTGCTGGATGGCGGGGAGGTTCAGTGTGGCTGTAGGCAAGTTAAATTGTTCCTCAAAGTGTTCTTTCCAGCGTTCAAGGCGTCTATCCTGAGAGCTAATTTAAGAGCCATTTTTCTAAGAAATAGTTTCACTTATGAATTGCCTTCTCCCACCCATTTACCTGATGGGTCTAAAGAGTTGCCTAGTGTTGCAGGAAAGGAGTGCAAGTAACACGGGACTCTACAGAGTGAGGGGGCATTGCACCAGCCAACGACCTTTGGCTAGATTTCTGTTCGTTGAGAAGAAATACTCTAAAATCAGTCAATTACTACTCCCTCCATATTTAATCACTTCGTAATTACTAAAATACCTGAATTTACTGTGAGGGTAGTTTGATGTATAATATAATTTTCTTTCTTCTGCTTTGTCCTTTTAGATTGGAAACCCTGAGGACACTTATTTCATAAATGCTTGTTCAACAGTCTACAATATACCAACATTAACCGATCACTTGGAAAAGTTAAAAGAATTTAGACAAAGAATTTATTCCTCCTGGTATAATGCTAAACTAGATGCAGTTATCTGTCCTGCATTTGGAATGGCCGCTCCAGTACCAATAAACACAAAATCCAGTTTCACAGGAATGCTATCCTATTTAAACTTATTCAACTTGGTTTCTATGCCTGCTGGTTGTATGCCATCTGGCATTCAAGTTAGTGATGATGATTTAGAGCCGCTTAGAATGTCCAAGTTGAACAAAAAAACAACACCAAGCTTCTCACCTTATCCATCAGATACAACATGGCATCGTACAGTTGTCGACGTAAGATATATATATATATATATATATATATATATATATATATATGTTGGTATCTAATTTAGCGATCTTACCTACAACTGGTAACTCATCGTTGAAATTGTCGGTTAAGATAAGTCCACTAAACTATAAGTATTTCACCAACATTACTTCTGCTGTGGTATGTACTACTCATACCCACTTCAACTTGCTACGTTAGTATGTTTGTGTCTCAGTTCCTGTCCAGATACCAAGAGTGAATTAGCTTATGGGGACTACTTAAGATTCCCACAAATTAATTCTAATGTCATATACCCAGTACTTCCATTAGTTTTTGAAGCCAGTAATAGCAAGGCAAAAGTGGTTGTTTAAACCAAATTTTTAAAGGTTATCATTGTTTCTAAGTAGATGAACTACTTTCTTTTTGATTAGTTTGATAGTTTTCCCTCCAAACGTATTCTATGTTTGTGTTTGAACTGCGGTTTGTAGGGGAAAGAATTACAAACAGGCATCGATGATTACAATGACCCTCCTTCACTGCTAACCATCTACTTAGATTTGTATATCTCGTAGGTGAACTTCAACTATGATCCAGTCGAATAGTTAGCTATCTTGCTGTAGAGAGCCTTATTCATGTCTGTATAATAAACCAGTCTTGTCTCCCAATAGTCTCAAGATAAACTTTGTGCCTTCGCTACACATTGGTCAGACGATGTTGAGCAAACAATCACAGTTGATTTCTGCATATGCATTTCAAATACATATAGCAAGTCTGTGTGATGCCTCTTCTATGATTTGACACACATTTTACACATAAGATTCATTTAATATTATTTTTTTAAAGAATACGAGTGGTACTGAGAAAGAGTGGTTGCACAACTAAAAGAAAAAACTAGAAGGGACTTTGGCACCCTTTTTGCTTACTGATACCATGCCATATAAAGTGAAGAAAAGGGAACATACAAATAAAGGTAGATAAGCTCAGTGTGCTCTGTTTTAATGGCAGAAGTTTTACTTGACCTTAGAGGATGTGTTACAGTCTATAGATATTTGGTTTCTCTGAGATTACTAGATTTTCCAGTTATTCCTCTTGAATGCACTTATTTAACGTGGCCCAGCGAATAGTCAGTCAGTAGACTGAATCATATTTCATCGTGCAAAACAAGAAACACATTTTTGGTTTGATACTAATGAGGAGTGATGCGTGCTTAACTAACTAACTACAGATCGTGCATCAACATAAAACGATGCCGAATGGCGTCAGTGCCTCACTACCTGCCTTCAGCTCAACCGGTCGACTTAAACAGTGAATGTCAGCTTCCAAGTTTGAATGCTGACAAAACTGTAGGCTGATAACTATTTACCGCTACACCCCCTTACCCTTAATAATAAATCTCAGACGACAGGGACATGGTGGGTATGTCGAGATTTTTAGTTCTTAAGGTTAATGTTCCCCTAAACGCTTTTCCTGAGTGTGTGAATACGACACAGGTGGAATAATGACTATTCGAAACAAAGAAACTCTGCTATCACACTTATGTCCACCCAACAACACAATTCGTTATCAGACGCTTAGCCACATCATGAGTTGCCTGCGCCATGATAGTGACTGCTTTAAACCATACAACTATCCAGCCGGTGTTTATAGAACTACAGGACTCCACGTAACTAATATTCCCGTCAGCATAGTCTGTCAAATCACTTTAGTATGTAATCCTAAACACCGCATCAGAGTAGAAGGTGTCAGTTGTTGTGCACTGCGTTCCAGTAGTAGCGATGCTGCCAATATCTTTCTTGACAGATATATATAGGAATGCCTACCGGTATTAGTTACAGCCATGAAGGCAAATTTGTGATGGTCATCATCCGTAGTCTCAACTTGGCCATCAATAAACTTGGTTTTATCATATTGACTTTGTTTTCATATCCTGCTAATCTATCGTTTATATAGGATACCATCAAAATTTCTTCAGTAGTATATTCATAACGACCAACTTCATCGAATACAGTTCATAGTTCTCTGGACAGTAACTTTTACACCCTAACCAGCGTGATATATACATAAATGACTTCATTTCTTTTTACAGCTTCAAATTGATTCATTTGGATTCCCAGTCAGCGTCCAGGTGGCATCAGCTCCATGGCGTGATGAAATGTGCCTACATGTAATGTCGGAAATTGAAAGATCAATGAATGCATAAACAACAGAATGAAATGTTTCATTTTGATGTACTAGTAACTTTTTTCTACTAAATGTAATAATGTTCATTTTATAGCTTGAATGTGTTATTTTCCGACCAATAGATTGCTACATTTTATCTCTAAAAAAGTATGATTTCTTTTCAGATTGTACTAAGTATTGTGCTGACTTACCACCTCTTGTATCTGACAACTGTAGTTAAACACCCAACTCTTCACTTTCCATTCATGTTCGACTAAACAGTCTGGCATTTCATATCATTCGACGATTTCCTCAGCGTATTTCCAATCCATTACTTTTTCCTTGCGGAATAGGTCACTGGCTGGTTAAGCTACCTGTCAGAGTTCCTAGGTGCTAGCATATCCCATCCTACCATCCATCTGATCTTCAGTATCTATCGAGGCGGTAATGAATAGGGCAGGTGTTGATCGAAGCCTACAGTAGCCAGTTAAGAATGCTGTTGGTAACGCGTGCTCTAAGTCTTTGAAGCACTCCCTTGATATTGCTACCGAAAGTTTGAATCTTGTTCTGGGTGCTGTAGATTCTCACATTGATTTCAAAGCAGATAAACTACTGTCTTGCTATACCCATCTTTCTGCTGACTTTGGCATACTCATCCGTAGTACCCGTATTTGAAACCATGCCACCAAAGCGAATGAAACCGATGATCTCTTTTGGATGCATTTCTTTTATGATGATTGGTGTTTGTTGTTGTTGTTTCTTGTGTACATTCGTCACTGCTGTCTTCTCTATGGTCACATGGAATCCTCGTTTCCCTGTGGATATTTTCCTGTATACCTTCTAGTTTTCTGCGACATGCAACATAAATCATCTTCGAAATCTGGATATACTAAGGTCTTATTATCTGTCCAGCTACAGAAAAAGATTTATAGGTGCTTGCGGCATTACAAACTGTAGTGTTAAAACACTTGTTCAATTCCTTGAAAATCAAGCCAACGGCTTCTAAATTAGTGCTTGGAATGATTAAGTCATGCAGAAACTTTATGAGTACATAGTGAACTCCAACCAGTTATTCACAACAGATGTTAGTCAGGCATTAGCTGAATCCCAAGTACTTGTATGCCATGAAATTATTCGATGAATGTAACAGCGTAAAGCCGAAAAAATGTCAGTGAATACTGAAGTATTGCCTTAAGATATGAAGAGTAGCGAAGTTGTGTCAGTAGACTCTGAACTCGTAACCATATTTCTACAGATATATTCCTCAGCGATGAAATCATTAAAATGTAGTTGCTAACCTCCCGCCTATGTCCTGCAAGTCTCAAGGTGAAATCAAGCCAGAGAGTACCGAATCATTCGCTAGAGTAGTAATTCCATTAGCACGATACATCAATACAAACTAAAATACTAAAGTATATCATCAGCAAAGCAACACAACGATCACAGTACACGCTACAAACAACTTGAAAAAAGGAAGAACTCTAAACAAAACCTGTAACTCCCACAACCATTATATTATTCATGAAATCATAAAGAAAATATCCTATTGCAAACCAAACCCTTAAACCCCAATAACCTCATGAAAAATCGTAAAATAAACATTCAATATAACAGTAACCTACAATTAATCAAAAACACCACAAAAATCCACTCCAAAAAAACCTACTCCTTAACTTAATAAAACCAAAAATCACAGCCCAACATCCAACAAATATAAAATAACACAAAATATACACACACGCCCACCCTTCATATTTCCATGCTCTTCTCAACTACTCCATAGGTCTTTGCATTCTTCTTCCTCACGGCCTAGGAATGCAAGCTGAGATCACACACACCTCTATTCTCCAGCGAAAATGCAAGTCAACCATCAACTATAACTTGACTATGTATCAAGCTTCGAGTATATTATTATTATTGTTGTATCCTTTAATTCTTAGAGGAACATAGGGCTTCAGCTGTGCGCCTCCATTGCGTTCGGTTTTCTGTCAACTTTTTCAGCCCGATCCAAGTCTGCCCACATGCTTTCATCTCCTCTTCACATGACCTCCTCCAAGTCACCCCACTCTCGCACTGAGAACCAACTCGCCTCTCGCTTCCCTTTCGGGTTCCACTCGAGCAATGGCTTGTCTAGTGATGTCACTTGATGGTTTCCTCAGAGTATGACCAGCCAATCCATCTCCATTTCTTCCTGCCTATTTGTTTCACAATCGGTTCCTGCTGTGTTGGTTCGCTCATTGCCAGAGATCCCTCACTACTGCTGATCTTTTCTGGCCGGCCATCTGATCTTGAGCGGAGTATTGAGCGAAGACAACTGTTAATGAAGGTCTGAAGCTTATTTGAGATGCTCTTTATGGCGCTCAGTGCAAGTCTCTGATCCGTATAGTAGCACCGACTGACTTCACATTGGAGTTGAAAATCCGGATCTTATTTTTGATGCTGAGTACTGTTGGCCTCCACACAGACTTGAGAGTAGTGAAAGCTTGTCTTGCTTTTCCGATTCTGGCTTTGATATCCTCGTCAGTTCCTCCTGTAGTTGAAACGATGCTTCCCAGATCGGTAGGTGGGTAGGTAAAGGAGGTTGTTTCTTTCGGGTTCCTCCCATTTATGTTGATTGTTGTCTCTCGTTGTTGTTGTTGTTGCTGCTGCTGTTGCTGTTGGCCAGGAATCTCCATCACCTTTGTTTTATCTATGTTCACCTGAAGTCCTATCTCTGATGCTTCTTCTGCCAGCTTGTTGCTTTTCACTTGCTTATCTTCCAGTTTGTGGGAAATCAGACATATATCATCCGCGAAGTCCAGATCCTCCAAGTTTTTTGTGTGAGTCAATTTTATGCCTGTTTCCTCATTGCCCGTTGTCTGTCTCATTATCCAATCTACTGCAGTCAGGAAGATCATTGGCGATAGTAGACAGCCAGCTTGCCTCACTCCCGTCCTCACTTCGAAGGCTTCCGTAAGTTTCCCGTTGTGGACTACTTGGCATGCAGCATTGTCGTATAACTGTTGGATGAGATGTATAATTGTCGATGGCAACCCGTAGTAGCGAAGTAGTTGCCAAATGACCTCTCGATCGACGCTGTCGAAAGCCTTTTCAAAGTCGATGAAGTTGAGATAGAGAGAGGTGACTTCCATTCCAAGCTTTGTTCAATGATGATGCGTAGAGTGGCGATTTGATCAATACATGACTTCTTTCTCCTCAATGCAGCTTGTTCCGGTCGAAGATTTTCATCCAGGGTGACGTGTTTGATTCTCTCCAGGATGATGCGGCTTAGTATTTTGCTTGGAATGGACAGTAGCATAATTCTGCGCCAGTTTTTACATTGGCGTAAGTCACCTTTCTTTGCTAGTTTGAATAAGTATCCTTTCTTCCAATTCTCGGGTACTTTGCCCTCCTTCCACACCTTCTCCAGCAATGGCGTCATCAAGTCCGCTGTTGTCTCTGGGTCCACTTTCAATGCTTCTGCTGGGATTCCATCTGGTCCTGCTGCTTCGAGTAGTCGGCGGAATATACGCCTTTCAATCGGAAATATTTCCACGCTATTCTCAGCTTATAAGGAGACTGACTGACTGTTCGAACAATTTTCACAATACCTCATCTCAGACACAAATCCCACATGTATTAATTACTCAGACGAATAAAAAATGTCACTCGTCACTCTACTCAATCTCGTATAGCTAAATAGTAATCCAAACGCAGGGAAATGTCAACTTGTCGAGCGAATATGATACGAGTGTATGTAAAATTATTGTGGCGCTGGGGCATGTAGCTTAAGAGCTTACGAATACAAGCTGAAATCACACACACACACACCTGTATTCTCCAGCTACAATGCAAGTCAAGCATCAACTAAACCTCGACTATCTGTGACCATCTCGAGAGTCGACGTAATATAAGCCTGTCGAGCAGAATTACTCCCCACGCCTCCTTACACATAGGGTGTTCGAAGGATTCTGAAAAATTACCATACGAAGCTGACATCAGTACGTCATTACAGTAAGCATGCAAGTCGGATATCAAAAGACGTAGACAGGCTTCGCCGTATATATTATCCCAGCCGAAATACACTTCCGTCGACCCTTCTTATTTCCATGCTCTTCTCAACTACTCCATAGGTCTTTGCATTCTTCTTCCTCACGGCCTAGGAATGCAAGCTGAGATCACACACACCTCTATTCTCCAGCGAAAATGCAAGTCAACCATCAACTATAACTTGACTATGTATCAAGCTTCGAGTATATTATTATTATTGTTGTATCCTTTAATTCTTAGAGGAACATAGGGCTTCAGCTGTGCGCCTCCATTGCGTTCGGTTTTCTGTCAACTTTTTCAGCCCGATCCAAGTCTGCCCACATGCTTTCATCTCCTCTTCACATGACCTCCTCCAAGTCACCCCACTCTCGCACTGAGAACCAACTCGCCTCTCGCTTTCCTTTCGGGTTCCACTCGAGCAATGGCTTGTCTAGTGATGTCACTTGATGGTTTCCTCAGAGTATGACCAGCCAATCCATCTCCATTTCTTCCTGCCTATTTGTTTCACAATCGGTTCCTGCTGTGTTGGTTCGCTCATTGCCAGAGATCCCTCACTACTGCTGATCTTTTCTGGCCGGCCATCTGATCTTGAGCGGAGTATTGAGCGAAGACAACTGTTAATGAAGGTCTGAAGCTTGTTTGAGATGCTCTTTATGGCGCTCAGTGCAAGTCTCTGATCCGTATAGTAGCACCGACTGACTTCACATTGGAGTTGAAAATCCGGATCTTATTTTTGATGCTGAGTACTGTTGGCCTCCACACAGACTTGAGAGTAGTGAAAGCTTGTCTTGCTTTTCCGATTCTGGCTTTGATATCCTCGTCAGTTCCTCCTGTAGTTGAAACGATGCTTCCCAGATCGGTAGGTGGGTAGGTAAAGGAGGTTGTTTCTTTCGGGTTCCTCCCATTTATGTTGATTGTTGTCTCTCGTTGTTGTTGTTGTTGTTGCTGCTGCTGTTGCTGTTGGCCAGGAATCTCCATCACCTTTGTTTTATCTATGTTCACCTGAAGTCCTATCTCTGATGCTTCTTCTGCCAGCTTGTTGCTTTTCACTTGCTTATCTTCCAGTTTGTGGGAAATCAGACATATATCATCCGCGAAGTCCAGATCCTCCAAGTTTTTTGTGTGAGTCAATTTTATGC